TTAGAGTTGGAAGACTGGGAACCAACACATGTGCGCTCCTTTGGGCCTAAGGTTTCGTGAAAGATAGAGAAGACAGCCAAGAACAGCTCGTTGATCGTGCATTTACGTTGATTCACGAGTCCAAATCAATCCGAAAAAAGGCAAATAAGAAAAAGAAAATGGTAAGACCAGGTAGGTTGATTAAAATATATGTTACAATCATTATTTGATAAGGTCGGAGTGTTAATTATGCATGTCAGTCTGTCGAGCTTCATTCAAACAATGGTTAACAACGAGAAATTTATATATTGTTAATATTATAAATAACTGTAATGGTTTTACTTTGGGTCCATGCCTCAGCTAGTGAGCATCGATAAATCTGGATCTGGTAACAGTTTTGCAATTCCTTTTGTCTGTTTTTGTCGCATGGTGAGAGTGACTATGTTGGTAATGTCAACTATTTATTATGTTGATTTCATAAAATTTCGAAATTGTTCTTCTAGGTTTTTCAAGAGGAGGTGGTGGTAGAGGTGGAGGTGGTGGTAGAGGAGGTGGAGGTTTTGGAAGAGGCGGGAGAGGAGGCGGAAGAGGTATTCATGTTTTTCATTGACCGTAGATTTTAGATTGAACAGGAAAAAGAGGAAGACTAGCTTTAATTTAGTAGTAGATTTATCAATGATGTATCAATTATTTCCAGGCGTTTTTCTATCGATCATTTTGTTTTAACTTTGAATTTCGATATTTGCCATAACTTTTTTTTTAATTTCTCTGCTACATTTTTATGCCATTTTACTGTGCAATCTAAATCCCAAATAGATCTTGCTACACAATTGGAGATCACCCCTTCACTTACATTTTTTTAGATTTTAATTAAGATTTTTTATTTAGATTATTCATTTAGATTAGATTTTTGAATCATTATACTTAATAGTCTGTTCTTCTTAAAGTTTGCTATGATATTTTTTGAATAGGAGGAGGAGATAGGGGTGGAAGAGGTTTTGGTGGAAGAGGTTTTGGTGGAAGAGGCCGAGGAGGTCCAGGAGGAAGAGGTGGCAGAGGAGGTGAAAACAAGGCTTTTTCTTAAGTTGGTTTGCCAAAATTTCTGAATATATAACCATAATTTCTTTACCAACCTCAGCAATAGCTATTGTCTTATATTTGGTACATCAAAGCTACCACGGTCAAATCTGATTGCCACTGTGGTTTGACTTGTAGTAAAAAACTGGCCTATTGTAATGAAAAAAACATTAATACCTCAGATGATGAATAAATGTGCAGGTCATGAAATGAAGTTCCAAAGGTGAAAAATAATGTTGAGATAAATGGAGTTCTAAATCTTTATAAATATTTTTGAAAAAATGTGACACTTTAGAAGACAAGTGCTTGACCAAGGATGTATGGTAGCTTAGTTGGCATCAGCCTTTGTAAAAATTTTCTGTTGAAAGCAAATTATTTTGAACTTCTTTTTCTTTCAGGGTTTAGAGGAGGTGCAAAAGTTGTCATAGAGGCACATAGGCATGAGGGTTAGTCGACAATTTCAATTCTATGCTACTTGTTCAATGAATTAGCCAAAAGATAAGGTCTCTACTATGCAGAATGCTTTGCAGGAATGTTGGTAAAAGGGGTAGTAGGGGCAAACTGGTTACTTTTCTGCAGGCTGTTTGCTCAGATCAATTTACTTCTCTTAGAATCACTTACCTCTCATACAAATAGCTTTAAGGACTCTCATTCACATGTCTTGATCATTTTTAAGGTTTTTTCTGGACCTTTCTTGAACCTCAGGTATTATTTCTTCACTTAAGGCTTATATTGTTACTCTCTCTTGTCCTTTAAAATCTATCTTCTCACTTCAAATATTTTTGTCTTAAAGGTGTCTTTATTGCAAGAGGAAAGGAAGATGCTTTGGTGACCAAGAGTATGGTGGCTGGGGAATCTGTTTATGGAGAAAAAAAAATAAGTGTTGATGCTGAAGGAGGAGAAAAGATTGAATACAGAGTTTGGAATCCCTTTAGATCAAAACTGGCAGCTGCCATATTGGGTGGTGTCGATCAAATTCACATGAAGCCAGGAAGTAAAGTTTTGTACCTTGGTGCTGCATCTGGGACCACGGTGTCACACGTGTCTGATATAGTTGGACCAGTAAGTACATTTTTGTACTAAACCTTTACTAAATAATTGATTCTTGCATGTAAGTTAGTTATTTTAGATTAATGTGCTTTGATTCATTATCTCATATAAAGTTCTTATAATTTTGTAGATTTTCCTCCTGTCAGCCTTTGCTTTATGATTACATATAAATGGTTAAAATGGCTCTGACAAAGGCTTAAAGCCGAAACAGAAATAACAACTGCCTTGGCTACAGTGAAATTTCCAGTGTTTGCTTCGGAGATTCTTTGCTCATTTCTCTGGGCCATTTGGCTCAATGGAATTAGCCTGAGTTTTTAAAGCAGCCAACTGGAGTTTGATTCCAACCTAGAGTGGTTCGATACAATTAGGCAGCACCCTTAGGGAAAGAATTTTCCCTCTGTCAGGCTTTGCCTTATGATTACCCATATGTATAAATTTGACAATTTTCTAAAATAAAAACTCTGTTTTCAGGAAGGTTTGGTGTATGCAGTTGAATTTTCACACAGGTCAGGACGCGATCTGATAAATGTTGCTAAAAAAAGAACCAACATCATTCCTATAATAGAAGATGCTAGACATCCTCACAAGTACAGAATGCTAGTTGGTAAGTTATTTATAAGGTTTTTACCTGTGCTGAAAAAAGTTAAGAGGATGAATCAACCCTCATGGTGATTTACCTTTTTTGTCCACCTGTTAGGTCCTATTAAGGCAGCAAGTGTATTAGCTAGTAATGAGGCTGTCAACCAACCTCAAGTATTCCTCTTGTATTCCTGCTGCTGGTTTATTGTTTAAGCACGCTTATGGTTTGAATGTGGGATTATTAGAGGGGGGATCATCAGAGAGGCAGGAATTAATTTTTCAACATGTGTTTTCCTGACACAAGAAAGAATACAAAATGTCTTTATACAAGCACAAAGGATTCTTAGTAATTTTATATATGATGTTCCATGTCATAGAAATGAAAAGTATTATTTTACAAATGTCTTTTTACCTGCTTTTTCATATATTCCAAAAATATGCAAATATGCAGTTTTTCTTTACTTGTCTCTTTGCCAGGTATGGTAGACACAATATTTGCTGATGTTGCCCAACCTGACCAAGCACGTATTGTAGCAATTAATGCTCACTACTTTTTAAAAAATCAAGGAAATTTTGTCATATCAATTAAGGTGAGTTAGGTTTAAAAGTGCTTTAATTTTTATAATTGCAATATCTTCACTATAACCTTTTGTAGGTTTTTCTATAAGCTAACTGTTTCTCTCTGGTTATTCTCATATTTGAAGGAGTGTGTTAAGATAATGTCCCTGATATAAATTGCTGATTTTTAGGCCAACTGTATCGATTCAACTGCCCAACCAGCTGCAGTTTTTGCTGATGAAGTAAAAAAGATGCAGGGTGAAAAAATGAAGCCTCAAGAACAGTTAACACTGGAACCATATGAAAGAGATCATGCAGTAGTTGTTGGTGTTTATAGGTGAGCAGTAGGTCATACTTATGAATCTTTTGATGTTTGGTATGTAATTCCCACTCTCATATGTCCATCATATATGTGTATAATGATCAGTTATCAAGCCAATCACATACCTTTCCAATGGGTATTTCTTGAAATTTCAAAGTAGGTTTGGGTTATTTAAACATATTTTAAATTCCTCTGCACCTTTGTGTCACTTTTTCATTTTATTCTATTGTTATACTTTTAGACTATTTACACTTATATTTACACTTTTAATATTTGTCCTCACTTTTCCTGTACAGTTCGTGTCACACTCCCCATTATGTGTCACATCATGATTTGAAACAATTTTTTGGTTTAATTTTCAGGCCACCACCAAAGAAGAAGGCATAAAGGACAACAAGCCTTGCAAACCATACTCATCATAGAAAGCCTTTTGTTGCAGATTGATGCAGCTAGGCATCAAATGATGCAGTGTTCTGGAACAAAGTTTGAAGACCTATGAAAAACTTTGCAACATGTAAAATAGTGGTCCTTATAATTTCTCTTAAATAACCCTTAATTTGACTATCTTACATTCTAAGCTATTGGGTATATGTTTTGGTCTGATAAACACTCTCCATGATATTAGATACTTTTAACAAAGAGTAAACTGTTACTTCTTCTTTCAATTTAAAATTTACTATTGAGACTAGAAATCAGTGATTTCTGAAATCCAAAACATATTCTGAGATACTTTGCTTTTATTGTATTAATTGTTTTTATTACAATATCATGTATTGGAACATCTTATTAAGATTAGCAGGATTCTTATACTTGGCATTACAAAAAAGCCTTTTTGATACACTAAATGGTGAAAGGCTGTTTTTTCTTAAAAGAGAATTGATGTAAAGACAGTTGGTATTGTGTATCATATTATAAACTACATCAATATACAGATCGTTGTATTCCTTGATATATTTAAAATCTCTCATAAATATCGCGTTTTCCAGCATAGATGTTTTCGATAATTTAATTATGGAAACAGGTGTCAAGTTTCTTTCATATAATGCAAAGGCCTTGGCAATTTGGCTTATTCTGATACAAACACAAACATATTTGTGCCTTTGTGTGTAAACTGGGATGATGCAACTCTTTTAAGTTTCTTAAATCAAGTTCTTCTTAAATTGATGATAGTCAGGTTTGGTCCAATTTTTACAACAGCCTTGAAAATCTAGCATTTGCAAGGAAAGGGTGCTGACCACCCATATTAGAACTGACAGTCCTCGTTACTTCAGCTTGTGATGTCATGTTAAGGTTTTTGAGTACAAAAAAGATTATGGATATTGCCAGGGACGGATTTAGCGGTGGTTGTAGGGGGTGCGAAACTCAAGGGCATCATCGCAAACATTTTCTGCTTGCAGGAGGGCCTCCTTATTTCGTAATTTCCCCTCGTTTTGGGGTTTATATAGAAAAGTCTTTCACGTTCTTGTGTTATTCCTGATAAAATAGAACTAAAGTGCTAAAGCAGTCCAATCTTTAAAAAATGGATTCTGAAATGCGTTTCCATCATTTACCAATGACCTGGAGGGTGTGGCACCAAAATTAGTGTCTAACACCCCCCAATTATTGTTGCTTAAATCCTCCCCTGTATTGCTATTTGCGTGGGATGTTAAAAAGGGGTTTTAACATTCTCTTCCCCTCATAGCCACCCAAAAAAGTCGTAAAATTTGGCCAATACTTCTTCTTTTATCACGGCATCACGATACCTTCTAGTAACATAAACTCCTTACAGTGATGAGACCGGTTGAGCTGCCTTCTCATGAAGCAGCATTTTGCAAGGAAAAAGTTTCTTTAGGGTCCTTGGGAAGCGTATTTTCTTGAATCAAGGATTTAAGATCTTTGTCAAATGACTTAGAACACTTATTCTTAGGGACAGTTTCAACAAAGAGGGCAACGGGCGAAGGGTCAAAGAAAAGGGGCAAACCAATTGCTAAATTTTTTTGCAAGGTTTGACACCCCAATTTTTTTGCAAGGTTGATCTAGTTTGCAAGGTTTGACATCCCATGCAGGTTTCCTTGCTTGCTCAAAGAAACATAGTGATCCAATAGTTATTGTATTTTCGCTTTTTACTCGGATTAAACTTACACAACCAAGCAAACTAGGTCTTAATAGGTAATGTAGAAGAAGTTAATGATGTAAAAAAGAAAAGGCTGTTTGATTTTGTTTCAGTTTAGAAAAATGCATTTGAACAATAGTGGAAATTTAGTACAGTCCTGTCGCCTGTACACAAGACTCCTTTTTCAAAAGTCATGAATACATGATGTAAGTTTTGACTAGGCAATAAATAAAATTGAAGGAATGATGCGACTAATTTACTGCTCACAATGTATTTTCATGAAGAAAAACACTGCATTCAACTAACTACTTTCAGGATGGAGACTGTAAACGGCTTTGAAATATTTACACGAAAACCAAAGAGTAGACAGTAAATGACGAAGACACAGTTTTACAAAACATCTGGCTTTTTATATTCAAGACAATTCATTTCGCATAAATATTAGCTTTGGCAAATCACGACAAACTGCGTGCTAGTACAGGGAACACAATAGCGTGTATGGATCTGAATACCATGATAATACTGGTGTACAAGGGAATGACACATTGAGAGAATATGACTGGGTTTACAAAAAACATCTCCAGTTACTTCCAACCATTAAACAAATATTGATAACCCACACCCACAGCAACAATTTGTAGATTTTGTTGCATTGAACGAAAAAACAAAGAAATTGTCCTTTATGCAAGATAAGTCATGTTTGAGAATATTCATTGGGATTTTAGTCGTTTTAAAAGACTGATCAAATCTGCAGAATTTTTGTAACTTACCAGGGTTCAAATGAAAGAACTTAGAACTGCAACCAGTTTCAACATTTAGATTCAACAGAAGACTGCGTTCAAGCTTACAGGCATTAATGGTCTTAATGACACAAAATTAAACACAGTAATCCAGTAAATGAAAACCTGTTCGTTCGCTTACTGGATGCATAGTCAAATTTTGTTCATCAATACCTTGGTCATTGACAAACAAACCTCATCGATCGTCTATAGCAATGCATTTATTTGTCGCATTACCTGCCCGTTTACTTGAAATTTAGATTTTTTGCAAGACCGAGTAAATCTGTTCACAAAATTTAACAATCAACGCTGCAAGATGGGTTGAGAAATGTATGAGTTAACATTTGGCATTTCATGTTGAGAAACAATGTCTGTTTTAGTTTTGATGTTGTTTATGCTTCACGAATGCTGCCCTAATTCAAACACCATTTGTCATCAATCCTTGAAGTGCAGTTTTTTGATGGTCTTGTAGTTGATGCAGACAGGCATTCCACATTTCAGGATTCGTCTGGAAAGAAGCAAAGGAAACATTACAAACGATGCAACTCTAAAGAGAAGAAGATAACTAAAGCTTGTTGCTAGATAATAGAACAGAAGTTTCAATATTTTCAACACCTCTAGATCTGGGGCGGACACTTGGTCAAACATCTAGGGCAAGCCTATTGTTTTGATAAGAAGACGCCACATTTACCCTGTTTTAGAACAAAAGACCATTGTCTTCCAAAACATTGATGGGGCGACCGCCCCCAGGTGTCCGCCACTGCTCTAGGTTGTGTTAATGTGCTTTCTAATGATTCCCAAACATTGAACAGGATTTCTTTAAGGGAGGTATATTTTTGCCACCAGGTGACATTAGATTCAGTTCTATATTCATTTCATAAAAACTAGGGACGCCGATAGTTCTATATTTATTTCATAAAAACTAAATGTATTCACATACCTGAACATGTCTAACTAAACTCGTGAGTCGTAGTTTTGTTTCACTTTCCTCCGTAAAAACCTCTTCTGCAAATGCCTCCGCAATAACAGCAATTATTCTTGGTATATTTGAATTGTTTACACCAAGGATGGTCGAATTGTTTCTAAAAATGCAAAAGAGGATGATTTCAAAGTGGTGAAATTTCAGTCTGTAATTCTCAAAATTATAAATTTATCCATTCATTGAAGGAAAACTGATTTTTGGTTATTGCACTTCTCCATTTAATAATCATAATTGGCGCTTAATTCATTCTATACATCAGGATGATAACATCAATTCATCATGTTTAACATGCTGGCCGTATTTATAAAATAAAAGGGAAATTCTACAAATAAAAATCAAATATGGAAATTTCAAACAATGCTACTTACTGTTCTACTAAATCGCACAAATATCCATAAACATGGGGTGCTTCTTCGATATCTTTTGTTATCGGCAACCAAGTTAGCCAAGTTGGTAAAATCTCATCCACATTGACAATATCAGAGTGAAATTTGCATATTTTTGTTAAAGCCGAGATGCAGTTTTCGGTTGGATTTGCATTCTCTTTTATCCGACTTTCTCCGTGACTTATAACTTGAACTAATAACGGGATCGCCTCTACAGTAAGGAAAAAACCAAAGAGATTATTTCACAATCCTCTTTGATACACAATCAGCAAGAAACTAGACGTACTAAGACAGGGGCCCCTTTGATCAAATACCCTTTGTGAATGGGGGCTTATTTTAAAGTTAGTCACGTTAACAGTTCCAATAGGGACTTGAATAAACACGTGACCATTTCAAGCAAAGCAAAACAATACAGTTAATCGACAAGTTAGCGGTCCCTTCAAAAGAGCGCCACACCTTCGCATGAAGCTCCATCGCTCCAATAAGTACCCAAAGATTTATTGAAAGGGTTATTCATGAAGAGAAAAATCTGTGTAGTCTAACACTGAACTCTTACAATAAATTCCAAACTTTGGCAGTGCATGTATTTTCAAAGGAGAATTCGAGATGCATTTTAATTTTCTCTTTCGGGCTTCATCGTTAAACGTTTTCTAACAATCTAATTTTCTGCATGCTGCATGTGATCTGCAGAAATAGTAAAAAACTAACGAGCGCCCCTTAAAACTGAACATTAAAAAGAAGCCCTCCTTGTACGCGCACATTCTTAAAAGCCTAGCACATTTAACAGTTTTCCACAGGCCTATTCGGTCATATGTCGACCAGCGTGCCAGGAACTTCTATACATTACTAAAAATGATAAAATTTTGGAATAGGGATAGTCGGGTAAAACTTTGATCATGCCTTTGATAAGTTCATTTTTAAGAGCACACTACTGCCAAATGCTACAATGCCTGCCAAAAGTACTTGGAACACCCACCAATTTACGCTGCATTTGATATCTTTCATTCGTTTCATGAAAAAAATTTGCTACTTCCGCCCCCTTCCCCCTCAAACAATGTTAATGATTTAGAGAAATATCATAAAAGAAGCGCAAAAGAAAGTGCTTCCTAAAATCCTAGTCCGTTTGATAGTAAACCAACATTGTTCCGTGGGGGAGAGGTGGATGATTGGTTTTGACCTTGGAAATTGATGTCAGTGTTCCAAGACTTTTGGCAGGCATTGTAGATTTCGGCCTTCTGGATTCATCGGCTGTACAATTTTTTATTCTTCAAAGTTACATACGTTGCAGAACATCAACAAATTCTTTCCCACCATGCATTGCCATAACTCCAATGCCATATGCAGCCGCCTTGAAGCAAAAAGAAACAAAATCATTTGGAGGACCTCTCTGAAATCCAGATTCTGCTATTAGCAAAGATTTATTATTCGTACAATAATAATTTATCACCGTGTGTTGAAAAATACTTTCGAGCAGGGTTTGCTTTCACCACATATATCAAAAAACAGCAACCTTTTTTTCCATTAACTGGATTTCAAAAAGATAACACTGATATAACTGTATACATATCTCCTAAATAATGCACCAATACTATAAAAATAAAAATTACGGACCCCTAAAAAGTATTCCAAGTTATTTCAAGTTTGTACGCTTGACAGAGGCAGACTTTGTGGCTTTACCATTGACGTTGTGGATTGTGTCAAACTCGTTAAACATCCAGGCCAATTTCAAACAAGTTATTTGGAAAATAATATTTCATCACTACATCAGGGCATAGCTCACCTGCCTAACTTCGGGGTTTTTGTCAACAATATAATTCAGCATCAGGTTCGTAAAGTGCTCTCGGAATTCTTTTGAGTTCTGGAAAAGACAGATTGCAGTCAGGCAACAGAAAAATACAAAAAACGATCATGAGAAGATTTTTATTAATTATTTCAAATGACTTTTGTTTAAAATAGGCCAAGCGTAAGCTTACCGGTCCAGCATATTCCAAAAGATCATCAAAGATACATAGAGACCATTGTCGATCGGAGGCTGGCCTATTTGGATGCTGCAAAAAGAAAGAAAAAATTTGTCGAATTCGAAGCAATTATAAAGTAGAAACATAAAAAACACAACTAACAGGCACAACAGATGGACAATTTGAAGTTAAGGGATAATGGCTTTTCAAAACAAATCTTTATGAGTAATCTATCCTACTTCAGACATAAAAACTATAATTTTTGATCAACTTCTACAGCTAGACGGAATTCTGTGAAAATTCATGTTCAATGGTGTGTTTCAACCTACATAGACCTGAACAAAACCAGTCCTTTAGTTTGAAACCGTTCATATAACAAAATAGCCTTGCTACTAGAAAAAAATATCAAAGACGTATCTAACAGCCAACGTAAAACCTTGGCTTGATACTTCATTTTCTCATGAGCTGTGCTTCATGTACACTTCACTACAACTATGATATACACTACACGCCATCCAGCGAATCTTATCAAAAGATCTACAGTTGCCATTTCGGGCTTGCGTTAACTGCATATCTGAAGTTTAGGGGATGTGACTTCACCCTGTCTTCTTCCGATACCACTTCAAATCTTTCCCCAATCTAATTTTCATATTCAATTACACTTCCTCAAAAAATGTCCTCATGTGTAGCTTGTCCAAATCTAGCAGTGACCTCGATGTCTCATCAGTTTTTTCCGTACCGTATCGAAAGCAGTTGACATGTTGTATGGTTGTGTGCCAGGGTAGGCAAAGAGCATCCACTAGCACACATACTGAAGACTGTGTTTACTCTTCCATAGCATTTTATAAAGCATTACTACAACAGATTACCACACCAATTCTTTGCGAAGAGACACCCCCTATTGCAATTACTGCGCAAGCTTTGTCTGGTAGCTTGTTACTTCTTTCGTGTACTAATGTGGTGTAGTTTACATGTTTCAGATTTGGTGTTACTTCTTAAGGTTAATTGTTATTCAGGAAAAAAGGAGGCGAATAGAATAATTTGGGTGTGTTTAATAAAAGGCATAAAAGACGTCAAAGTATCCCGGCTAAAATGGAGTCTAACGGGTGCGTTCCTTTGACTCAAGTGTAAATTGGGTGTTTGCTAATAATGTGCGAGTTCAACTGCTTCATGTGCAATCAACATTGGATTTCAAAGTATGAAATGGAAAAAGGAAAACCTCTTACCAGTAGGGTGACAAAATCAGAAAGCAACATTCGGAAAAAAGGGATTGTAGCATCTCGATGTGTCATAAATAGGGAATGCATTATGTCTGAAACTTTGCTGAGAATGTATTCATCTGTGTTGTGCTGAAATATCAACAGAAGCTAAATTAGAAGGAGATATAAGACGATTTTGATCTAAATGTATACCCAAAGGACAGAAAACACTTTCAAAAAGATTTGATTACACCCAGCTAATTGTAAGGCTCTAGAAATAGTTAGCAAAAGAAACTATGCCTACATACTTCTTCTTGTAAATCTTCTTCTACTTCTTCGTCGTAATCTTCATCTTTTCGTTTTTCTAAGAAGATGAAATTTAACAAATAAAAAGACAGACATTTCAAGCAGAGAAAACCATTTTTAAGAAAACTAGGTTGCTAACAATCCAGGATTTGTGCATTCAAGCTTTGAGCTGATTTGATTAAATCATTGGCACAACTGTTAGTGGCATCCTTGATGTCGCCTAAGCGTATTAGATTAATCTTACCTTTCACAAACACCCTTATCCCTGTCCCTTTCTCTTAAGTCGCCCCCAATTCTTCTACCGCCCCCTTTCCTTCAATTGCCCCCTTTTACTCAGTTACCCCCGAATCTCAACTACCCACTCTCTTTCAATTGTCCCCTTTTCCTCGATTCTCTCGTTTTCCTTTAATTCCCCCTTTCTTACTCCCCTCTCCCTACCTTGCATTTATACTTTTTAAGAAAAAGAAGTTCAAAAATTGATTATCAACTAGGGGTGAATAGACGACATCAAGCTACTACATTTTCTTCGGAGATTTTGGTTGCAAAGGTATAGGAACAACCGTCAGAGTGGCAATCAAAAACATAAGAACTATTGTATTCAGAGTCTTTACTAACAACGAGGTAATTTCTACCACTCCTGCTCTGATTCGAGCCTGGTGACCGAAACTCGTTGGCAGACGTCGACACCAACAGCATTAAAAACCATCATAACATAACCACGATATGCATAATGAAAGGCCTACCGTGTCTTTCCGCATATCTTTCCAAATGTTTTTGTAATTTATCGTGAATTATTTTTCCCAGTTCAGCAAGAAGATCAGCACTGATATAACCAACTCCAAGCAGCTCTACACACTTGACGGAAAAAGAAAAAGCTTATTGAGACAGTATTTTTTAAGAACAGACTGACATTTCTTCGCACTCGATTAAATACTGTCTAAAACAATTACGGATTGCACTGAGGATAAAGTACATAAATGTACATCAACGAGGAAACCATGAGAAAAGAAGAGGACCACTAATTAACGATAAAACTATGTACCTCTGCACAAATGAATACTTGCTCAAATTGATTAAATCAATGGCCTGTGCCAAGTTTGGGACCAATTTGGTGCAAGAAAGTATTGCAATTGCATTAGAAACAAAGGAAACAAATGATTGTATTTTCGTCTTTTCCTCAATTTGACCTTCTTCAAATTCAAAAGCAAGGCCTTTTTGAAACATTCCATGTGACTAAGCGTTCTATTTCAAAATCAATAGTGGGCACATCGTATGAGTTTGTGCCCTGCTTATATTCTTCTTAATGAGACAAAGATCAAAATCGATGGCAAACATTTCGATGGTAACCAACCAATTCAACAAGTAGTTACGCATTGGAGCATTTCAGAGTGATAAATCAAGTCACTGATTGTTTCACCTTTGAAAAACTGTCCATCATTTCTGGTACGACGTCTTCCTCTGGTTCACCCTCAACTGCCTTGAGCAATTCAGGAGAAATAAAAGCCCACATTTGTTGTAAATATGCATCGCCTGAAAACAATTAATTCTTGCTATAAAAATCTACAAATTTAAATATTTGCCATTGTGCAACAAATGCATTAAGTATAGCACTATTAGGCTTGATCGTATGAGAGCTCGCACAAATTGCTTCACGTTAACAAAATGTAATATCTTAGACAAGAATTGATTAGCTTAATGGCTGACCACTGAAGACACTGAGACCAGGAAAAACTGCAGCCCGCGTCACAAAGGAAATGGTCCAAAATTAGCTTATATGGACAAATAAACAAGTCTGTGCTAAATCACGTGTCTACTACCAGGAATAGAGCTATTTATCTGATTGGTCAAAATAACGTCGATCAATAAAAATGACCAATAGGATGACGTATTATGGTCTACATCTACATCAGCCAGAAGGTGACTTAACTTCTAGGAGAAGTCTGGTATCAAGCAAGTTGGATCTCCAAAACACCTTAAGACAAAGAATTTGAATTTACAGGGGACTTTTATTTTTGTTCGAAATCTGTAACTCTGGTGGCAAAGGGTATGAAATGTAGGGATACGATTATACATACCTCTGATCTTGGCACACTCAAGCAAATGTGGCAATGACTCTGCAGCTGCTATTCGAACCTGTATTATTATATTAAGGCATTGTAGCGGGACACATTGAGGCAAAGCTGCGAGGACTAAGGTGCATATAACAGCACAGTTCTACGTTGCAAATCCGAGTTCATACTTAATACAATTACCAAGTAACTACAAAATTATATAAAATGTAAATGAAATCAATTGCCTGTACAATAAGGGTGTACCGGATATTTGGTAGCCCGGATAATCAAGTGCCAGATCGCCGAATTAATGGAAATTAGGTTCCGGCCGGATATTTTTTCCGAGATCCGGCCAGCTATTGGATTTTTGAATATTATGTCTAGAACGGAGAAAATGTACAAAGAATGGCAAAAAGGATTCATCTATAATCAATACTTAAGCTTCAAACTGGTGAAAGGATATCATCGTGGAAGTAAAACTTCAGAAGTGGAACCATTATTTTGACAACCTGCAAAAACAATATGATAACATATTTGTTGAAAGGCAAAATGTAAAACTTAGTAAAAAAAGGGGTTGTAATTAGATTTTTAGGGTAACTTAGGTTATAATTAGTCATGAAATATAAAAGTTTTTGACTGTAACTGATGTAATTCATTTCTTTTCACTAGTTAGCAACTTTTATATTTAATTAAATGGAGGGCCCCCTGTTAAATCAGTACTGCCGAATGGCTTTTCTCTATAAATTCTTGAAAAAAATGAAGTTGATGTAAGCCGTGAGTGAGTACAGGAGAGAAGCCGCACCTGTTCAGCGTAATCAACGAACCCTTCCTTGAGCTCTCTTGCATAATGAACCAACATCTTACAAGCAGTACTCTTATCTTCCAGCCCGGCTGTTTTTATACCGAATTTCTGCTGGTCTCCGAGATTGACAAACTCCCAGCCTTCTTTGTCCTGGTCCTCACTTGTGGGGTCATCTGTATCTAAAACTGTCACTTCCGGTTTGATTTGCGCAGCTTTCAGGACGTTAGGCATCACAACTGGCAGATACTGAACGAAGTCCTTGCCTATTATTTTGCACATCCGAGCCCAGGCGGAAATCAAATAAGAAATTATCGGATCGTCGTCTTCAAGCTCTTGAATTCCACTTTGTGTGTTGAGGAGGAGCTGCATCACAGCGGATGCATCAGGCAAAAACTGTATGGAGAAATTATTTGGGTTACTGTCGGCTGGGGGCAACATCATGAAAAAGGAACATAACCGCGCAACAAATACTAAAACGTTATTTTCAAAACAAGTAAAATTAAAAGTACCTAGCCCTTAATGAATAAAGGTTGCTTAAATTTATTTAGGGAGCCAATATTTTCTTTGCATTAGTTAAGTTAGGCCTCTCCATCATAAACTTGACAAAATTACTAAAAGCACGATTTTAACCAATTGGGAAAAAAATAACCTTTCGGATAAATCTTTAAAATCCAATTTCATAATAAATGGATATTTAGAAAGGCTTATGAAAAAGAAATGCTTTTTGGATTTCCTTAATTAATAGCGAGAGGTCTTGTAAGGAATCAATTATAACATTAGCAGGAGCACTTACCTTCTCTTTCCCCACAGCCAATCCAATCAAACTGATGCATTCGATGCACTTTCCACGCATCAGACGGTATTCTTTGCTGACTGCATTCTCAAAAATTACCTTCAAACTTGGCATGAACCGATCATAATACGTTATAAATTTAGCCTCCGCAGTATCCGCTACAGTTGCTATAGTCGTTAATATTTGTTCCAAAACGAGGCGACTGCCTACATTCGTCAGCCGTTGCATCTTTTCCGACAAGACAAACTCCAACTTTTGCATCACAGCGTCCAAGTAAGGTTCAAGAACATTCACTGGACAGTCTTCAAAAAAGTTAACAAGGGCAGCAGCTGCGTGGGCTTGCACCCTTGGGAAGGAGGAGTCACTGACCATAACCTGCAGCAACCCTGGCAAAACTTTTTGATGGAAGGATTTTTGAAAGAGGATGCTGAAGTCTGTGGCGAGCTGGCCTAACGCATTGCAAGCCGCGTAACGAACTCTTGGGTGCTGCAAATAGATGATCCCTTTATAAACTATCATAATGGCAAAAAGAAAAAGAATTGTTCATTAACATCGGAAAAACTTAATACAAAATAAAGACCTGACTTAATAAATGGCGCGACGCAAAAACTGCCAACAAACGACTGAATTACATCCTGCGATCTTTTTTCTGGATTTATGAAACAATCTCAAAAGCGAAAGCCAGAAAGCTTTGAAAATATTTGATTCACTTTAAAAACGAATGACAAACGGAACACTAAAATAGCCTTCTTTAGAGGCTGTTTATCTGCTGGTGGATGACAAATCGAGATCTCAACGCAAAAGAAAAACATGAATATGAACGAGTTGATAGACCAAGGGGATCTACCAGTTTCTCTCACAAAATGGCGAAGTCCTAAGAAGTTTCTCCTAGTGCTAAAAACCAGTCAATTTTGACCGGCAAGGAGAAGAAAAAGACGTGATGATAAGAAAAACTGAACCTGGTCTGTTAAGTGGAGGAGGATTTCTTCAACGATGCTCTTGAGTAGTGGTTCCATTTGCTTCTTACATCCTTCAGCTACAGCAGAGATTGCCATCAAGCCAGCGTGCCGGTATCGCCAATCATCTGCCAAAAAGCAACATAACTGTGCAATTGGCACTGATGCATTTATAAACAGACTACTCCAGAAACTTTTATGTTTTGGATGTTTGTTTTTGTCCCATGCAGTGAAGAAACTCTCAGATACAGTCATGTTTGCTTATCACACTCATATATCACAAAGACACATCTACAAATGAGACGGGCACATCCAATGTATGAGACGGATGCACCCTTATTTTATGATCAAGCGTTAAACATAGTTAATTCAAGTTAGTTTTGGTTTTGTAATCCTTGTGGTAACATCCGATGTCCCTTTCTCATAGCGAGATGATTCGTAGCGTAATAAGTGCTTGTGCATGCAAATGATTCTTGCAAATAAAACTAATCGGACAAACAAACAACTGGAACTGTATAATGACACTACCTTCGCAAAAAGACAAAGGTGCAAAAAAAAATTAAGATCGGATACACACCATTCTTTAACATAATAGGAATGGTCCTGTGCACGAGAGGAAAGACAATTTTCCCGCCAACACCGCAAGCAAATCGATCCAGTCCACTTTCTCCTGCCACTGGATTACTGAAAAACAACACTTACTCTTACCATCACGCGTACAAAATCATGGTTTCATAAAAGTAGTATATGCGTGGCGACGTTCTGGAAGAATGCTATCTTTTTTCGATGTTAGGTTGATGGCTTTTGATTGACGAAATGGCAGCTGAAAGTAACGTAGGTGTGGTTCAAAGGTGGCTAAAGAACATACCTGTCAGTCTCAGTGTCTTCCGAGTCATCTGAAATACACCAGTCTGCATCATCCTCCAAATCCACCATCAGTGCAAGCATTTCTGGGACTAAAAAGAAGAACTTTGAAACTGAAAAACTCGGAGAAACACTGACTAAAACTACTAAAAATTCGAAATACTTTGAGACCAGTAGAATAAGGCAAAAGTAAGGAAGACTCGTTGCCTAGTGATGCAATACCTATTTTTGGGACGAGTTCTCCTCCATGCTTTCGTATCATCGCAGGAGCTAAAAGGAAATTGCAACTGTCATTGAAAGAGAATCACAAAATGTTGTTTCATTTGTTTAAGTCCTGTGATTAGACTGAAGTCAATTGTAAATATCAAGTTCATCGATTAATGACATGAATGCTGACTGAATCATATGGAATACGATTACCTATTAGTCGTAATCTCATTAAGCGATTGGAGCAGCAAAATTGTGCTTAAAAATGTCATGTTTTAATGACAACGCATGCTTAATTACTGTGACTGGACACAGGGATTGGTCTTAATAAACCACTGGAGAGTGGATCAAAGAATGTGGTTGATTGCTCATATGTCTGTGACTGTTTTGTGGGTTACTCAATTAGTAGCAATTGGCAGTGACTGGACCAACTAATGCCAAAAGCACTTTGAAATTGGGAGGGAGGGGCCCTATGCAAATATGGGAACCTGTGTGGAAAAGGGCCTTGGAGAGAGATATTTAAGAAGAAAAATTGATATTTGACTAAAATCTAGGGAACTGACTTGACTGGAGAAGGTACTAAGATGCATTCATTTGAATTGTCACTACCTTTGTAAGGAAGCTGAATGTGGTTATTATAAATATGCAAAAAACAGTTTCTTTAGCAAAGAGATGATTTTGCTATTGCTAACACGCCAAGAAATTCAAACATTTCCTAAAGATGTTACCTGACTCAGCAAAGGTCACTATTGCTTCCAAAGCAAGTTGTCTCCAGGAATTATCTAACTCTGGATTTGATACGATCTAAGAATTAAGTAACAACAGTTTCTGTACAACGCACAAAATAATAGAAGCAAAAACATTAAGCAAAAAATTATCAAAATACACTGGCCTGTCCACCACTCAAAAAGCTGAATATACGTGGCCCATGTTACCAACTCTCACTGACCAGATCCTCCATGTCAATGAAAAAAGTCTTATACAAGAAATCTTATTCAATCGAGGAAATTTACAAAATATGACAATAACTGTTGAACTTACGTGAAGCATTAGGGTAACTGCGTTTTGTATGTTTGGTTTCACTGCTTGTGGAGCTGTCTCAGCTAGTTCTACAAAACCTTTTAAAACTGCATCATCTTCTTCACTTTTAACACTTGCCTCAATGGCCTGTAAAATTGATCAATAAAATATTTTCAGAAACATGCATAAAAATAAAGGGCTTGAAGTAATAACATATAGCATATATATAACATATACACTGACTTTAACATAGAAAAGTCAAATTATAATTAGCTGCTTATTACCCTATTAGCCTGATCCTTCTTGCAATTTAATTCTTTCATTCTAATTAGAATAAAGAGGAAAAAACTAATTTTATTTGTATTTCACAAAATAGAATATTTCAAAACAATGATATAACAAGGGTAGTTTTGCTAACCTCGTAATGGCAAACATCACAACAATTTGCCCCCAGATTTTCTATTATGAATATATTATTGTGATTTAATGAGCAACAAAACCACAAATACCCATACAAAGCTTTTAACCCTTTTGTTAGCTAATGTGAGGTATCTATAGAATCTATGTTTCAGTGATATATATATATATACCTGCAGAATTCCTGGTACTAAGTCTGAAAACAATTTGTGTTTTGCTTGATCAAGTGACTCTACGACAAATGTGCAAGTTGCCTTTGCAGCGAGGTAATGGATCTACAAAAGAAACTAGAGACAATTATGCAAGAAATGGGAAGTAAACTGCAGATTCAGAAATAGATAAACAATCAAATTGTTCCGTCTCCCATATTGCCTTTCATAAAGAAGCCACAAAGTAGACATGATTAAAGGACACAAACAACATTCGCAACAATACCAATTAAAAGGAAGAAAAAGGCTAATGTAATAACCACAGAAAGCTCAAGGGTATAAACTGCAGTGACAAAATTTATGCTTGAATTTAACTGTTGATTAGAATAAAGGGTTGAAAAAGCTTCCAAATATGGCAAAAAAAGATTCTTTTTCACTGAAGAAACTCATTAGAGATGCCATCATTGGGAATTGTACTGATGAACAATTGAACAGCAATAGGGCAAAAAAAGTGATGAAATGTAAGATGCTCAACTGAGCCAACAAATTTGCTCAGTTTATGATCTTCAAGATAAAATAGTCAAAACATCAACTGTACCTTGGTCTGTGGTACTTGTAAATTGTGCAGCAACATTTCCTTAATAACTTGTAAATAGGTATCTTGTTGTGTTCCAAATATCCCAGGAAAAGCACTGAAAATAATTGGTTATTATAGCTGAGAATCTACTTTGGCTTATTTCCAATCAAACAGCAAATAAAATTAACAATGACAATATAAGCTTAGTCAAAAAATTTACACATATATTGTTTAAACAATAAAGAACAATTTTCACAAAATAAATTACTTTGCAGACATGAAGCAACTTACACTTATGCCAGTTTGTCTGACTTCAGATTTGTGATAAACTGAAATATGTTCGGTATGAAAGCCTGTCGAGACAGGGATCAAGTCACTGAATACCATTTATCCCATAAACATCTTCACAAGCATATATCTATTAAATGTATTTCATGAAATGTTTCATGAAAACTAGTTGCATACAGCAACTCAATACATCTATACGAGAAAAATTACTTTTCCTGTTTAATGAACTTACTGTAGAATATGAAGTGGGACTTCTCTAACTTCATCTGATGGTGAGTTGCAGCATTCAAAAAGGAACTTCAAAATATCAGGCCACTGGTTTGCTCCTTCATCAGCTAAAAAATTAGGAAGAAACTAGTTACGATACCCCTCTTTAAAATTCATATTCACTTCTTGTTCAATTTGATTGAGATAAAAATCTCTAAAATTATCATATTTATAGCACAAGTTACAAATATACTTCATTGATACCTGAGATTGACTGATAGTTGCATTAAGTATGAAACTCAAGTTGCAACTTAGTCCTGTTTTATTCACCAAAGCATGAGCAGCTTTGCCTATAGCGTATTTAGCACTATATGACAGATTGGTAAACAGTGGACCAAAATTTCCGTAATTTTATCTTCTGTTATTTCATTTTAAAGCTGGTATGCAAATGTAAGGGTGCCTTTTGTGACAAAAATTATTGCTAATTAACAAGCAAGAAACTTAGGTAGATAAGTTCAAAACGTTTATAAACACTTACTTATGTAGCACTTTGCCAGCTCTGAAATGGTATCGCAGAACTTTTTTCTCATATTTGCATTATGTTCAACTTGGACACCTTGCAGTAACTGTACCTTACATTGTTCTTGTATTTCTGCTGGCACAATAGTGATGAAGTCTTCAAGGTTGCTCAGCAAACGACGCAACAAAACAGCAGCCATGACACGAAACTGAAATGGTAATCAAGGATTTATACTTATAAAAGTCTTCACAATGAAAGCAATTGGGTCAAAGAAAAACAGCCAAGCCTTAGGAATAAAAATAAACACAGAAGTCTTGAAGTTTTTGCTTTATGGGAAGTTTTGCTTGATCGTACCACAATCAATTACAAAATTATATTAATATCATACATGAAAATTAGACAGGCTTCACCAGTCCTGGTAATAAGAAAATTGTTGGCATGCTAGTAATAGCACGCCTTGAAAAGTGTAGGTGTGCGATCCATAAAATGGAGACCTTTTTTTGAAATTTGCAATTTTTTTGAAGACCTTACACTTCTAAATGCCATGCATGCATTTGAAGGGGTGTATCACTGTTTGAAAAAGCATTCCAGGTTTTCATACAACCAAATAATTTTTACAGAATTTAGAAGAAGTTTCTTGAAAACGAAACAATTTAACAAAAAGCATACAAGTTTTTAGGCCCAGTTGCAGGCCTTTTCATTTGACGCAAGCAATGTAGATGCGATCATGTCAGCACTCGCGCAAACCAAACCACATGCGTGTTTGATCACTTGCGCAAAATGGTAAATTGTGAGGAATAAATGTCTCATCAATTAACACAATTCTAGTCATCTTTTGTGAACCAAGCATCAAAACACAGGTAATATAAGTAAGTTGACTTAACCACACCTCAATGAAAAAATGCATTTGAAAATCAATTCCACCACAAATGTTTATGATACTTTAGGTATTCAGTTTTTAAACTACAATAGCACTTTCTGAGCATTTCCTGGGCAGTAAAAGCATTTTTAAAAAGGTATGGAACAACATTTTGCGGTCTTCTGGCAATAACATCTTTATGACCCTTGTGATGTACATAAAGTTTATAAACAAAGATAAAGAGGATTTAGTCTTTCTTGGAGTGCATTACAAATCATTGTAACCATTCATTTTCATTAAATATTACCTTAAACAAAAGTTCCTTATAATAGGAACAATTTTTTCACTATCAGAACAATCGCTCGCGCAAGAGAAATCACACGAGCGATTGGCCACTAGGGTGGGCTATTTCTTACGAAAAGGCCTGCAGTTGCCATTACTCCAATATTTGATTTTGAGTTCCATTAAAACGCTCAAAAAAAGAGTCATGTGATACCAAACTGGAGTCATTCAAAAACACAGTGGAGTCATTCCAAAACGGAATCATTTCAAAATGCATCATTTTCTTACTAACAGGGAAGACAGAGACATTCGAAAACGCAGTCAATCAATCTCAGGAGAAAGAGCTCAAACAAAAGATATGAGTACAGATAAAAATGGAGTCATGGAAACACCCACATTATCATTTTGACCAAAATGGACTGGCATGGGGTAAGTACGAAAACATGAAAATAAGAAGAAATGAATAAAAATAAAAGAAAAAAGAATCTTAAATGAGAACGTGGAACTGTGCGTGTGATAAAAAGCATGCCTTAGCAGTTTAAGGCATGTGTAATAGAGCTAAAATAATGCCAGCCTAAGTGTACCTAGCTATTTCATTTATTATGTAGATTGTTAGGAAATCCCCCTTGTGTCTCGAATGTTCTGTCTTTGCGACACAGCACCACGCAGTATTACAGTGCATTCAATTATATTGTTGTAGGATTACCCCTCATTAGGATCATATCATATTGCGCATACGTCTGTTTCTAGAATTATCTCGTAGTCTATCATTAGCAACATTTTTTGCTTAGTTATGCTTTTCTGTTATTTCCTTGTACATATAAATATACACAGTAAGTGAGATCCGGAGAGATTCGAAGAGAGCTTCAGAAGTATTAGACATGTAAGGCTAAACACCAGGAGGTAGCTAACCGTTTCACCCAAGAGGCTTGCAAAAGCTCTTGTGGCCCAGTTTGGATTTAGGACAGGCAGTGCTTGAGAAAGACTGCACTGTGCCTCGTTTCATACTTCATTGGATTGTTTAAGTATTAGAGTTTGGGAGAGCCGTCGTCGTTCATATTAGCAGTTTGATTAGCCTTGGATTGTTACATGATGGAAATGGAAAGAAAAGTATAGCCACTCGCAGAAATCATCATTCTTTAAATTTTTCAATCTTCCGAGTATCTCTCTCGATTTAAACATCCATTTTACACATGTGTGGAGGAGTGTGGGTGCGATCGCATGCCTAATATTATCCAGGACTGTGCTACACTTGAGATGATGCATTATCTAGCCTTTCTTTTGTAATTGAATTTTTAGTCTCTTTGTAAACTATGTTGATTTTCCATCTTAAAAATCATTAAAACAATATAAAGATTTCATATGGTGACTCACCTCCATATTTTGACTTATTAGCATTGTGTTTAGCAGGAATTGTATCTTTGTAATGTCTGGAATGCTATTGTATTTGGCCTGTAATAAAATTGCAAAAAAAATCAATAAAAAGGGAAGAGGCAAAGGGTAACAACCTCTCATGGACTGACCAGAAGTCTAGTGAAATAACCTGACCAAGGAGCCATTTCATAAGAAACAGCAAATGCAACAAAGATGCTACAAGGGTGACCATACCAACACTGTATAGCACAATCTTGGCAAAACAAAATAAATTGGTAAAAAATCACAAAAATCATCAAGAAATGACTTAATATCTATCATAAAAATAGGCAACTATTCTTCAAGAACTATTTATTGATTGATAAACCTTCTGGTACACTGTTGTTGAAACAGCTAGCTAGCTCAAGACGGAACCTTTATAGAATCAGTCAGTTATATAAGTTAATGAGAATAAAAAAATGCGAGAAATGACATAGGCAGTTGGAACTAAAGTCAACAGCATGAGGTGAAGGCCATTCTTAAGCTGGTATCTTTACAACAGAATTCCATACCATGTAAGACAGAAAATTAAGTTAAAAATCTTGTTTCGGGGCCTAATAAATAGAGAATGATGACAAATCTGATTTTTTTCTATCAATTAAAACTACATCTATATCTACAATACAATTCTGGTCACAACCACAGCAGGAAAAGACACACTGTCACCTGGTTCCCACTGTAGATGTGACTTATAAATCTAAACACGCAGTTTACATAGAGAAAAATAACAGCAAAAAAAGAACAGTCAGAAAAAAAACAGTAATGATATTTAAAAAGAGTAGGAGGTTGTTGTTAACCCAAAGAGAAGAGAACTGCTTGGAAAATCTCTTTGTGCAGTGGGAAATGATGGATATTGGTGCCTCAATATTCTTGATTATATTCAAATCAAAATCTCCACACAATAGTCTCCATACAAAAACTGACTTTGACAGCTCATGAGTCATGATTTGTACATACTGCCATTCATTGACAGATTTGACCAGATTTGAAAAGCCAAGTTTACTCAGAAGACTTAAGTAAGGCTTTACAGCAATGAAAAAATGCCAAACGAGGATTCTATATGGTGCCAAATGATGGTCTAAAAATTGAGAATCAATAAAAAAATATCAAGGAGTACGCATTACTTTACGCCACAATATCGAGAATAAGATAAATTCGTGATCATTATTAAAGTTATTTGTCTATTCTAGACAAAGCACCCTTTTCGAAAGCATTTGGCATAAATTTTATCACGACAGGTTAATAATTTTCAGGTTGCGAAACATCTATAAAGTTACAATGTCAACTTAATGGATTGGAGTGAAATAAATTCGCAAAATTTTGAAAACCATCACAGTTCATTGTATAGTATTTTAGAAGTTATTTGATTCACGGATGAATGGTCGCCGTGACAAATTGGATAAAGGTGTGGATGGATCGGTATTAAACCAAGTGGGCCTAAGCATTGATAAGGGTGCCTGGTTCATTTTTGAGAGGAATCACCCAAAATATAAAGCTTCTGGAGTAGTAATCGTTAAAAAATCTACCTCAGCTTGATTTCTAACGTCATTTTGTGGACTCAACAACTCCCCGACCAGGGCTTCAAATTGCTGCAGTTCACTCGCCATATCGGCAACTTTGGCAACTTGGCAAAAGGAAGATCGAGGCGCGCATGCGTTTTTCACCATGCGCACGTGAGTCAGCCATGGCGGTAATGCGACGAAGCATTAAACAAACTCGATAGTCCCTGCGATGCAGCACTATTCTTGTTGATTCGAGTGGAGATTACTGGCGAAGCCAAAAAATTTTCGGAGCAGTAAAAGTTGATTTTTGCCGATAAAAGAGTGCCCGTCTCACTCTTTAAGGGTGTGGTCAAAATATAAATAATATCTTATCCTGCTTTATGTGTTTTTCTATTTCTAAACTCATACTTTAGCAGGGCCGGCGAAACCGAGGGGGCCGAGGGGCCATGCCCCCCCACTTTTCTGTAGAGCTAAGGAAAAATTTTAGGCAAAAGTGGAAATAAATGTTGTATGACTCTGTAAGTAACTTTGCCTAGTATTCTCTTAAATGTGTCCTTAGCTTGTCTTTATCATTGAAGACATACATAAAATTGAATGTGGGAACTAGATCCAAGAAATCGGTCATTGTCTAAGTTTTACAACGAGTAAGAGCTTGGCTTAGCAAATAGATCGAGAAACCTAGTTCAGAATAACTTGGTGCCAGCACAAGTTGACGGAGTTTCGTTTTTTCCACTGCCTAAACTTGGCACACAAGGTCTATTTTTTAACGAAAACTTTCTCAGAAACATTACAAAAAGAGAGAAATCAGCTGTTGAAGGAAAAAAAACAGCTGGAAAGAACTTTTTTGAGGCTATGAGAAATAAAGTAAGGGCAGATTTGTTCTTAAAAAGTATCATCAAGAAAACTTCAGAGTCTGATCGTTTGGATGATCCATTCCCACTAAGAAAGAGAAAATATCGTTATAAATTCTATTTAAAATCATTTTGACTAGCCCAGTTTGAAGGTTTTTCAATTTTTTTTAAAGCACTTCATTTCCGAAAAAGTTAAGATCAGATGTTACAAAGTTATATCTTAACTGTGCAAAATTGCTTAACTTTTTATTTTTAGTTGATAGTTCTTCTGTTGACATTTCAACGTTAATGTTTTTTATTAATCCATGTTTCATTTATTTTTCTCCCTCGTCTTATTTCGGGTACTTTAAAAATCTAAAGAAGGTCTCAATACGAGCTATTTGAAAGTGGTTATTCTAAAACTTTTCCATTTCAAGTCAACATCACAATAGACTATGTGACATCTTCAGTCAAATTTCTCTAAGGCCATCTCTAAGACACCATAATTCTAAAATTTTGCTTGCCGCCAACCATGGTGGCGGCCTTCCCTAAGCCCTTTCAAGGCTTTGATATCTTGGCCCCTGATATTTTGGCCCCTCCACTTTTAAATACGTTTCGCCGGCCCTGTTTAGTGCCATACTTAGAAAGTTCAATTACTACACAAATGTCAATACTTTAAAATTGTTGCAAAAAGGCTACAGGGTGTGAGAAAGATTTGTTCTTTTGCGCCCCAAACATCCTTCATGTGCTGACGGACAAAGTTTTGGAGGTTACCGCCCTCGTACCCTCTTTGGCAACACCCGGTATGTCACGATAAAAAAGTACCCGGAAATTAAGTTAAGGCCACAATGAAAAGTGATTGAAAAGTGAGTTGAATCAATGTCGTTACAGTACTGTGTTATTCCATGTAGACGTTACGTTACAGTACTGTACATCTCAAATGGATAACCTATGCCAAAATTGAAGTTTTGTTTTTACTTTTATTTTCACGAATGGTTAAGGTCATCAACCGAATGCCAAATGTATTTGGCTCTCAAGAGTGTCGTCAAAAGGTAGATATTTTCAATCGAGTAATAAAAATTGCTTCACAGCTGTCGTAGTTGAGAGCTTCACTGCCGTCGAGTTGATCCCTTTCACGATCTTTCTGCTAATTCTTGTTTAGAAATGTGTAACAACTGAGCGGGGAAGGAAAATGAAGGCCAAACTAAGAGATCAGTTATTAAGAATTGTTATTTAACTCAAGTTCATTATGCCGATTCTTTGTTTTAAAAATGACAAAAAAAAGATTTTAACTTGCTACTGCTACTGCTTCAAAGCTAATTCTTGCTAATGCCAGAGCTTTATTACAATCATCAAAAACTATGATACCTCTTGAAGGGAATGTTTACATGGAGAGTAGCTTGCATGGCTAACTGGAATGGTTCTGATATCTCATAATTACCAACAAATTATCTTATATCCAATGCATTAACACTCGAAGAAAGCCCGAAGAGATTTGATTTGATTGGATCTTACTTAAAGCAGGTTGAGAACTTTATACTCAAGAAGCTAGCTGGCTGGCATAGCGGGAGCACTTCGCTTGAGCGTGTATATGATATAATGTGTGTCACAAACATGCTTAAAGCATGCTTGACTGGCTACATTCCTTAATGCATCATGGGATAAATTAATTAGGGCAGTTTATCAACAAACAAACTCTTGGCTATTAATGATCTAATTAGGGTACCGTACCTTGTATGATAATACTTATATATATATACGTATTTAACTAGTTCCAGTACACCACGTCATCTTACGAAGTTTTCGTTTTAGAATTTGATTTAGCTGGACAAATAATGCTTTTTATTAAAAAATGAAACTAAAGATATTTTATCACAACACTCAATAGAACCAAATAAAAAACAAAAATAAGGATACTAAGCTACATTGGTTCTTTCCTTTCTAAATATAATGCTGAGGATGAAATTATATCTTTAAAGGAAGTTTTTTATCTAAAATCTATCTACATCAATATGTATGGATTTGGAAATCATTTTTCTACCTGTACTACACTACAGAGAAAAGCATACACAATAGTTACGTGAAGTAAGAAAAATGTTGACATTTGGTTCATATAAGGAAGATCAAATAACAAATTGTTCTGCAAATTCTTTACTTTTTACAAGTTATGATACAAGATATTGTGATTAATTGGGAGGTGGTAAGTGAACACCAGTCATACAAAGCCTTCTTGGAATCATGAACTGTGATTTGCGTGGTAAGCTTATAATTATAGGACATTTATGGTTTCTTGCTATAACAATATCTACATTGGCTATCGAACATCTTGGAGCATTGGTCTGATGTCCCAAATCTAAAAGAAATTCAGAGTTGCGTTTGTTACGTCGTTACTATTGAATATCAACGAGCAAGGAAATCTAGACAACAATAAAAGATGTGAAAACTGTCTGCTGAGAACCGTTCTCGGCAGACAATGAATTAATTGCGGTGATAACTTTCAGTTTGGTTGAAATACTCCAATCAACAAGGAATAAAACGTTAGTTAAGATAACTGGTTTTCTATTGACAAAGGGTTTATTTAGAAATGACAGAATTTAAAAGCCTCTTTTCAAATTCTTCAGAGCCCAGAAAAATTTACATCCTTCTTCTGGACATTTTCGTCAAGCTCTGTAATCTTTCTTCTGAAAAAATTGGGCGTTGACTGGCTACATTTACTTCTTTTGCTTTCGTTTGCTTTCCTGACTTTATTTAAAGACCATAGAATGGCCATGTTTTCCGGCCTCTGATACTCATTTTTCTTCACTAGAATCATGTAACGTGATTTCTACTCTACGTCTTATTGGAGACGGGGAAGGCTATCAAGATTTTTCAGTATGCTGAACTTTTTTCCTGATTAATATCTAATAAATTCAAATAGGGTAGTCCTTGAAAAGTGCATCTACAAATCTCCTTGGGAAATCTGTAATTGTCCTCACCTTAACGACTTTATCAGCACCACACGTGAGCAGCCTGCCTTTGCTGAGATCAAGCGACATGTCAGTGATCATGTGTTTTGTATCGTGGAAAACTGCCAATGATGTAGTTCTGCAAAATAGAGTTGGATAAATGACATCGTGGGAAATCGAACACTCGTAGGCATGTGTGTATAATTAAATAGTCTATTCCATGCGAAAAACAGCATTCATATCCTCACAAGCGATTGAATAATTGAAATTGCAACTTTCAAATATGAGCATTTGGCAAAATTTTAGTACAGATATAGTGCATAAAGGTTACCGCATCAAAGCTCATTTTCTGTGGCTGAAAGTCACATGAATCAAGAATGATTTTCACCAGGGCATACAGAAAGGTTGAAGAAAATGAGTTTTGTAGTCAAAAGAAAAATAAATTGAAGTTGAAAGCGGAATGAAACCTTAACAATAGAAGACTAATCATAACTTTAGAAGGTTATTCTATTTCTTCACGTGTAACATTTGGTTTAAGCAACAAACTGCTTTATCTGTTATCTTTAACAGTAAGGAGAACATTAGCAAAGAAACTCACTCTTTTTCGGTTAACTGATTATGACATTCTTCACAGAGTCTTACGTCGAATTCAAACCCAAGGAGAGGTAAAGGTGACGCTTTTTCGCTGCATTTATTGCAAACTGCACGTCCGCATCGTCGACAATGGTGCTATGGTTCAAAATTCATACTATATTAGGCGTTCTTTGTTTTTAAACAATCTGATAAAGTCGCCCAAAAATTGCTGCACCAGACTTTCATTTTTCAACAAGAAACAATTAAAGCTTTTGCTACAACATTCAATCGGCCTTTTCAAAAATTGCTAACATCATACCTATATATGAAAAGTCTTTGTTTACTTGTAGTCATGTAACGGTCTAGCGGGTGCTAGTGCTAGCTAGCATCAACAGGCGGGCACTTAGTTTGCTTAGCTGAAAGAAACCCACATGTATTTCTACGCAGTATTTTGCTTGTGTAGGTAAATCTCATATCCTGTGAATCTCGATTCCTTTAAAAGGCTGAAACTTGCTTGATTCCTTTAAAAAGTTTTGGTTCTGGTGAGTATTCGGTGCTGTTTAAAAGATGGCATTAGAAGTTTGTTTTATGATGAAAACAGATCCAGATAAATCCAAGACAATCAAAATAGCCGTGAATCAAAATATGCAACTCGAAAGAATAAACAAATGAAATACTTTATACCTGTAGCATAATGGCACGAAACATAAGTAGCGATGTTTTTGATGCTAATTAGAACTGAAATGCGATAACTTACTTGTCTTACACCTATAACTTTTTTCTCCATCATGTGTTTGAAATTCCAGAAAAAGGGTTGTGAACATTTTTCGCAAATATCGCTTTGCGACCAATTTGGTGTCTACAAAGGAAAAACGGCTGATTATATAAGTTGAAGGCTAATCATGACATTCGATTGTATAGGCTCTTCAATACACAAGTTGATCTATATAGCCTTGGTGCTACATTTTGGTGAAGAAGCAAATATTTTGCCTGGAACCATGGTTTTAGATTTCTGATGCCGCAAAGACAATTTTAGGCCACCCTGAGGTAAGGGGGCTAGTGGGCAACGGAACCTTGGAACAGAACAATGAATGGCCATTTTAGGGGCTCATCAGAATTCTGACTACTGTTCAAACTAGTTAAAATTTCATGATTTGTCGAAATAGTAGATCTGAGAGTTCTTAGGCCTTTCTGTGAGCACCTCACGGCTATTATTTTTCGCGACTGGCCTTTTCCTATATCCGCTTGCTTCCCTTACCGAGAGAAGATCTTTCCAATGAGAAGGATTTTTGCTAACATTTACTAAGCAAAAAGAACTAAGGAAACAAAAACTGTATCATGGTTGTTCATCTCCTCAAGATCCTTGAAAATTGACTTGTAAATTCACCAGACAATATTTTCTTGACCAAACTAATTCTAAGCTTAATAAATTAAATATCATCAAAAAATGTCTGCAAAAACAAGTAATATGCATGTTGGCATTAAGGCAATATATAAGGTTCCATAACAGCATCATAAAGCAAAAAATATAGGAAGATTCTTTCTAAATATGTCCGTTATTCAAAGAAATCACAAAACTTAATACATACTTCATCTCTTTTTGTCTTCATATCCCAGATAACGAGGATCTGATCTTCGCTTCCAGAAAATAACTTTTTACATTGAGGCACGTAGGCCAAACCCCTAACTTTGTTTCTAAAACAATCAAAACATAACAAGGATGAATAATTTAAACCGACGAGATTCAGTTCAACTTTGTAGATTTTCAAGTTTCATTTTTTAAAATAAACATATTTTTGTGCATCGAAAAATACCTTTAGATTGACAAAAACAACGAATGAAAATAAAATCTCAACAAAAGAGTGAAAGAAGAAAAAGAATAAACCGTACATCCAAGATACTACAATATGGATGATAGATTTAGGAAATTTGGCAAAGCGAAGTAAACGATGAAAAGATTCAAGCCAAACTGACGAGTTTTCAAATTAGGTAACACGAAACAAGCAATTCCAAATTTCTTACACATGTCCCTGGAGCTCTAATGCAGTTCCTTGTTTCCCTCCAATATCCCAAATTATTACGGACTGGTCGAAGCTCCCAGAAAACAGCCACTTATTATCAGAATCCCATGTCAAACACTGGATGCTTCCTAGGCACAATTAGAAAAAACGGAAACAGGCATTAAATAGCTAGTAGTGGTCGACTTTAACTTAATAAAACAGCTCGGAACTGTATAGCATCAAACGTTGAAGCTACTTAAACTTCTTAGGGATACACAAACCACCACTACAGGCGTGGGGTGGACAAATTTTGTCATTCGGCGGTTACCCTGTGTGACGATAGGCGGTCTCCCTCAGATAAAAACCGTTCATCCCGGGCGCGCCGAGACTGAAATGTCCGCCCCTGCACTCCCTACCCTAACGAATTAAAATCTTCCCTCATTTTACTCTTTAACAACAGCCTTGAAATCTTCCTTTTACTGACTATACCTAAACTTGCCAAAAGCCAAATAATTTGTTTGTGCCCAGCCAATCAACAAAGTGTCAAACTATACCAAAGACAATCCTATCAAGATGTTACAAGCAAATATCAAGCAGAAGGTATACTCGCAAGTAATGTGAGCATTGCAAAAATGAACGTTTTTAAAAACAAACCTGAATGTCCTTTCAATGTGGTGACATGAGTCAAGCTTTTTTCCTCATCGCTTAACCTTAAAACGCTTATTTGTCCACTAAAATCTCCAACAAATACATATTTTGCATCAGCATCAAACCTGGTTTATCTGTTAAGGTTTACCACAGAAAAAAACTTCCATGCAATCTAACCACAAACAATGCATACATATGAATAACTAAACTGGACTTGACATTGACGAAGAATGAACAACCCTGTAATAAAGAAAATCATAACAAACAAAATGTACATTACCTTGTACTCTTTAATAGTTTGACTCTACAGTATAAATAAATATTTAAATAACTAGGAAGATCTTAATTACCAAAACTTTGGAGCATGGGTCTAAAATCAAAGACTGGCTCTAAAAGCTCTTAGAGCACATCACAGATTAAAAATTTAAGAGAATTCTTTGTCAAGACAGGGAAATTTGATATTCATGAATCTCTGCATAAAATTATTTGCTCATTTGAACTTGCAGAGGATAGAATATATAAAGATAAAATTTAAAACTCTGAACTTCCTGTCAAAACAGAAAGGTTGATTTTATACCTTCAAAAGGAAGTTTTTGAATTTATCCATATTTTCACTCAAGAATTCAAATTAGAGATTCAAAAATGAACTGATAACAATGAAAATATTAAATGAAATTTGCAATGAAAAGATACTGCATACAAGTACACCAGGCTGTTGTGTTGTACCCACCAAACCTTCTTCCTTCAACAGTGCTATGCCATTGAAAATATTTATCATTGCCACAACTCAGAAGCCAGCGGTACTCATCTGAGTATATAATCGATTTTACTGTCTTTGTATGAGCTGAAAGTAAAATACAATTAATCCATTTGACGGAAGAAATTCTCTTTAGGGAAACAACATTTTGACTGAAATTTTTTTTGAAATTCTAAGTTATTGTAGACACAAAGGGCCATAAAGGAAACATGTTGTGCTATATTTTTGCAGGAGCTTCTCTTGCAAATCTAAAGCACATTCTAGAAATAAAAGGTATAAAGTAATTTCAGACAGACTTTCTTAATTAGAAAACAAAGTCATAAATCCGGCAAAACTTTAGATAAATTTCTGAACTTACCTAGATAATTTCTTTCATGGCTTAATCTATTTAGATCTTCTGAAAGTTTCATTTCCTACCAAAGAAATGAATGATCCAGTCAGGTAAGTGGAATTCAGATGCTTGTTACAACTACAAACAACATGCAATACAGCCTTGTCCAAGTTGTTTATTTTATTATTTCGAATAGGCACAACATATCCTTATGAGTTCTAATAATTTTAATGAAACATCATTTGGCAATTTCTTTTCATGCTATTCTTTTAATAAGGACAATTCAAAAGTGGATGTTTGTGAGGTTAGAATTCAAAATATGTGTTTCACATACCTGTACTGACAAAAAATCATTGGAGATAGGAAAAGTTAGAAGAGCCGAGCATCAAGGGTTTTGCACACCTTTCGATGAACACGAGGAAGTAACAAGCTACCCTCTCTATCCCAAGTATAAAATATGACAAAGAGGATATACTTAAAAGTATATAAAATGTAGCAATAGTGAGAAAAATAAATGTTGAAACAGCTCATGGACCAGGAAAATATGAAAACAACTTTTAAATCATACATACTGCAATAGTTCCATTTGTAAGTCCAACAAATAACTTGCTGCTTTCACCATGGTAAAACAGGCATGTGCAAGGAACTAGAAATTTATGATACTTTTTGATTAAAAAGTTGATAGTGAAATTGAAGAAAAAAGAAAGGAACTTATTGATTTCAACTGAATATTAGCCTGCCCCCCCCCCCCTCCAAAGTATTCAAACAGAAGCCAATGTTACATCAATTACACAAATTGTAAAATTTTTGCCCGCGATTCATTTTATTTCTAAAGTAACAAATTTGGAGAGACATCCATGAGACAAATTGACAGCACGGAACCAGTTAGGAATCAATCTAGCAAAATTTCAATGAAATGGTAATGAATATTTGCCTGAATGTCAAGGATTTTGACATTGAGAAGGCCCTGAAAGAGTTTAGAATTCAGTTGACAGTTGAAAATGCACATAGTTGTGTGACATGGGGAATAGTCTTGTTGAAAAGTTAAAGGTTGATTTACATATCCATTAATATTATTATATGGTACTTTCTGGAAGGATTTTTGAGGATGACAACATAATATGCAGCATTGACAGAACAACTTTGAGAAAACAAGATAATGACCCCATTAGGCCTAATTAAATCCCAGACCATTACTGAAGTTCCTCCCTTTTTTGGGTTTGGTGGACAGGACATTTGGTTATCTAATTCTTTAGTTGTTTTCCGGACTCAGAAGACTCCAGAATCATTTTTAAAACAAAATCATTTGAGAAGACATTATTGGCCCAGTCAGTGCCAAGTCATTCTTTTGTGACCTTACTCTGTTTTGCAAGTGAGTGCAGTTACAAGCTGAAGAATCAGGCTTTCTTCTTAGGATACAAACTATAATTTCATATTTTGAAAGAGTATGATTTTGGATTTTGGATAGTTTTTTAATTGGATTTTGGTCACAAAACTTCATGGTTACTCACTACTTTAACTCTTTTAAAACCAACAAATGTGGCTTCTTCGCAACCACTGCTACAATTATTTTGTCTGTCTGAGAAGATTTTTTTCACTTGCCTGTTCTCAATTTTTCTTGTGTAAACTATTCTATTTGAATAGCTTGCAAATACTATGGGCAGTAGACTTTTTGTAGCCCATTTTCCATGCCATCCTATAAAAGAACTGCATGGCAAAGAATTTTATGACCATTCACTTTCATTGTCCATGTTTTAAAGGTAATGTGTCCTTATAAAAGGACTGCGTATACCCAACTTGTCAAGCCACCCATCAAAATAACAGTTTGCAATTTGTTAGTATTCTTGCGATGCAAAACTGCTCACACGAAAAGCTGACCTCGCAGCAGGATAGATAAACAGAGCGACCGTAATGACTGGGGCGATGACATGAAAAATCACATGTTTCTAAAAAACCCCGCAGAGTCGCTTGCTATAGCAGGACACGTTACCTTTAAGTCTTTCTATTTTGCAAAGAAAAACTTTTTTTCCACTTCTGAAAATAATTTTTCCAGCAAATTTTTTTAGAACAAAACTTCAATATGTTTGGTGATTTATTCTGCTTATTTCCCGAGCTTAATGATTTATATTCAAACATAAACTTAATAATACTCAGGCCTTTTTGCAAAGACATTTTCGCAAGGGAACAAACTGTCCATGTGGATCAGCTTAGAAGGGCATGATTGCTCTTCCAACAGTACTTGTTAAAAGAAGTCCTTCAGGACATGAAAGGGAATCAAGGTATCATCTACCCACAACTGCCTAACCTTTGGCTTTCTTAATGTGCGATTACTGCTAGGCCTGTCCACCGAAGGTCGAATAATCGGTATTCGGTTACCTGTTTCAATATTCGGTTACAAGCGAATAGTTCGAATAGTACGATTATTCGGTTGGAGACAAATAGTGCGAATAACCTCACTGTTGGAGGTCCACAATGGTTGTTTGAATAGCGGCGACTCATCAAATAGTGTTGACTATTCAAATAACCGTGACTGATCGAATAGCTGTGACAATTCGAATAGCGATTCCCAATCAAATAGCAATGACTGGTCGAATAGCAAGGATTGTTCTAAAGGAGAAAGGCAACTTCCTATCTTCAATCTTAGAGAGAGTTTCAAGGATACGGGCCTTCTTCAAAAATCGCAATCCCAAGAAATAGTTACAAAGCCAATAAAGCAAGATTGGAAGGGGGCAGGGGGAGTGGAGCGTGGGTTGCAGGTGGGGGTCATGGGGCTTTTCCTCGGGAAATTTTTGTGCTACATGGCCTCTGACAAAGGAGAGGCTGGGGGGCTATGACCCTATTTTGCAGAATAATATAACTTTTCGCAAAATCTTTTGTTGGGAGTGTTAAATTTTCTCTTGCCCTCCCTCCACTTCCCAACCTGTGTCAAAGCCCGTGCTAGAAAGCTTTTCACTTTTAAAAATGTTGGAGAACAACCCTTTTGAAAACGTATGACTATGGTTTCTCATTAATTTGATACTGACTTTTTGGCCATTAGGGGCAAATAATGCTAGGGAAGGCTCGAGAAAACATTTTTATTTTTGACAAAAAAACCTTTTTAAAAATTGCTTTGCAGCACACCCTTTGAAGTTACGTTAAACACAGGAAATATCAATAGGAAAACAAAAAATTAATGGTTCTGACTTATCAAATAATAATGACTGATTAGCTATATTCACGGGTTGGTTTAATTACAAGAAATTTTCAGATTGCTGTTTTTTACCACCACCCTGCCACACCCATTTACCACACCCATATTCGCCGAATAACCGAATATTCGTTAAATTTCAAGCCAAATAACCGAATAGGAATATCCGAAGGTTTGGACAGCCCTAATTACTGCCAGTTTGTAACCAAAACTTTTGATGTAATGATTTATAATGTTAACAGTGTTAAAAAATGTTAAACATAATGTTGAAAAATGATGCTTTGTTTTCATTAACAACTTGACCCTTCATTCAGGAATACCCTAACTTTTAGGGATGGACGAAAAGGAAATGAGTTAAGTTTCACCAGCTAAGTAAAAACATAAGATATAGCTTGAAACCAATTAAAACTGCTATCTAGAAGTTCAAAATTTAAAAGGTCTTCTTCAGTGTATGAATCACATCAGATTCCAACTCCTATAAAAAACGTTCAGCTAGAAAGCCTCAAGAAAAAAACCTTGATGACACTGCGGGAAAATTTGAATTGAATAATGGTGGCAACAATAGTGATATTTCCTGCTAACTTTTTTCCAAGTGAAACGAAAAGGCCTGATTATTCTCTTTCACTTAAATGGCGTTAGTCAGAGTTAGGCCAATAATTTTGCTTGACCATATGAATACCTCTGGGAGGGGGGTGTGAAGTGGGAAGGAAGGAATTTAACAAATAAGCCAGAATCAAGGCAAAAACTAAAAGAATACCTGGCATGAAATGACAAATACTAGGCCAATATTGCCCACTGTCTCTTTTTATCCAGACTCTGAGGCTTCTAAAATAAAGTTTGAAATGAAATTTAATTACTGGCATGCTTTTGTTAGTTATAGAGAAAACTACTTGTACTATAAATGGAAGTCAATTTGCCCACAACTTCATTCAGGTGAAAAACACAGTTGGCATTTGCTACTTGTAGCATGTAATCAGCTATGCACCTGACTAACCATTTTTTTAGTCAATGAAAGCTACCAGCCACTCCCAGACAAGCAGTAACCTGTATTAAGATTTTAAAGGGCACAGGAAAAGCCAGTGTTATCAATCCATACCCTCTCTTCACATTGTTGGTCATTCAACAAACTGTCATTGAAGGCTATACTGAGATTTGCTCATTTAATATGGTCCACATGCAAAATCCATCAAAACAAGAATAAATGCATCAAACTAAGACCTGTAATAGCCTGTCAACTCTAATACCAGCCCTAATTATTTCTTAATGGGGGCAATCCCTTCTTCACAATACAGCTAAATTACAATTCCTGGCTATTTGAATCATTTTATCCCAGTTTGTTTTTGTGTAGGAAAAATGAGTACACTATGTGGTGGGTGGAGGGGAACGCATATGCATATATATATATATATACTCTAGGGGTTAAACCTTTTAAGCATATCGTGACTGCAAACAGTTAAGTACTTTATAACGGTTTCAACTTCAAAACAGCAACTCAAGTATACATAAAGAACAAAAAGCTACAACAGCATCACGAGTGTACAAGTATTCTTTGTACACAGCCACAGGATACCTACCTTTTCTTTCCAACCAGTAGAAGAATCATTGAACTCACTTTTTTATAAGAAACAAAGGTCAATGTTGAGTTTCTTAACGCTTTGTAAAATTTCAATATTTAGTTTTATTAAGGGTTTCTTAATAAATACATTATACATATACTTAATTTTAATGCTAAGGGATCTTCCAACCGAATTTTATTGCAGCTGCAGCTCTTCAATTTTAGACATTTGTAAAACTTCTGTAAAGAGACATTTGTGAAACTTTTGTTGACTCTCCTAAAACTGCAATACTTAGGCGAAAAAAGTATATATTTTTATTCTGTGTCGAAGTTTTACGCAAACCGGCCAATCATATATTGTGAAATTGTTGAGTTCTTTGTTATTCAAAAGGCAATTGTTTCTTAATTCTTTTTACATGATCGTCCATTACTTGTTTTTATAGCAAGTTTCTAATTAAAAATGCTACAATAATTGAACCAGCAGAAGAACAGCGATGACTTTTGATAAAAATTCCCAAAACAACCAGATCGTTGTCAAAACATTGACCGCAAAAGCAGCCAGCTAGTGTGTCATTCAAGCATTTAACACTAGATTTCATTTTTTAGTTCTCGAGCAAAATTCAAATTACTCGGAACAGTGCAATAGTAATCACATGACCAGTTCTGCAAGGAAAAGACAACCAACCAGTCAAGCCCAAAGGGGGCCTACGGCAAACAAAGATGTTTTTTTCGTGTTCAATTATACATACTTGTCTGAAGACACTGTGATAACTGCATCTTCGTGAGGTACAAAGCAAGCCATGTTAATAGCATCTTTAAAACCTTCAAGCTTGTTTAAAAGATGCGGTCTGGCCCCTTTCTTTTTTCCGCCTTGGCTTTCGCTCTTGATATTCTGTGAAGCCATCTTCGTCGAAATCAGCATACTGTGCGATTGCGAAAGCCGGAAGTGCGAAGGAGAAAATACGTCATAAGTTAACTTACTACCTGGATTTTATCCTTCGTATTGTCAGCAAAAACGCTTTAAAATGATCCATTGGACAGATTTCCTTCACAAAAACTATCGATAAACTGAGGAAAAACTATTTACTAACATTTTGGTAGTATAAGGTGTCATTTAATATCAATTACCTTACTATATATATTTCTAACGAAGTAATTGAACATCCTATTGATAATTCAACATACACACCTAAACACCTTATTGACAATTTGATTTAAACACATCTTAATCAATCCTTTAAATTACTTTTCTGAAAAAATACTTAAACATATGTTGGTTATTTATTCTACAAAAATGGTATTGATATGACAAACTTTGCTATATGTAATTGGCGTTAATTTCGATTTGCAATAAGATACTCTAATTCTTAAGGGTATTTATCAGTTCTTCTCTTTAAATATATCTTCTCATAGTTCCTATAGAATTTTCAATTAGCTATATATGATACTCTATTTCTTAAGGGTATTTATCAGTTCTTCTTTTTAAATACTTCTTCACATAGTTCCCAGAGTCCGATTCGTTAGCAAGAAGCATTGCTTTAAGGGCTTTGGCTTCATGAAAGCCTTCCCAATAGCAAACACTTTTGTTTACAACCCGATGCGATTTGATAGATTCGATTGGCTCCGGGCATCCCATCTGACTTTGTTTTCCACTAAAAATTGGTGCTTGCCTCTTCGACTTGCCATCTTTGTACTCTGTTTGCACTTTTTTCCTTTTTACTATAATATTGCACAGATCACATTCTAGGCCTGCAAACATTCTGTGAATAAAATTAACTTTGTCGGCAGGACTATGGATCCTCCATTTCCGAGTATTCAAATATTTCCTTAGTCGTTCATTTTCTATTCCCTTCTCGCGATGCCTCAAATATTCATTATACATGCTATCATCCTTGTCTAGCTCTAACAAGTACATCGCTAAATGTTTGGGACTCTCAAAATCAGAAACAAAGATTGCCGAATGGTCGTTGGGCATGAATTCGCTTGCATGGCTTGACCCCATATACACAGGCACAGCACCCACTTCTAGGGGTCTGAATAGCTTTTCTGTCATGTAGTCTTTGCAGATAGCGTTTTCAAATGCCAGGTGAAATTTGTATCGTGAAAGAAATTGATAATATTCTTCGTCATCAAGTTTGTGGAATCCATCGATGTCTGAAGGCATCTTTCTGTTGTTCAGACAAGGCCCATATGAATCAATATCAATAAACCTCATGAGCTCCTTTACGTAACGGTCTCTGTCTGAAGGTGGATTGCAATCCCTTTGTAAATAAACCACTGGAGCCAACTTTGAGTTTACCCTCAACCTGGAAGAAACAAATGATCAAGCAGCAGTGTAAGAAGCACGATTCACAGCGTAACATTGACAAAACCTTGGAACCCGAGGGCTGGCAAATCGAGGGAACACGACAGGGAAGTGGGGATGGTGGGGTGGTCATCGTCACAAACTATTACAAAATGGTATGAGCACGTCAATACTTAATTGATAATTGGGAAAAGATTACCAATTCAAATCTCTCTCTATCCATTTCATTGTCACTTTGTACGTGTGACACCGTCTAGTTAAATACATTTTTTGGACGTTGCACCTTATATCATATTTGAATTAACACAAAATTCGACGACTAGAAAGCCCAGAGAAGCCTACATTTATGTTCCAAAGACATAGTGAGATACATTTTACGTAGCAAATGATTCTCAACTATGATGAGTTATTTATCCAAAAAAACAATCAAATTAAAAATATCTATCAAAATTGAATTTTTTTTTAATGATTTAGTATTTTGACGTTAGAGAAGCCTACCATAAAATAATTAGACATAATATTCGGCAACCAATTAATTTATAAAATGCCGTTGTCAAAATGTGACCTGCCACCGGCACTATAAAGCAACTAATGAATCGCAACAAGCAACTTGAGCATACCTGTTCTTCTCTTCAGTTGATACAAAATATTTCGAAGTTACCCAGTCATTTGCGTCAACAATAAATTGTGTTGTTAAAGGATAATCTGATTCTCTTCCAAAAGTAGCCGTGTAATTGAAAATTCTGTAAGAAATGAAAACATAACATAAGTAAAGTTTCAAATGTGATAAAAATGTCTAATTTGACGACCAGGTTCATGACATACACCCTTTTTATAAGAACAATTTTATAAAAACACAAGCCTCGAAATTGGTCAATCGGACTTACGATTTATGAAACGCAAATGAAACTTCAGCAGCTTCTACACTGACATGCTCGAATTTAACAATCGTTCTTGGTTATTAAAACAATCGTTCTTCGAAAAACGTTTATAAGATAAAAAAGAAATCATTTTAAGGGAGTTTCAAGCATTGCCACCCGAAGCCTCTGATGCAATTTTCTTCAACACCATCGTTTACTTAACCCTTTACCCTCATATGCACCACTAATGCCATTCACATTTCTTAAGTATCTGTTCCACAGCTTATTTTTCTTAAGCAAAAAAAATTAATGATTAAGCACCCCTTTATTGTTTCTATACCAGAATGCTGCATTTTGTCCTTTCCAAAATCCATGTGCATGATGTGACAAAACAAAGATCATTTTTACAGCAAATGAATAGTTTTAATTTTCATATATAACTAATTCTTTCAAGTTCGAAAAATCATATGAAAATTCATGAAAATGCCAAAAACTAAAACAAAGTATAACAAGCCTTTTAGGAATAACCCAGATAAGAGACTTCAATACTAGATAAAACTTAAATAAGACTATACCATTTCCTATTCGAAACCTTTAAATGCATTTTCTCAATATTCTTATCAGTTCAAAATCTAAAAAAATGTATTTTTGAAAAATCTAGCGTATATTTACTCAATGCCATCTTTATGTGAAAATATCCAGTTATTTTTTGGTGACTCTTCGTGTATCAAAGCCCACATGTGACCAGGGTTCCTTGGCAAGGGTAAATCATTTGCCAAAAATGATGTCCCATAGAAAACAAATGCACTGACTTTTGGGTCATCTCTTAAAATCCTCTTATTTGTTGAAAAGCATTTGCCAGCTGAGCAGTGCAGTTCGTGTTTCTCTTGACTATCATCATGTGGGTATGGCTCTTGATACCACCAAAGTATGATCGGAATTTCATTCTCTGTTTGCTCAACATTTGATTTATGTTGCAGCGACAAGGGGACTGCACCCTCTAACAGAGATAAAAAAGATAGAACTATAAAGGAAAATCAATTAAAACTGAATTCTTAAGAAAAAATCCCAATGATTCATAAAAACCTCTTCATAAAGTAAAAAAGGCATCATATCTTCACTTGACTCCTTCTCGCCCAATTTCTGATTATTATAGCCCCCTGATTCAGAACTCTACAGTATCTCAAATTCAGAGCAAAATAACTTTGTTTACCTGATATGCATCCTTTGTTATCTTTACTTTTCTTATGACAAAAATCAGTCTCTCCAAACACAAAAGAAGTCAAAATAACTGGAAAAAAGAGAATATGATAAAATAAGAGTTGTAATGAAAATAACATAATACATATTTATCATAATGAATGCTATGCATGTAGTTTATAAACCACTGAATATCCATAATTAAGGAAATCGCTACCTTGAAGTGAAATTCTTATCAATTTGACTTCAAATGAACAAATTGATATAATCAAACACTCCCTTTACAAAAGTATTGCACCACCACAAAGAAGGGGAATGGTGCATGAATTATCAAAAGCTATTGTTATGCAAAATATGTTTGTTTTTAAGGGGCAAATGGGTCAGAACAAAAATAACCACCAATCAAAACGTCAATCTATTCAGAGCACTTGTTTAAAAAACAGTAACAAAACGTCTTTAATCAGCTTCAAATTTCAATAATTTGACAGGCACCGCAATAAGCCTCCTTGGAATGGATGTAAATATTTGGGCAATGTATTCTTGTGGAATTTTGCTCAGGCCTGGAGAATTCTTTCAATCAACGATTCTCTGGATTTTGGACAACCTTCTGGATCATGGTTTGAAACTTTTTCAAATGAAGCCAAGCAATTTTTATGATTGTAAAACTGGACTTGATTCTGATTGCGGCAAAGTTTGGAAATAAATCTTTGTAAAAAGGGTTTCCTCTTACTCCATTCATTTTTCATGTTGTATTTGTGTGAGACATTCGTTATATTTTGTCTTGGAGGATTTTGAGCTGAAAAAACCTTGCTTCTGCTTTGAGTTTTATATCTTTTAGTGTCCTCAAATTTAAACACCTTAAAATGAAACAGACAAGTTGTCTCTCCTCTAACATTAATTTTTTTACACAAGCACTTTTTTGTTTTTATGCTAGTAAAGCATTCTCTTTCTAAATTAATCTTTTCCATAAATATTGAATAGCTACTTGCCTCTCATTTGATATCAATTTTTCTCCTTGAAGCAGGGTCTTTATTTCTACAAACAATTTGTACGGCAGCAGAAAGATTTTCAAGAATCTATTGCCCAAATTTGCTACAAATTACGCCTGTTCCACCATGATCATGCATTAAAATGTTTGGTAGGGTTCAAAGATTGACAAAATGTGCAGCAATTATTATGAAGGAGGTATTGCGGTATTTTGTGAGGGGAGTGTACAATAAGCAATTATTACCTGTGCATGCAACTACTGCTTTGAAAAATGCATCATATGAACTGGACCTCATAGCTCTGTGAAGAAGAAACGTGAAATAAATTTATTTTTAAGTATAATCGATCAGACAATAGCAAAAATGGTTAAGTACACGTATACAAATCAAGTTGCTTAAAATCACATATATCTTTATCACAAAGCTTCCATTTCTAAAATAACTTAGTACTTCTAAAAAACTAAACAATTGAATTTGCCGCACTTACCGGCAAAGTGTAAATATTTAAACGGAAAATGTAAAAAGATCAGTGATAAACTAAACGCACGTTAAACTGAGATCTGAAAATTGCATGCAAACCAAGATAACTGTGAAAGACTTATTCTTTCAAAAAAAAAATAAAAACAAGTAAATACAAACCAGGTCAAGTCATATCAGTTGGCATTCTTTTGTAAGCAGTAGGTAGCTATGGCATCTTGCATGACGCTGCTGGTACCTCAGAAATTATTATGAAAAATTATTGTCAAGCCTCATTCTGGAACACCAGAAAGAGGGCATTCAACTCAATTTTCTTCAAAATCGAAAGCATCCTGTTGTGTTGACAGTTAAACCAGGGGGAATTCCTGGGAAAGCTCTCGCCGGATATACGCCAGCCAATGAACAATAGAGAAACGATGGGATATCTCCGGCGCAAGCTACATGGACTTCACACTGGTAGTTAAAGCTTGTTAAGAAACTGTAAGAAACTATGGTAAGAAACTGCTTTCCACCCGGCAATAAAATGGAGAAAATATCGGCAGTTTCTTTCTTGCTGTTGCTTGGTATTACATTAGCTTCGATGGTACCTTTGAACTGCAATACCAACAGGCCCATTTCAAAAGTTGGTGATTACCTTGCAGAAAGACAAAAACTGATTGCAGAGGACGCAGCGCAAAGGACCGGCCAACAGATCATATTAACAGACAAGGAGAAAAAAGCTAACGATATATTAATGGCATGGAAACGCAAAGAGCTTGATGCTGCATTTACGAGTGGAAAATTTATCGGAGCAGAAAGTTTCATTACAACGAAGACCAAAATAGTTCAGAGTAAGGTGTTCCAGATTATCAAAAAAATGCCGAAAGGTATGTCTGACCAAAACCCTACCACAGGGCCACTTTGTGGAGTTGTAAATTAAAATTGTGGAACTGTAATTATAGAAAGTGTGGATTTGTAAATAATGCATGTTCTTAAAAGTGCAGCATAGAATACCAAATCGAAACGCCTAAGAAAGAAATGGGAACATTTTTTCAATTGGAAGTGAATGCACATTCCCAGCATTATGTATTGCATTCATTTTTTATAAGAAAATTGCGACAAGAAATAAGCAATGGACAATGAAAAAGAATTAAGAAACTTCAGAACTCAAGGCTTCAGTACATGCGGAGAAAAATCAATTGCGCTTTATGATATTGTCGTGTGCTATTTTGAAGTAAGATGGACTCTGTATACAGCTTTGATTTCAAGACATCATCTCAATTTAGTTTGCTTTTATGATTTGCTTCAAAAAAGACATTGAGCATAAAGACCAAGACCGAGATTATGATCTCCTGCCCGTAATGTATTTTGGGGTTTATGTGATATCTTTCAGTAGATTTAAGAAAAAGCTATAAAGCAATTCAACTAATGTGTTCTAAATTGGAGAAGCATTGGAAAGATTCCTCCCAAGGCTACAGCAGCTGAACGATGATGGGCCTCTCGGTGGTAGCTTCAGGATATTGTCAGTTGTTTTGAATGGTTGGCAGCCACATATTTTGTGGTTGGCAGCCAAATGCAGCCAGCTAAACGAAGTATACAAAAGAGCTAAATTTTTGCTAATTATTGGGAGTGATATCGTAATCAAAATTTGCTTTGTGGGTTACAAAAGTTTTCACTTGCTTTTATCAAAAACTGTCTGTTATCTTTTACTTTGTTTCATCCTTCATCATTTGCAATTTTGAAATTATTTTAAAAAGTTTTGAATATTATCTGTGCAAAAATTTTTTGTTTCCTTTGCATTTTTGTTGTTTTTTGAAACATGCAGCCAGGATTCAGCCAAATTTTGCTTCTTCAGCCAAATCAATTTGTGGTAGCCAAGGGGTATTGAGAAACTGCCAAAATGGAGAAATTTGGCCATCAAACCATGAATCTAAATTGCCTTTTTGTTTATGAAGAATGAGTACACTGGGTTGTCAAAAAGGCCAAATTGCAACTCTGGCCACTTTTGATATTCTGAGCATGCATTAGCCTCTTTCTCGAGCAGGGTTCCCTTGATTTGAAATCTAGCATAATTTTTGCAAATCTAGCACAACCTTATGAAAAATTTGGCGTAATTCCAAAATTGAGATCTGGTGCCTGGTTTCTGCATTACAAACAAGATGGGGGGAAAGGTCATACTTTCAAGCTGGGCGAAAAGAGAATAAGAAGAAACAAGCACAATTGTACATCAGTGAGAGAAGAGTTTATTTGTCATCGTTAACGAGGTTTTGTTTATAATATCAAAACTTATTGAAGAACAGATTTGATGGCAAATATTTGATGAGCTGAATGCAGTTAAGAACTTTCCATAAGTAAAAGGGACTTGAGAAAGCTTCACCCAGCTTTTGTCCCGGACAAAATATTTTATTCAATCATGCATTAAATTTTGAGAAATAAATGACTAAGATCGCAGAGATCTGAGACTTGATCTCAGAGGAATTCTACCAGACGAGACAATGACTCGGATTCTTGCAGCAAACCCTAATCCTGTCGATGCAGAGAGGCAGATTCCCACCTACAACAAGATAGAGGCAGGTGGGGAAAGCAGCATAGCTCCACAAAAACTTAACAAATAGATAAATATTGCAATGAATATGCTTGATCTCGCAAATTTTGAGTTCCGAGAAAAGCTGCAAAGATATGGCTCCCAAAAACCAAAAAACACCGAAGTCTAACAAGCAAGGCTAATTGAAGGGAGTTTTTGAAGGTGAAAGGAAATAAAACAGAGATCCAAACAAACCATGTAAAAGAGTTTCCTTTCAATAACATTTTGCTCACATATTAAGACATTGCTATATGTAGCTAATTTTCTTATTAACCCAATCCATATATTGTAAAGAATCAGCTTTTGCTACTTATACTTCATTCATTTAAAGAATTGGCCCAATTAGGACATGTTATTTGCAGTATGATGGCAGTTTCTATATTTGCCACCCCCATGATGCCAATCCCAGCAAAGTACCACGCCAAATTTTTATAAAAAGTGTGGATCTGTAAAAATTTCTTATTTTAGGCCCTGCCCTACCAGCATGTATGGTTTCATATGAGTGATTCTCCACAAGGAGGTGCTGTTATTAGGCATGATGCCTCTTCATTGAAAGCATGGCACTTGCTCACCTGAAAAAGTTCAAGGTTTTAAAGATGATTTTACAACTTAGGCCTGAAGATCTTCGGCGTACGGCCAGGTTTTTTTCGGCGTTCGGCGTGCAAACCAATAAAAAATTTTTCGCGTACTTAAAATTTTCGTTAGTTGACATTCTAAACATGAAGCCATGTACATAATTAACGTAAAATAAAGACTCATACACCACATTTTCCTCTAATAATCAGTTTTCTTTGTCTGGCCCAATAATGTTTACAGTTTTACTAACTCAACTGCTTTTTATATTTTTGGCATACCTAAACAAATGCCCTGGTGGACCTTCGGCGTACAGTTAACATGGAATGCAACCTGGATTCTCTGTTCAGCCAATTTTTTATCTTCACATTATATTTGTCAAAAATTAGTCATAGAATCACCGTTTTTAAAACGAGGAACGCCCCCCCCCCCCCACCTGATAGGGCTATTGTTATGGTTGTTCTACAATCAAAACATGACAAAATAAAATATTTGTCTGTTTTATAATTCTGAAGTAGTTCTTCAAGTTTACTTGGCTTTTATTCATAAGGCTTGCTGCTAAGCATTTTTATGTAAAAAAAATTGCCATTATCAGTGTGTAGTTTTTTGACATTATTTTCCAATAGGGCCATAACCCAAGGTTGCTGTACAAAGAGCCATAACTCAGCAAAATATCTATGTCTAGCAGTCTATAATAGAACTATTTATTCTCCAACATCCCATTCTCAACATCCTATTCTCCACTATTATCGGACCTTTTTTACTAATTTTGAGTTCTCATATGCAGATTCTGTTTCTAGGGGCAGATCTGCATCTACATGACATGACGGTGGCTGACTTCAAATGGTTGATTTCAAACATTACTACTTTAGATAGTTGTTATATGTGTTACAACATGGCAACAAAGTTAACTCAATTCAAGGTATCATTTAAGCAGCCAAACTCCACTGCAACTTGCGAATGGATATCAACCCCAATGGCAAGAAAGAAGTCTGGAGATCCAAAGAAATTTGATGAAGAATTGTTTACAAACCTCACAATGACAAATGGTGACCCATCAAAGTTATACCCAACACAAAATGCACGTTGGGTTAAATTTCAGAGTGTATTTTATATTCTTTCTGGTCTTCTGGAGTATGTATTTTCTTTCATCTGTTATGCTTAGAATGCTTATTTTAGGGTAATGGATAAGCTACATCCTGAACTTAGTTTGTGTTTGAATTGTAATAGGCTATACAATTCTGTTTGTTGAGTCATTTTTATGTTTTTTTTATAGCAGGGTATCTGGGAGTAAGCCTTGTTGGCTGTCAACCCCAGCCAATTTGCCAATTAGATGCTCACTTTGTAAACAATTTTACTTTCAAAAATATTGTTATTGCTCCCATGTCCTTTCTGCTCCCATGTCCAGGGGGTCGACCACCAATTGACTGCAAACTGTTGCCTTTAACCAAAACCATGGCCCAGCATGAAGCAAAATGCTTCACAACCAATTTTTGAAAAAAAGGACAGGATGGAGGTTAAACTTCAGCATATTCAGAATTATGAACTGATGATTTGATTACTGAAATGTTTCAAGTATTGGGAGAATTTGAATTGGGAGATTTCATGCAGCTATCCATATCCTGATTTGGCCTAAAACCTAAATCCAGATTCTTCAAATTTATCAACTTGGGTCATCAAACCATTCCTTGAAGATAGGCAATGTCCACCCTAAAATTCTCCATTTATGAGACAGAAAATAAATAAAAAATTTATACCAATTGAGATCACTATTAAGAGGACAATTATGATGTGTCTACTTGTCAATTGTTGTCAAAATGCTATAAATTGATATGAACCTTCTTTTTATACCAATAGTTTCATTTAGAATGCATTAAGAATTAGCAAAAATTCAACTTATGCATATGTGCGAGTTGATAGACACAATATGGACATCAGTTGTGTTTCAGATGCCAGTGAAAATTATTTCAAACAGTAATGGGAATTCAATGTTTTTGAATATTATTTGAGTGGTTAAAATTCGACTTTTGGTATGAGATTATACTCATTAGTTGAACTGGGATCTGAATTTTTATGTCTATTCCAGGGATAAAGCTCAACATGTATGCTTTGACAATGTATTTTCATTCCAAACATTTTTGTCTTAAAGGTTCAAAAATGCATTTTCTTGGTACTACGAAAAAGGCCTAGAAGAACTTGTGGAAGATAACATTCAGTATGCAGAGCTTCGAGCATTGCTATTTCCACTTCACGATGGGAATGGCAAAATATACAGTGATCCTGAGTATGTGCTGAATCTTTATAAAAACGTGACAGACGCTTTTGTTGCTAAAAACCCCAATGACTTTTTTGGGACCAAAATCATTTACACACAAACAAGATTCTTGGAAAGGAAAGTCATAGGCCAAGCTGTGCAGAAAGCTATGTATATGCACAAGAAATATCCAGACCTAATGGCAGGATTTGATCTGGTTGGACAAGAGGACAGAGGGAACCCTTTACTATACTATCTAAATGAACTGTTAATACCAGCTGCTGCTGGTGAATCTCTTCCATACTATTTTCATGCAGGTGAAACAAGCTGGGAAGGACAAAGTGTTGATTATAACATTGTTGACGCACTGTTGTTAAACACTAGAAGAATTGGACATGGCTTTGCATTATCAAAACATAAGGTTCTTATGGACCAAGCAAAGTCAAAGTCTGTTGCAGTTGAAGTTTGCCCCATATCAAATCAGGTGTGTTTTGTTTGGTTGAGATTCAACAAGGCATGACCATTTGGTTGAACGTTTTGATTGGGTCTGGTTTAGAGGCATACCAGATCTGCAATACATAGAAATATAAGAAGGTAAATTTTGGAAAGCGTACAAAGCTTGCACTCAGTTGTCTGTATAACAGTGGTGGACACCTAGGGGCCCCCAAATACTAACAATGGGTGAAATGTGACATCATCTTATCAAAACAATAGGCTCCCCCCAATATTTGACCCCAAGAAGTATCTGCCCCTGCTGTATAAAATATGAAATTAATTACCAACGTCGTAATCACAGTTAATTAGCTTTTTGCATGGCTTTTTGTTCTAGTTCTCAAAGAATTAGTACTATGTCTGTTTGAATTATTATTCGTTTTAAAGTAAACAATTGTTAGTTTAGAGAGAATCGAAAAACTTAAATAAGCTAAAACTATACCTGAAAAGATTCTTGGCATACTGAAAAGCGATTTTTCTTATCTCTGTAGCATAATATATGACCCAGCAATTCTCCAATTCTGGGTGCTTAGCCTGACCCCCACCCCATCACCAGCCCACTTCTGGCCTTAGGCCTGTTCAACTAGCAGTAATTAGGATACTGATTTTAAATTTTCCATATTTTTGACAATCAAACCAGTTTAAATTATCTCCTTCTTCTAGGTGCTTGGCCTTGTTACTGATATGCGCAGTCACCCAGCAACTGTTTTCCTCGACCAGAATTTCCCAATGACAGTTAATTCAGATGACCCCCCAATCTGGGGGGCAACTGGCTTATCATATGACTACTACCACGTTTTCATGGCTATGACTCGCTACGACACTGATATCAGGGTACTTAAGCAGTTAGCACTCAACTCAATTATGTAAGTAAAATCTATTTCTTTATCTTGAGAAACAAGAGAGACACATTGCTATAAGTTTACCATGTTTTTCAAGACTGTTAGAAATTGCCTTTAGATCAAAGGTTATTTTATTATAAGATGCTGTTTGTGAATAGACATTTCTTTCACCTTTTTTGTTTATATTATGATAACAGCGGAGGGCCTACGCCACAAGTTTGAAAGTGGGGGGGGGGAAAGCTTTTTCCCCTCTTACTGCAGCTTTAAAACTGCTTGCTTTGCAAAAAAGTGGGGGGGGGGTATGGCAGCTTTTCCAATGTATAAGAGACAATATATTGTTGTTTTGTGTAATACAAAGAGTATAACATGGAGCTAGAACTTTATCCTCTCCTATTTGAGACGTTATTCAAGGATCTGAGTTTATCAGCCTGTATGTTATCTAAACCATCTTTTGGTCCATAACTTTCAAAAACCTGGCCTGCAGTTTCTTATGTGCGTTTTTACCATACTTTACATCATTGCTAAGCCTTCTTGTTTTGATATATCGTGATTTTTTTGGCTGATATTTTCAATTTATTTCCAATATGGATATTGAGTTTAATTTTGAATTTCCTTGTATGTTAATCTGTAAAAAACGGTTTTGCCCAATTCCATGTATATGAATGTGAGCGGAATTTTTTGTCCAGGTTTTCTTCTTTTGAAAATCCAAGTCAGTCAAGTAGCAAGATCACATTGCTGGTCAAGTGATTGCTCGTTATCCCAAGCACTCAAACATTTCGTCAAATATATCAAAGTTCTGCTATCTTTTGCTAATTCAAGACATTCTTTATGAACCTGCCTGTAACATTTAAACAATTTTTCTCAGGTACTGTTCATTAGAAAAAAGCAGAAAAGCAAAACTGCGTGCCATGTGGACCAGAAAGTGGGACGAGTTCATTAGCACTGTTATCAGCGACTTCTCGTTTCCTACTTAAAGGCGTGGAATCATGGAATCACTCGATAGAATCAATCCATAGAATCACACAATCAGTTGTTGAAACAGAATCATTTTGAAACCAATTTCTATTCCGCAAATTGAATTGATTTTGGTGATTTTCATTGACATGGCTGTTTGAAGATTTATATTTCATCAAACCTTGTTTTAATTAACGATAATGATCTTTTTGCTAATGATAAGTGATGATAATGATAATGATAAGTATGAAAATGTTGACTACATGTTGGTAATCTTCATGATTTTTATACCTTTTAACTATTTACAAGATAACCTGTAATTATTATTTAAGTAGTAAATGACACCAATATTGAAAATTTACATTGATTCGTTTCTTTAGCTTAAAAAATCAACATTTTTGTTCAACATATGTACTGTGGAGAACACCAACGTCTTTAGGCAAGTTCTAACGGAGAATTGGCAGACCAAACCTCTTTCCATAAATAAAAATGTTTATCAAAGTTTCCAAGTAAAAAATCCAGTACAAGAAAAATTCCAGTTGTCGTTATTTTTATAACTATAAAGACTTTTCTTTGTCAAATAACATCAGATATATTTAGGTATAGTTACAAAACAAAGCTTTATTTTGTTGAACAAATATGTTGCGAGAGAGATTAAAATATGAGAGATTTATCAATTTTGTCAAAGTTTTTATTGTATAATTTATAGAATAGTGAGATTTTTAGTAGTTCAATTTTAGATTTGTGATTATGTTAGTAAATGTACTGTGATAATCTAAAAGATAAATTTTTTACATGTGTAATTATCTGAGTCTGTTATTATGCATTTATGAATATTTGAAAGCGTTTTGTGCATTTTATGTCGAGTTTCTTGAACAACGATACCTTAGGTCTTAAACTAAACACGATAATGTCATTCATAGAAATATAGGAAGATCTGCCAGTAATGTTAATGATTTAAAGGCACTATGTTCCGGCAGTCTACCGTGCTCTGATTCAATATGACTCAAGTGAAGACGGGTCGTGAAGGTCTGGGTTGGGTACTAATTGGGTTGAGGCGCATTTAATTTACGAATGACGAAGACGACTCAAAATTGGAGCCAAAATTGAAGAGGAAATCTTAGTTCTCGTGCACTATGACGGCAAGATCGATGAAGACGAGTTCTTTGATTTTCAAGAGGCAAATAGACAAGGAAATCTTCATGTTGAACTTCCATATTGGAGATATAAATACTTTAATCTTTATTGGATGCGAGAGGGTGAGTGAGATTCACATTGGCTCAAATCTGCGTCAAGCACGCAGCCTAAAGGTCGGAAATTTGAGTTGTCCTAAGCACCAAGACGACTCAAGCAGAGCGTCTTCTCTTCCCGCGTCCTGAATTGGAAACTCACTAATAGGCTCTGCGGCGGGTTTATGACCGAAAAAACGTCGAGAATTGGCCCTAGGTTGCCGACTGGTACTAACTTTTCAATTTCCATGTTTTCCTTACACTCTGTCGAATTTCGAACATTTTTAAAGATTGTTAATTTAGTTGCAACTGTTTGGAGTATCAGCATAAAATTTATGAATTTCAGCTATGCATAAACCCAGTGTTTGAGATATTGAAATAAATAGATAAATTTACTAAAATATTAGTAAATTGCGGAAGATTTGAATAGAAGCCACTTGATTTTCTTGCTTTCCAGTATTTAAATCGCTAAAAAAAATCAAAGTTAGTGGTTCTTGATCGTTAGCTGTTTTTGGTCGCTACCAGATAATTGTTTGCTTGATTTTTTCTTGACTTGCCTAATGGAAATATTCATGCCTACCATATCTGAAGGCCTATTATATCAAGCTAATCAACAGCAGAAATCTCTTTTTGAGTTGCGGATTTTCATTCGAGGCTTCATCGTGACGTCAAATTAATACATCTCGTATATATGTCTCCACATCAGTGCTTGCGGACAACTTTTCTTAAGTTCGCTTGAAGGATTGCATCGCAAATTCGACAAGTGTTGGAAAGTGATCGTTATCGTAACGAACGGTTAACCAGGTGAAATAGTTTCATTTGAAAATATTCGTAAGTTGTTTTGCAACAATTTGCGGCATGCTGGTGTCAGTGCTTTCGTTTTACTTGCTTGTTGCAGGTAGCATCATGAGTTTGATGCAGTTTGGAATTCACGTTCCAGCAAAGGTAAATTTAACATTCGTGTAATTTTCATATCCTTCTAATTACCACCTCCAAGACAAAAGAAGAGATAAATAGAAAGTACTTTAGGGATCTGGATTTCAGTATATAAGTGACAAGAAGCGTGCGACGAACGATAGCGACAAACGAGTATCTTTTTGTCTATTTCATTTGCTTTCAAGTATGGAAACATTGTTACGTTTTTCTGGCATCTAGTTAGCTAACTTCTACTAACATTGGAGCTTTTTAGAATTGGACCTAAATTTTAATGTTTGTGAGAATCAAATCAGTAATTTGTTATCATCAGATTTTTAGGCTAGTGTCTTTATTCAAAGTTAATAACATTTTCACATTTTGTTGGTGAATGAAGTTAATTATTGTTAGTAACATTTCTTTTATCTAAAGGACCTGAGACGTGCTTTGTTGGGACAAAATAAAGTGGAAAGTGGACAAATTCACACCATCAAAGGTATCATAAAGGCATTTCTTCTAGATGATTTACATCGACTTGCTTTGTAATTCGATTATGGTATAACTTCTACTTGATTCACGTAGGAACAGTTTTCTTACGCTGCTTTTTCTATTCTGGCATTGAAGGGCTGAACAATGAGAAAGCTTGGAGGGACTCCTCTGAAATGAGAGACATGGTTACAACGGCTGACAATATTCTTCAGAAGATTGAAACACTGAAGGTACCAAAGCCAAGTGAGCAACTTGAAAAAGATGACATAGAACAGCAGAGAATCCATAGCTTACTCAAAAATGGTAAAAAGGCTCTTATCTTCAGAAAGAAAATGATATCACCAATGCAGCTTTTGAAGTTGAAATGTCAGCAGCTTAAACTGCAAAACGCAATTAAAGAAAATAAACAGAAGGACAACAGTTACTCGATTTTTGATTTTGTTTTTGGAACTTCAAGTAAAGCCCGTGATCAGGAGACCGATGCCAAGGGAAAACTTGATGCCAACAACAAAACAGAAAATGAAACTTTGTCTTCAGGTATGTCCAGCTTTTCTACTGCATATAGTTGCTTTTTGGGAAATTTTATGAGGCCCACTCTTGTTCTTTTCACATCACTATACTTTTGATAAACTTTCCCCGGAAAAATAAACTTCTTATTTTCTAAGCTTTTGCGTATACCAAAACCAAATCTATATATTGGTATAAAATTTTGCAACATTGTAGATGCAGAGAAGAATGGAGATCAAATGGAAGAAAAAAGCGAAGATACCAACTCTCACAAATTCATTGAAGAAAGTAAAGACCATGAGAAAAATACGTCTGAAGTAAGAATGAAACGCTGGGCTTCTGGAGAGAAGAGAAAACATAGCAAAAGTAAAGTGAGAAAGAAGGCCAGGAATAATTCAAAAAACCGGAGGGAACATGACTTCATAAAAGACCTTGATCAGGACACCTACACCAAATCTGATGATGGATTCAACATGAAATATAACAACGAAAAAGAGGATGATGAGGAAATGTATGAACCCAATGGCAGACAAGATTGGAATAAGAATGGAAAGAAAAATAGAGATATAGGTGCTGACAATGATTTCAAGGATGGTGAAATGAAAAACTGGGATGATGATAATGATGAAGATCTTGACGAAGATAGCGAAGATAATGAAGATGATGCTGGATTCAACATGAAATACGACAACGAAGAAGAGGATGACGAAGGATTGTATGAATCCAATGACAGAAAAGATTGGAATAAGAATGGAAAGAAAAATAGAGATATAGATGCTGACAATGATTTCAAAGTTGGTGAAATGGAAAACCGGGATGATGGTGATGGTGAAGATCTTGATGAAGATAGCGAAGAAAGTGAAGATGATGCTGGATTCAACATGAAATACGACAACGAAGAAGAGGATGACGAAGGATTCTATGAATCCAATGACAGACAAGATTGGAATAAGAATGGAAAGAAAAATAGAGATATAGATGCTGACAATGATTTCAAAGTTGGTGAAATGGAAAACCGGGATGATGGTGATGGTGAAGATCTTGATGAAGATAGCGAAGAAAGTGAAGATGATGCTGGATTCAACATGAAATACGACAACGAAGAAGAGGATGACGAAGGATTCTATGAATCCAATGACAGACAAGATTGGAATAAGAATGGAAAGAAAAATAGAGATATAGATGCTGACAATGATTTCAAAGTTGGTGAAATGGAAAACCGGGATGATGGTGATGGTGAAGAACTTGATGAAGATAGCGAAGAAAGTGAAGATGATGCTGGATTCAACATGAAATACGACAACGAAGAAGAGGATGACGAAGGATTCTATGAATCCAATGACAGAAAAGATTGGAATAAGAATGGAAAGAAAAACAGGAATATAGACGATGGCAATGATTTCAAGGATGGTGGAATGAAAAACTGGGATGGTGGTGATGGTGAAGAACTTTATGAAGATAGCAAAGAAGATGAAGATGATGACAAAGATCCCTATGATGACAATAGAGATTTCGATAATTCAGACCAATATGGAGGAAGAGGTACCTTAAATGCAGCCTATCGTCACAAGAAGGATAACAGAAAAGGTGGTAAGAAGAGCAAACACTTCTATCCAAATGATACTAAAGGAAAAGATAAAGAGTACGAAGAGGATGAAATGGGCGATGATGAAGATCAAAGTGAAGATGATGATGGTCATGCTGGTAGTAATCATGATCATGATGGTAACGAAACAGGAGATGGCGATCGTCATCATAACAAACATGATCATGGTAAGAACTACAAAGACAATGAAGATGTTGATGATCACAAAAAGGAAAGTCGTTTTCAGGAAAATGATTTCTACAAAAATGATGGTGAAGATTATGATTATGATAAAGCCAACAGTGAAGACATCGAGCAAACTAACGAAAAAATACGGTATGACCAAGATGAAGAGGTTGAAGATGATAAAAAGGAAATGGATGATGCAGAGCAGGCTTTGGAAGACCTCGACAGAGAGAGAAAATCCTCAGACCCGGATAAACAAGATGGAGAAGGAGAGGATGAAAATAATAGAGACGAGACAGAAACATCTAGAGAAGAGGATAGCTACTTGGATCATGACCCTATGATTGATGATTCAGATGATACAGGAGATCTTAGGCCTGAGTATGACGAAAACTTTGACAAAAGCAAAATACCAAAACCAGCTTGGGATCAAGATGATGATGAATATGAAGGAGATGAATCTGTTGATGGCATGAATGAATTTGCTCCTGATGACGACTTTGACGATGTTTCAAGTAATGGACAGAAGAGGGAGGTGCAAGACTACGAAGAAGAATTTGAAAAAATGGTGGCAGAAGGCAAGAAGAAAGGTAAGCTCAATTTTATGCTTCTAGATAGAAGGAAAGGCTGAGAATTCATTCAACGTTTTGTAATGTTAAAAAAGGAAAATATTTTTGCTTAGTCAAATGGTATATACATGCTACAATGTTGTAGCCGCAATAGCGGCAATAAATAAATACACTGGATGTGTCGCTCCACTCAGTTTTTTAACCTCAAAATTGCATTTCTTAAAAACAATTTTTATGATTTTTCGATTAAAGGAAAGTAAAAAGCGAACTAGGATAAATCTCGATAAAAACAGGGATGACAACAATTATGATTCACACAACTTCTCAAGAAGGGGGCATTCTCAATATTCTCACAACTGAACATTACTGATGCCTAACCATAACTAGCCTAAATTCTCTCTTATCGTATGATATTGATGTCATTATATTACAAAGATATAATTATAATCGATATAAATTATGGTTATGTCTCATGTAAACACTGGGCATGAGAGACAAGTGCTTTTAACGGCCTTTAACTCATAACAATCCTTATGTCGCCGTTATGCTAAGAATGATGTATATATTAACTTTATCCCTTTCAGCCGAGAGAAGAGAAAGAAGAAGAAGGGATCTTTCAGAAAATTCCATCAATAGTACCCCCAAGCCGATAGACCCAATATGGTTACGTGAGAGCACCGAAATAATATTTCATTTGGAGGCTGCTAAAGATCAAATCTACGCCATGAGAGAAATAACACTGGGTGACTTGGCCAGCGCTGCTGCTAAGGTACAACGTGCGATCGACCGTCTTCAACACGTAGTCAAAGAGCACATCAATGAAAAACAAGTAACAACCAGGCAACTCCGGGCCGCCTCCAAGGAAATTAGTTTAGTCCGATTTGTGTTCGACTTCAGGGCATTTGAAGTTCCAGGTGAAGAAGAAGAGGATAGAATCAAGTTGGGTGCAGGCGGTTACGAGACAACTCTCGATTTTGACGCAGGATCCATGGGTTACATTGGAGCAAAAGGCATAGGCAAACAGTCAGAAGGAAAAACTAAAGAGGAAAAATCAAATATTGCTTCTATGTCATCTCACTCTTTGAAATCCACTGGCGCCAGCGAAAGTACGAAGATGAATATGTTGCCTGAAACTAAAAAACATGGTCATAAAGTGCAGACCTCAGGTACCTATGAGGTTGATGTTTAATGTCACTGTATGCTTTGGGGAATTGCTTGAATTTCAATTCATAAAAAGAGAGCAAATTATTTTGATTCTTTTTAATCTTAAAAACTATTTTCTTTATTTAAAGATGCTTTGCTGAGTGAAGAAACCAAGCCGACTGGACAAGTTCGACAGGAAATTGGCCCAAATGTAGATGAAATAAAGAATAAGGTCTTAATAAACAAAGCCGAAAAGAAAGAACCTGTTTTATTAAGCCATTCGTTGCCTCTACCACTGTTGTTATTAGACAGGCCATCTTCAACGAATTTCCTATCAAAGGACGCGAATGTCTCAACGACAAATGGATCTGAAGGGAAAAATCAAAATGAATCGCCTATTGATACAGCTACAGACAAAAGTGACATAAAGACAAACACAGAATTGATTGGTGATTCATCTGCGGCGAAACTCATCAGCAAACGAGATACTGATGCAGTGCAGCAAAGCAGTGAAAGAAATGGTTCCTCTGAAAATGATCGTAGCAATCTAGTTGAGACACCTGAAATCAACAAGGTTTCTGCTGAAGTGCCAGCACCGATTGTTTTGAAAGAAACTGCCAACAAATCGAATGCAAGTAATCCCGCGGACTCTTCAGTAACAACTTTAGAGGAGAAATTAATCAGTGAGGCTTCTTCATCCAATCTTTCTACGGAGACCCACACTGATGCATATCATGAAAATCAACTTAGTCCGAATGCACAGGAGGCACAAGAAACCATTACTGTTGGAGTCACCTCGCTTTCTCTGCCTGATGTTCCTGTCAATTCAATGGCAAAAGAGGCACAGAAAGAGAGAAGCGGTGTTTCTACTTCCACAGAAACTAATAAATATGCATCTCATGAAGTTCCAGTTAGTTCAGATGCGCAGGAGGGACTAGGAATGGTTACTGTTGAAGTCACCTCGCCTTCTCTACCTGATGTTCCTGTTAATGCAATGGCACAAGAGACACAGGAAGAGAATCATAATGCTTCTACTTCCACAGAAACTAATATAGATGTATCTCATGAAGTTCCAGTTAGTTCAGATGCGCAGGAGGGACTAGAAATGGTTACTGTTGAAGCCACCTCGCCTTCTGTACCTGATATTCCTGTTAATCCAATGGCACAAGAGACACAGGAAAAGAGTAATGATGCTTCTACGTCCACAGAATCTAATACAGATGTATCTCATGAAGTTCCAGTTAGTTCAGATGCGCAGGAGGGACTAGAAATGGTTACTGTTGAAGCCACCTCGCCTTCTCTACCTGATGTTCCTGTTAATCCAATGGCACAAGAGACACAGGAAGAGAGTAATGATGCTTCTACTTCCACAGAATCTAATACAGACGTATCTCATGAAGTTCCAGTTAGTTCAGATGCACAGGAGGGACTAGAAATGGTTACTGTTGAAGTCACCTCGCCTTCTCTACCTGATGTTCCTGTTAATCCAATGGCACAAGAGACACAGGAAGAGAGTAATGATGCTTCTACGTCCACAGAATCTAATACAGATGTATCTCATGAAGTTCCAGTTAGTTCAGATGCGCAGGAGGGACTAGAAATGGTTACTGTTGAAGCCACCTCGCCTTCTCTACCTGATGTTCCTGTTAATCCAATGGCACAAGAGACACAGGAAGAGAGTAATGATGCTTCTACGTCCACAGAATCTAATACAGATGTATCTCATGAAGTTCCAGTTAGTTCAGATGCACAGGAGGGACTAGAAATGGTTACTGTTGAAGCCACCTCGCCTTCTGTACCTGATATTCCTGTTAATCCAATGGCACAAGAGACACAGGAAAAGAGTAATGATGCTTCTACGTCCACAGAATCTAATACAGATGTATCTCATGAAGTTCCAGTTAGTTCAGATGCGCAGGAGGGACTAGAAATGGTTACTGTTGAAGCCACCTCGCCTTCTCTACCTGATGTTCCTGTTAATGCAATGGCACAAGAGACACAGGAAGAGAGTAATGATGCTTCTACGTCCACAGAATCTAATACAGATGTATCTCATGAAGTTCCAGTTAGTTCAGATGCACAGGAGGGACTAGAAATGGTTACTGTTGAAGTCACCTCGCCTTCTCTACCTGATGTTCCTGTTAATCCAATGGCACAAGAGACACAGGAAAAGAGTAATGATGCTTCTACGTCCACAGAATCTAATACAGATGTATCTCATGAAGTTCCAGTTAGTTCAGATGCGCAGGAGGGACTAGAAATGGTTACTGTTGAAGCCACCTCGCCTTCTCTACCTGATGTTCCTGTTAATGCAATGGCACAAGAGACACAGGAAGAGAGTAATGATGCTTCTACGTCCACAGAATCTAATACAGATGTATCTCATGAAGTTCCAGTTAGTTCAGATGCACAGGAGGGACTAGAAATGGTTACTGTTGAAGTCACCTCGCCTTCTCTACCTGATGTTCCTGTTAATCCAATGGCACAAGAGACACAGGAAGAGAATCATGATGCTTCTACTTCCACAAAAACTAATACAGATGCATCTCATGAAGTTCCAGTTAGTTCAGATGCACAGGAGGGACTAGAAATGGTTACTGTTGAAGTCAGATCGCTTTCTCTACCTGATGTTCCTGCTAATCCAATGGCACAAGAGACACCGGAAGAGAATCATGATGCTTCTACTTCCACAAAAACTAATACAGATGCATCTCATGAAGTTCCAGTTAGTTCAGATGCACAGGAGGGACTAGAAATGGTTACTGTTGAAGTCAGATCGCCTTCTCTACCTGATGTTCCTGTTAATCCAATGGCACAAGAGACACAGGAAAAGAGTAATGATGCTTCTACGTCCACAGAATCTAATACAGATGTATCTCATGAAGTTCCAGTTAGTTCAGATGCGCAGGAGGGACTAGAAATGGTTACTGTTGAAGCCACCTCGCCTTCTCTACCTGATGTTCCTGTTAATGCAATGGCACAAGAGACACAGGAAGAGAGTAATGATGCTTCTACGTCCACAGAATCTAATACAGATGTATCTCATGAAGTTCCAGTTAGTTCAGATGCACAGGAGGGACTAGAAATGGTTACTGTTGAAGTCACCTCGCCTTCTCTACCTGATGTTCCTGTTAATCCAATGGCACAAGAGACACAGGAAGAGAATCATGATGCTTCTACTTCCACAAAAACTAATACAGATGCATCTCATGAAGTTCCAGTTAGTTCAGATGCACAGGAGGGACTAGAAATGGTTACTGTTGAAGTCAGATCGCTTTCTCTACCTGATGTTCCTGCTAATCCAATGGCACAAGAGACACCGGAAGAGAATCATGATGCTTCTACTTCCACAAAAACTAATACAGATGCATCTCATGAAGTTCCAGTTAGTTCAGATGCACAGGAGGGACTAGAAATGGTTACTGTTGAAGTCAGATCGCCTTCTCTACCTGATGTTCCTGTTAATACAATGGCACAAGAGACACAGGAAGAGAATCATGATGCTTCTACGTCCACAGAAACTAATACAGATGCATCTCATGAAGTTCCAGTTAGTTCAGATGCGCAGGAGGGACTAAAAATAGTTACTGTTGAAGTCACCTCGCCTTCTCTACCTGATGTTCCTGTTAATCCAATGGCACAAGAGACACAGGAAGAGAATCATGATGCTTCTATTTCCACAGAAACTAATGCAGATGTATCTCATGAAATTTCATCTAGTGCACTTGCACAAGAGGCAACAATTAGAGTTCAAAATTCCTTGCCTTCTCTGTCTAAAGATTCTCATGGTGCTTTTTTTATTGAAGCTGAAACAGATGCAGCTCATGAAGTTCCATTTAACCCCAACGCCCAGGAAAGCAAGGCAACGACTACTGGTAAATTCGCATCGTCTTCTCTTCTTGACACCTCATTCAATCAAATGACTCGGGAAGTACATGAAGAGGAAAATGGGGCTTCTCTTCCTATGAAAACTGATACAGATGCATCTTTTGAAGTTCTAGCGAACCAAAGCGTACAACTGGCACTAGAAAAGGTCGCTAGCGAGGTTTCTTTGTCTTCTCTTCTTGATGCTTCAGCTAATCCAATGGCACAGAAGACTGAAGAGAAGGTTGATGGTGCTTTTCTTTCTTTGGAAACTGATCCAGGTGCGACTGATAAAGTTCCATCAGCCAAAAACAAACGAGAAAGTCAAGAAGTGGTCGAAAAAGAGATAACTCCGTTTTCCCTGCCTGATGTTGCTCAGGTTGTTAATGACCCTGGAGAAGCCACCGCAGCTTCACTTGTTGACATTTCAATCAGCCAAATGGTAGATTCACCTTCTGAATATCAAGGAAATCAAAACGTACAGGAACCACTAGAAAAGGTCGGTAAGGATTCAAGTTCGTCTTCTCTTGCAAATGTTCCGATGGCACAGTATCCACAAGAAGAGGAAAATGATGCTTCTCTTTCTACGGAAACCATTACAGAAACTGATACAGAGGCGTCTTTTCAAGCTCCAGAAAGCCATTATGTACAAGATAGTCAACAGAATGTCGCTAAAGTGCTCACAACATCGTTGCTTCTTGATGATCAGGTCAGCCCAGTAGCACAGGAGGCACGAGAAGAGGCACAAGAAGAGGCACAAAAAGAAGTTGAGGGCCTTCCTCTTTTTGTAAAAACTGAAAGAGTTCCATCATCTGAAGCTCTAGCTGTTCCAAAAGTACAGGAGGAACGAGAGGATGCTAATAGTGTACCACTTCCTAACGAAACCGGGATTCTGACTGACATTGCCAACAATGAAGCAAATGAAGACAATCCTGGTAAACAACAACCATCGTCTACCGTTTGGAAAAATAAGGAGGGTGCCACTTCTAATGTTCCATCTCATCAAATGCCAATTCAGAAAAAAGTTAAGGTTGCGAATGAGCTGCCTACGTCATCCATCACGATGAAAACGACTACGACTGCATCTAATGATGTTAAAATCCCCCTAGCTGATAAATTAGCATCATCGAAAGTGCGGAAGCATAGTGAAAAAGAGGCATCTCCCGCTGCTTTAAAAGCAAAAAAGGATTCCACAAAGAGTGTTATAGCAGATAATTCACCAGGTAAGCTGAGACATGTTGTTGCTCTATCCTCGTTCTTATATAGTTTATAACTCACTTTGTTCACTACATTTTACAGTTACTTACTGGTGAAGAAAAAGGTTTACGTACACAGACATATATAAACCTCTATCAAACGATTGTAAAATGTAATCATACTTGAAACTTCTTGAAAGAGGAAGCTATAAGATTTAATCTTAATGCTGATTAAAATGAGCTTGTTTATTGGTTCTTGCTTTCCTACTGGTAAAAGTGAACTAATTATAAATAACCTATCAAATTTAAGGTAAAATAGATCTTGCTGAAGTCCTGAAAGTTTTGAAATCTGCAACGCAAGGAGAGAAAGTTAGTGCATTTTGGGCTGATAAGATTGCCAAGACATACCGTTTGCTTGCTGCAGAAGATAAAAAACGAGAAGAGAAGCTGTCCGAAAATAATGATATACCGATGTCAAAAACTGGTAGCGCTGAAACTCGACGACATTTTGAACAAGGCGACAACAAGGATGCAGCAAAAGCTGCGAAGATCAAAAAGAGTCTTGGATCCGAGGTAAAAAATTACTTTAAGATATCATCCAGATATCTTGCCAAATTAGTAGATTTGCCTTACAAAAAAGAGTTGAGGAATAAAAGCTTTACAAGTTTAAATTTGAAGATTGTAACGCTATAGTCTTTCCTTTAGATTTGGAAATCAGAGACAAAAGGCTCACATGACCCAACGACTGCTGGAAAATCTTTGCCTCTGATAGACAAAATAATCAGGGGTTTCAACTCTGGAGAGGATAAAAAGGTTGCCAGTGAATCACCTGAAGAATTTGACATTGGTGTAGCTATCATTGAAAGCAAAGAAGAACCTATTAAGGCAAGTGATGTTTGGTTGTTTTTTTCTAATAAACTGCAAATTTTCATCTTAAAGAATAAGAATTAAAGAAGATGGCACTTTGAGAGGAAGTTTGAAATAAGATTCAAAATTAAAGTGAGTTCAACGTAGACAACTGAAGTTTTTAAATATCTTTTTTCCATGTCATCAAGCAAAATCTAGAGTATTTCCTTTTTTCCAGTATGTTCGGAACACGCCCTTCTCTTCCAGGTTGTAATTTGCGTTCTGTTTGAACCAGGGGTGCATTTTGACTGACCCCTAAATAAACTCATCATATGATTTTTAAAATAAAGCAGATAAACTTTTGGCAATTTTACGATATATGGTACGTAATATACAAATAGTTTTCTGATGTTTTCTTTCTTTTGATGTTTTAGGTACTGCCTCAGAAGTCAAGGAAGACTCTGCAGAATGTGAACTAAAGATTGGCATAAATTTGTGTATATAGTTGTTTAAATTTAACTTTTGAAGTAATCTATGAGCTTCAATTTGTAAATAACTTTTGATATTGTCTCTAACATGGCTGCTTATTATTCAAAGGGCCCTCTTTTTTGTGTTTGTCTATAAAATGTCTATAAGAGTTTAGTTTAAAATATGTCATAATTCTTAGAGAAAAAAGATCAAGATGGCAACAAAGAATATTTTTCAAAAGTCCTTAATACCGTACTTGTAAGCAAAGCTAATAGCGAGCCAAAATAATAGTCAGCATTAAATTTGAAAATCGATTTTTTAACAACAAGGTTTTTTTGCAAATATTACTTCTCGATCGCATAAAGGAAATTGAACGATCTCACCCGACTTTATTATTCTTTTAGATAGCCAGTAGACCAAATAAAACTCTCTATTTTTCTAAGGCCAGTAAACCCTCGTAGCATTTTAGTTACGTATTAAAACAATAAATTGGAAATAAGAGAGAACACAATAATAAAAGTTCCATAATGGGACAGTAGCTGCATTGCCCCAATATTCACCAGTGGCCAATTTTTACTTGCTTGCAAGAGTGCCTTTCTCATTCCACATGGCTTCGAATTGTGGATGACGAGAATAGAGAGGGTGAAACTTTAGTGTGAGCAAGGGTAAGTTGGGTAGAGTAAAGGGCAATATGTCGCTATAGCCTGCATGGAATGATCCAATGGAATAGGTTGCCAAGAAAGGCAGAGACTCGCTTTTTGCTTAAATGTAAACGGGTCAAATTTGGTTCTGTTCCTTTTTGCTTCAGTGTAAACGTGATGAAAAGAAAGGTATCGTGCCAAAACAAGAACGGAACCAAGAGTTCCGTTCTTCTTGCTGTAGTGTAAACGGGGTCTAGTGAACTAGTAGTTACTGACCCATGCGCAGACTGACTTACTAGGGGCGGATACAGTGTGTCGCGCTGGTCGCACGAAAGACCGTCGGATTTGCGGAATTGAGTTTACGTCTTCATTCGTTAAAATTTAAGCAATTATATTAATTAACCATAATCCATCATCTTCCTCCTTAAAGTTAACACATTTACCTCTATATACCAAATAAAAATAGGCACCGACTTCTGCCGATCTTACACCCAATGCTACCTTTCAATTGAATATAGGTAAGAAAAAATTGTTAAATCACTATCTTAGTCCGTGAACAGGATGATTTCCGACCAACCATGACTATGGACAAACCAACAGACCCGTCTTGACCCTGGCCCTTGGATTCTTGGCGCTGCGGAGCATATGTAATTTGTGATTCGTTAATTCGAGTCACGTGCCTTTCCGTTGTCTTCCATTTCCAGTCCCGCTTGACCGTTGAAGTTTGCAGCACCGAAACGCAGAATTTCATTCTGTGATCGAAATGAGGAAGAAAGCCAGCCCCACGCCAAGTTCTGCTGTTCGGGAGAAAAGGTAAGCAGTTTTTTCAATGCTACAGGAACCAAAAGGATGACTAGAGAGGTGACGCTTATCAAATTCAACATTAAATTGCCTTGTCATTATTTTAGCATAAGCATGGTGTCACGCTTTGTCGAGTGATGGCAAGTCGAATATTTGGCAGATCAAGATAACTCTTTTGTTGAGAGACCTATAAAACTTTTACCAAAATTAATATTTTAAAAGATAGTATATGATCGCTTTTATCAATCTCTTGTATAAATGCACATTTATTCCGAAATGCTACAGTATCATTAATATTTTCTTCGGTGCAAACTTAGGCCTACCTCGTTGTCATGGACACTTAAGCCTATCTGTTCCGTATTTTAGAGTACACTCAGTTAGTAAACAAAAACAGTGGTCATAGGCATGGGATGGTTTAGGTCAATCGGAGGTGCCATGCTTTTAATTTGTGATTTTCTACGTTCATTTGAAGCCCAAAAGCTGAGCCCTGAAGATTCAGTTTTATTGGTTGGATATACACATATCTGTCAAGCTTTCTCTGCTCTCCCGGTTTTGCCCAGGACGCCAGGTTTTGCTTGCGTTCTCCCAGTCTCTGGGATTTTAAGAATTTATTCTTCCTTTTCTTTCATTAGAGGTCTACTTATTTCAAAATAGATCACAACGACTTTCAACAAGGTTTTATTCTCAGTGCTTGCGAATTAACATAAACGTCATAAAATTATTTTGAAAAAGTTTCTCATTATAATTTTTGTAATTAACTATTTGCCCAATTTGACGTTTAAGAGGTATGTTGTTAAAAGCAATTCAACAAATTCGTGGGATATCCCTGCTTTTGGCCAAATCTCTTTGTCTATCTTAAAAAATAAAACCTAAAATCTCCAGGTTTTGATACTTTTAGGTTGACATGCCTATGTACTTTTCTTGTGCATAGTTTTGATTTTAAGCAAGTGATATCCAATAAAAAGTTTCATTTATTCCCTTCATTTGCAAGCCAATCTATCAGCCCTTGCTCTAAGCAAAACGACTATTTGCAGCAAAAGGAGCCCTCAGAAACTTAAGGTGCTCTATTTCCTATCTGCAAATAGAATTGCTCTTGATAGAATCCAGTGGCGGACACTTGGGAGGTGAGGAGGGATGACTGCCCCCAATACTTTAGAGGACCATGGTATTTTGTTCTCAAACAATTGGAAATGTAACGTTATCTTATTAAAACAATAGGCTTGCCTCCCCCAATATTTGACCAAGTGTCCGCCCCTGATAGAATCTATAGGAGAAGTCCGGAATTTCGCAAACAACAGTAGCAAAAGTAGAGATTGACTTCTTTTGGCATTGATGATGGGGATTGAGCTATCATAGCACCATTCCCTGGGCTCTGGGTATGATATATTGTGTGATATTTATTTGTAACCATTATCATGTAAACGGGTCTCAGGGCATATTTGCACACATACATTTTTAAAGATTTGCATTTTCATCATAATTTTGCCCAAATAGAGACAAAGCATTTTCAAATATCATTGCAATTTCAAATGATATAACTCTCAAATTGTTTTTTCGTGTTTGTATTTTTGATGCATTTCAGTTGCAGATGTATTTTTGTAGATCTGGCCTTAAAAGAAACCAGATATAAAATCTAATTTATGATATAATAGATTTATGATATAAACTCTTGTACAAATCTTATGAATCATAATATTTGCAGTCATTGGTGAAGATTTTATAAGTTTGATCAGCATTAATTTGAAACAATATCTAGCTTTGTGACATATCGTTGTATGTTTTCAGATGCTCCTCTAATTGTTATTTTATTTTCATGCTGAGCCCATCTGGCTTTTAACAGAAAATGTTTATTGGCCATTATTATTGGCCCCATATTCACAAGACATTAGTAACTAGGATAAGTATAGTAGAAAGTAACTTGTTTTGAAATATTTCATATGCCTAGAAACAAATATTCATAAGTATGATTTTTGACATATTGTTATCATTCGCATAAATTATTTTCTTCCTTTGTCTTAAGTTGTCCTTTTTCTCTTTTGCCTTTACTAGACCACGAAGAAGGCCTTTTGCAACAAAAGCACTGAGAGAGATTCAATTTTACCAATCAACTTCACACCTCCTTATAAGAAGGTTACCATTGGTTCGCCTTATAAAAGAAATCTGCAACCACCTTGTTCCAAATAAAAATTTTAGGTTCAAAGCTGCTGCACTTGCTGCACTACACGAAGCAACAGAATCATTTTTAGTGAGGCTGTTTGAGGATTCCAACATTGCTGCAATACATGCCAAGCGTGTTACAGTAATGCCTAAAGATATGCGCTTAGTTCAAAGAATACTTTCTGGAAATGTTGCCTCTTAAGTTGCAGAAAAGGTGGTTGATATTTTGTATTGAAATTCGATATCTCAGAAGCAAGGAAGCATTGCGGCATGCTACCTAAAACTATTGTGCAAGATATCCTGAATCACTTTAAAGACTGTTATTTATTGAAAATACATAAATATGAGATGTATATCAATGCTGTCATTGAGACAACTGGAACTTTTTGGCATACTTTGTGATTCCAAATCTTGTGATGACCCAAAATAAACATTATTACAAATTTTGTAATGCTGTTAAATATGTATAAAAATTTTGTCAAAACTTTCTGATTTTCATTTGCTTTGATAAACATTTTATTTAAGCAAATTGTTATTTATCAGAATGATTTTTTGTTTTAAAATGTTTATAGTACACAGTTTTCATAGCTGTAAGTAAAAGTATTTGAAGAAACACAGTATTTTTCTAATGTGTTTTTATTCATCTATGTTATATCTTTCATTTTTTTCTTTTAGATATTGTAATTCTGTAAAACCTATCAAATGTAGATTTATAACTCTTTTAAAATTTGTTCCTCTTCATAAAATTAGTTTCTTTATTTGTCTTGTTTTCATCTATTTTCTACTGCTTTTACAGATGTAACCTTTTGTATTTATTAAAGAAGCCAGTTGTTATCTACAAAAGAGGTCTTTCTAGAAACAGGACATTATTGGGTACATACAACTTTCACATATAGAAAGTGATATTTGAAAACTGTTTTTAACAACAAATTTATTGACTTTGTATGCAGTTGATATGATCATTATCAAAATGCATTTTGATTAGCTGTTGACTGTGGTTCTAACAGCACGAAAAATGACACCAAGGTCCTTGCATCAATAAAGGAAATTTGTCTTTTGGGTGTTTCACTTGGTTTGTCCACATGATTATTCTTTGGCATAATGAGGGTGCATATGTCTAGGCAAGACATTTATCTTTGTAGCCTTTCTTATTCACTTGGCTAAAACTGGGGTACTTAGGGATTCAGCATAGGGGTTGATGTAGTGTTGCTTCCCTTAAAAAAATATTGGGTACCCTCAATGATATGCAATACACAGCTGAAAAAGTTAATTTTCAAAACTAGGATTATTCATCATTCAAGGAGAAGTGGTTGTATAGGAAGGACATTGTCATGGCAGTCCATTTAACTTGTTGGTTAAGGGAGGGAATAGGAGGCAAAATGCCCCAGACCCCAAGTTCTTGGGGCCTCATAAATTGATGAAAACCGTTTTAAAATGAATTAATTAACAGTAACAAAATTATGCCTTAAAAAAGAAAAACATTTTGAGCCAATGAATAAATCCAAGCTAATTTAAATGGTCATGATGGAAGAATTTTCTGCTTGCTTTGCTCGCAGGGAACTCCTCTCTTTGTTTTATCCCAGGGCCTCCAAAACTTCTGGGCAGCTCTGTTTAGGGGTAAAAAGGGCACATTCTGGTTCACAGCAAAATCTTCTACCGTGTATGTAATCCCTTCAGGTCCCTGTGATAATTTTTTCCGCGGTCGTCCATGGCAACATGCAATAAATACGAATTCGAGATTCGATTCAAGATGTCGGACGAGAATGTTCGAAAAGAAGAAGATCAACCGCCAAAAGGGGAAGAGAAAAAATCACGAACATTAGTAGGTGCTACACATTTGCTGAAAGCAAAGGCACTGCAGCAGCTCGAGCTTAAGGATCTAGGAGAAGAAGAAAACACACAAACTACTGCAGACGAAAACAGCAATGACGATACTAAGGAAGAACCTAAACCAGGAACAGCGTCTTCTGCTTCTGATAAAGTGAACACAGGCAAACCGGACACATCAGCTGAACCTTCAAGACGTTCTGAAGGAGCTGATTCAAAAGAAACTGGTAATTCAAAGTCAGTAGGAGACACGAGTAACGGATTAGAGGAAAATCAATCTGTAATTAATAATTTAACAACAGGCCTCGTTGACCTTGGAGACGACTCAGTGACAGCAAAACCAATTGGTGAATCCAAGCCTTCTGACAACACTGGACAGAATGAAGCAATTGTAAACAGTGAGAAGAGAGAAATTGATGCTGGGGATGCAAGATTTAGACAAACAGAGGGAGAAAAAAGTGCTGTAACTGAACCAAATGGTGAGTTACTCCTTGATGAAAAACTCACAGTAGACGAAAGGCAAACCAGTGAAGAAAATGGTTCTAGCTTGGATTTTGAAGCAGATAAGTCACCTTTAGGCCAGAATGATAAGCTACCAAAAGAGAACCAAGTAGATGAAAAAATTAGTAAAGAAAATCTAGTTTCAAAGGACAGTAGCCTTCAAGGCAACAAAGAAAGTAAACTTGAAGATCAGTTTGAATTTGTAGAGCAACAGAAAGCAGATTCTGCAGAAAAGCCAGCGACATTGCTTGAAAAATCTGCAGATAAAGGTTCTAAAGAAGCACAACAAATAAGTAGTAAGGGAAAGGATGCACCAGTGTCTACTAAAGATCCAGATTCAAAAGCCAGTGCAGCTGTTTTAAGTGAAGATAACGATACTAAGGGTGATATTTCATTACCAGGATCTTCTGGGAACAAGGAGGAGAAGAGCAAAATTCACGAAAATTCTAAAAAACAACATATTGAAACAAACAAACCTATAACTGAGAAAGAACAAAAAGACAAAGAATCAGATTTTAAGGAAAACATGTCAGACAAATCTTTAAACATGGAAAATGAGAACAATCAACAAAGTTTTGAAAATGATACTGAAGTTAGAAGGGAAAGTAATGAAAACAACAAAGATTCACCTAGAGAGATTCAAGAAGGACAGGTCAAAAGTTTAGAGGCTAATGACAAGAACGTTAATAACATCCAAGCAAATGAAGGAGTTGAGAGAAAAAGTAATACTGATGATATTGAAATGAATGCAGATGTTGAAGCCGACAACATTAAGAAAGGTGAACAGTATGATAATGTTGGGAGTAGTGATGATGTTAAGGCAAGTGATAATTCAAATCAAGATCTTCCCAAAAGTGGTGATGAATTATCCAACAATGATGGGGAAAATCATGATGTTGATAAACCAGATGATGAAAAATTCAAGCAAACAGAGGTATTAAAAGAAGATTCAGAAAATAAAAGTCATGTTTCTGGTGAAGTAGACGAGTCAGCCCCTGATCATCAAAATGCTGCAGAAAATGAAAACATTGTTTTGCTTGACAGGAAAGAGCCTGTCAATGATAAAAGTGATACTACTGACCCTGGTCTTGAAGGAGAAAATGAAAAAGACAAGGATGGAAAAGCTCAAGGTAAATTGATTTTTGAGTCAGAAAATGCTGATCAAGTGTATCAGTGTTATCATTCAACTATTGTGATATGTAAAGATGCACATTTTGAATTTTTTAAGGTGTCTAATTGTGAAGGATTTGGAATTTATGTGGTTGGTTTCATGTTTGTTATTTGAAAATTATGTTTTAGATTTACTGCAATAAGCTACAATATAACCCACATTTTTATGACAGTTGACACTGAAGGAGAAAGTAAGCCTGAAAAGGGTCAAGATGTTGAATCAGCAAAGCCAAAGGTCCCTCTTACAGGAGAAGAACTACAGCAACTTGATAGCACATCTAGTGGAAACTTGCACCCAAGACCAATTTCAACAGCAAAGGTTGATTTATCTGAAGAAGCTATTGTCAAAGGCACAGGGATTGTATTGGAAAATTCCCCAGCAAAGGAAACAAAAGAGCCAGCTATTCAACTAGAAGAGGGAGATGTTAAGAAGGAAGAAGGCAACTCTGTTGATGCACTTGATGGCCAAGAAGGTACTAATGAATTTTAGAAGTTCTTTGTCAAATGGAATTATCTTTCCTTTGCAAGATTTTCGTATTTTTGGTTGGTTTTGAGTTTAGTTTTTCTTTGCCTTAGATTTAGATGAAACAATAGTGGCAGAGACAACAGAACATACTGTGCCATCGGATTTCTATTATGACTTTGATGAAATTGTTTCAAAACCAAACACAACTGAAGGAATTCCTGAAGATATGGTCAATTTGTAGTATCCTTTCAGCACTTTTATCTCCTCTTCATTTTATTGAATATTTTTGTTTAGTATTCTTTGCCATAGATTTCAACCTATTTTATTACAGCTAAAGAATTAGGCTAGTTGAATTAGTTTTAAGTGAAAAGCCAATTTAATATTCACAAAACACAGAAGATACAGTATATTTCAATACCAACAAATGTGTAAGGAAATGATTGATTGTTATTTTAATATACTCAGAGCATTAGTTTCTAGGAAAGCACAGAAATAATAAATACAATTAAGCACTTTAACTGTTGATTTTCAGCTCACATTCCACTTAAAAATTTCCCTACAGTTCCCTTAAGTTTTTCCCCACAATTAAAGATCCTTTCTGTGGGGGATATTGTAAATTTTAACTTCATATTGTATCATATTTTTAAGCATAAATTTTTGTTATATCTTTTCCTTAATGTTCAACAGTCATTCCTTTGGGTTTGAGTGTACAAAAAGGTCAAATATGCATATGATTGACAATGACCACATAATCTTTGCTGCTGGCAATGTGTTGCAGATACTTAACATCAAGACTAAGCAAAAGAGGTACATACGAAGCACCAAGAGTGGAGGGATAGGAGCCATTGCAGTAAGTTTGGCAATTTTATGTCAGTCATTAGGCAATCAGAAAATGCATCATAAATCAGGTTGAATAGCATGCTGAAGTATGGACATCACTGATGCAAAACCTGAAGGCTAGAGCTAGCAAATGTTTTACGTAAAGATAAATTTTATTGAGTAGTTTCAGATTGTATAGTTCTACATTTAAAATAATTAGAGACATTTTGACGAGATATCACTTTAGGCATATGATATAGCCACTCTATACTGCTATACAAGTGACATGATTTTCATTTAGAAATTTATGTAATTAAATTTTTCAAAGAAAAAATTCCTAGAAAATTCTAGAGCCAGAATTTGTGAAGTGTGCAAAAATGACACTTTTCTAGTAGATAGTGTAAATAATACTTTGCAATTACACGTAGTGTTTGGTAATTATGTCAAAAAATGATTTTTGGTATCCAGTCCCCTTTTTTGTTGTGGGCATGTAGGAATAAACAATTAGTTCTCTTATACAATCTGCTTTATTAAATGGCACATAGTGGTAGAGAAAATATAGTACATAGATATACAGCTTGTTCAGTTTAATGCACCTACATCTATATTACATCTACAATCTGCCTGTATACAGCATCAAACATTTATGACAGACAGGGAAACAGTAGCTTTACTTAATTTTTATAATAAGGTAAGTGCCCTTTATTAGAAAATATAAAGACTCTTTTGTCATTGTAGCCTTAAATTAAGCTTTGTGATGAATAAAGCCAAAAACTGAAAAGCTAATTTAGAATAGAGTTGATGATAACAAATAAAAGGAAAAACTGAGTAAATTGTACCAAAAAAATTTTTTTTTCAAATAATTAACGACATTTCGAGCATAGCCTGTTATCATTTGATAACAGGCTATGCTCAAAACGTTGTTTATTATTTTTGAAAAAAATTTTCCTGGTACAAATTACTTACATTGATCGTTGTTATAGCATCATATTGTTACGCACACATTTCAGTATATTTATAGAAACAACTGCACTGCAAGGAAGAGACGCGCATCATCAATAGTGGTTTGAGATTAAATTTACCTAACAGGATTATTTTCATTTCAACACCAGTTCTGCAGGTTTACTATCTAGGCTAGATAACCTTGTTTGACACACATATACTAAAATGTGTGCGGTAAAATATGATGCTATATTAACAATAAATGTAAGTAAATTGTACCAGGAAAATTTTTTTTTTATTTTATTTCTTTAAAATAAAAAATATACTGAAGTATCTTTATATTTTTTCCTGGAAAAATTTACTTACATTGATCGTTATTATTGTTTGACACACCTTCACAACCTCAAAAGGTCCTTGTTGTTTCTTAATTTTTTAGGTCTTTGCGAATGGTATTTTTTCTAATATTAGCTAGAAAAGGAGTAACGGGTACAACTGCAGTGGGCAATTTTAATATAATTGCCTGCAATTAATGCTAGTTTTCATACAAGTTTGATTAATTACTTTCGTAGGTTCATCCTTCCAGAAAGTATTTTGCAGTGGCCGAAAAGGGGGAAAAGCCGGACATCATAATCTATGAGTACCCATCACTTAAGGTGTATAGAATTCTCCGGGACGGTACCGAAAAGGCTTATGCAAATTTGGACTTCTCCCCAAATGGTGACAAACTAGCATCAGTAGGCAGTGCCCCTGATTTCATGCTTACAGTTTGGGACTGGATCAATGAAAATATTGTCTTAAGGTCAAAAGCGTTTTCGCAAGATGTTTACAAAGTTGCATTTTCACCCGAAGATGAGGGCCATTTATGCACGAGTGGGACAGCACACATTAGGTTTGTTGAGCAAATTGACAACTGCTACTTTTCAAAAAACAAAAGCTTTTGAAATCATTCTTCTTGCCAATTTTTCTCTTGGACTATCAAGCGTATGTACTGAAGAATGTCAACAGCGACCTTTGCTTCAATTATTTTTATTATTTAAGATACTTCAGTATCTGTTTAAGATAATTGTCATTTGGTATTTTTAAAAAGATGCAAACATTTGAATCGATAGTTGTTCCTTACACTTAAGTTTTTCTCTATATTTCTGTGATGGCTGTTGATGTTTGACTGTCGGTAGCTCGTGTAATGAATATGCGAAATTATCTCAACCTTTTTGTGAACAGGTTTTGGTCAATGGCATCCACATTTACTGGTTTGAAGTTGCAAGGAGAGCTTGGACGATTTGGTACAACTGAGTTATCAGACATCGCAGGTATATCAAGCTCCGTTTCAATTATGATTGTATTTCATTAAAAAAATTATCAAGGTGTAAGCTAAACGTAGAGAACCTAATTAGAAATATGACACACGGATAGTGTTTAATAGGTCTTCATGTTAACAGTTTTGACTAAGTCCACTTAAGGCGACACAAGGTCTGATAAAGGGAGAAACAGAAAGAGCATTGACGTCATAGGAGGTATTGACAATGCAAATTAAAATCTATCAAATATATATTTTTTTCAATAAACTAAAAACACTACCGTTTGTTATTCAATTTTTTGCTCACTTTTTTAACAGGATTCGTTGAGCTACCAGATGGTAAAGTTTTATCCGGATCCGAATGGGGTAACATGCTTCTCTGGGATGGTGGTCTTATAAAAGTCGAAATTGCAAGAAAAGGCAAGAAAACCTGTCATCAAGGCATGATAGAGCAGTTTTTCCTAGACGAAGGGGAACTTATCACAATTGGGATTGATGGATATGTTAAGGTCAGAGTGTTTCATTACCTAATATCATTATATATTGTTCAGAGTGTTTCATTGCCTGGCCCTTTTATCCTGCCTATTTCTTCAATTCGGTTCATAATGCTATAAGATTTCACACTTTAATAGTAGTTAACATTATAGTAGTCTCTTTTTATCTTTTAAAAAATTTATTTTCAGTAAAAAGTCATCTTTAAAAAGAACTGCGTTTTTCAGATGTATAATTGTCTGATTCTAAAATTTTTTGATTACTCCAGGTTTGGGATTTTGAAACTATTGACACGGCTGAAGCTGCTGATGAAAAAAAGATTTTTGAAATGGAACCAATGTCAGAACTAAAGGTAACTAATTCGTCGATTGCTCTATTTAATATTGTATGCAAGGATTTCACAGCAAAGTAATTTTTCCTGATGGCAATTTTTGTAACGACTGCTCGCTCTATGGAATGGAAACACTTAAAGCATTGGAATTTTTGCTCATATAATGTTATTTTCCTTGTTAAAGGTTGGCCCTGATGTCAAACTCTTGTCGATGGTGAAGAGTGTGCACCCAGATGAAGCCAGCATTTGGTATGCTCAGGTAATCGAAGGAAGCCGTTTTTAGCAAATTGTGTTTTTTTATGTGCAGCGATTGATAATAGTGGATGAAGACATGACGTACTTATCAATGCTTAGCCTAAGGGAAAAGATGGATCCACTCAAAACAGACTCAAAACAATCTCATTGACAATGTACCCAATGAAATTTCATCCTACTCAACATATAAATCCGTTGAACTCTAGTAAAAAAAGTCTTCTTACTTATTTTGCCGTATTTTCCAATCTCTTGGAAGGTCACAATCCTAAATGTTTTTGTAGATCCTGTTGTTTTATGAGACAGCGATTCCATAAGATCTCTGAAGAGAGTGGAACTTAAAGTGGATTTGATAGATTCGAATCTAAATTTAACAAATCCTTGCTTTGATATGATAGAAGTTTTCTTCAAATGTTGGTTCATGTTGCAGCAATGGTGCTTTATAATTGGAAATTAATGCACACGAAGTCTATCTACCAGTCTTATCGAAATTGTTTTGTTGTATTGTTACCTTCAAAATCATAATCATAAATTATGGACTGGATCTTGTAGGATGGCGCTGGCGGTATATGGAAGCTGGATTTATCATTTTCTCATACGGTAAGAAAAGTTTATTTTAGCTGTTTTTATCATAGTAACCTTATATGCAACATAATTTCCTTTTTTACGGTCTAAGAACAGATAAAGATTACTTGTATTTTGGTTTTTGCAGAACATGCAGTCCCACGCAAACAGAGCCGTATACATTTTAATGTGTAAAGCAATTACTCAGTATATACTTTCATAATCAGACAATCTACGTGTGAACATCTTTCTTGTTGTATCTTAATCAGAGTCGATGGGGTCTAAGCCAGCTAGGGTTAACATGCTTTTGTTTGTAACAATGTACTTGATTGTACGATGGAGAACCTCCTCATCTTCCCGAGATATTGTGGTCTATAGATAAAAAAGGGTTGAAGTCAAGACTCAATATTGCCTGCTTTTAGATCTGTATATACCTTGACCACGGCTAACTGCACTCCAAAGGCTCCTTTTCCGACTTTCACTTGCATTCAAAAAAGATTTTAGCATACAAATCGCAGTACATATACATGATCTCAGGCGGCTTTTGAATAACAGTTTCTGCCTTTTTATTGTTTAGAGAGTCTGTTCTGATATTTTCTTGTTTCCTCAAACTCAGAGTCAAGCGCCAAAAAGATTATTTTCATTCCACGCCGGTGCTATTACGGGCCTAGCCACGTCACCAATGACTCATCTATCAGTCACCATCGGAGAAGACCGTAAGCTAATGCTGTTTCTTTTCATAGAAATAAGACTGTATTATGTATTAAGTAACATTCAAAGCTGTAAATATAGAATAGGATGATTTCGCACCATAATTCGTGAATTGAGGTTGATATTTTATTGAATTGTTTTTCGTGCGATAACAGCCATTCATTCCCCAAAGGTTTTCGCTAGCCTACATACATTGATGAAAAAGTTCAATCTTTTGCTCCACAGTACAATTTTTGATCTAATCATCAGTATACATTATCGTCGAATTTGAAACCATATATTTTTATTTTATCGGTAGATACGGTTCGCCTGTACGATTACCTTGCAAAAACACCCCTTTGTGTCTCGCGATTTACCACGCCTGGATCTAGTGTGCTTTGGATGCCTAAGGAGGTATGTGCATTTGATGCTTGAAGTCCCTACACTCATGTTTGCCTCGTAGGGGTGTGTCATAAAATGCAGTCATCTCTTCTTCGTTTACCTAGAGTTTTGATGTTTCAGTTAAAACTATTTTCACTGATTAGTTTGATTTTCAATTATATGAGATTTGTTGTGATGAAGACAATAGTGCACAAGCGAATACAAGCAGTAGTATTTTATGATTTATTTACGCAATCAGAATTTCCAGTTATTTTAAATAATGGTTTAAAAAAATTTATGTTTTTTGTATGACAGGTCGACCCGGATGGCTTATCAATTCTTGCTGGCTTTTCTGACGGCGTTGTACGTCAGATGACTGTTGTGAAGGGAGACCAGAACACAGTGACAGCTAAGAAAGATGGTTCTGGTTTTGAATTGAAACTGACACAAGTTTTTAAACCTCATGTCAAAGCCGTCACAACTTTGGCCGTGAGCAAAGATGGAAAATTCCTGGCCACGGGGGTGGGTATTTTTTGAATTCTTAAGTTGTAGCGGGGTATCCGTGCTAAAAACCTTACTTACCGGAACTCTGGCAGTGAGATGGGGCTGAGAGTGCTTCGCTGAAAGTAATGCAAAACAAACTCGCATACAACTTTTCGTTGTTTTATGGAAAAAATTCTCCAAGGTTAGCTTAAAGGTATTTGACATGCATAAGTACAGCGAAACCAAAAATAACTTAGGCCAAATTGATCAGAGCACGTGCACAAGAAAGGAATTGGAAACTGCTCACGTGAAACCACTGCGCGCTGCTCTAGGATTTCACCGATTTGCAGAAAGGCGGAAACGGTTCACGTGTTTTTCCCTGTGCGCAATTTGATTAATCAACCGCTCGTGGTCGAGTGACTTTAAGCCATTTTTACCTGTGTCAAATGTCTTTAAAGATAAATTTCCCACTTCTGTTTCCTATTCAGATTCAGCCCAATATTTTGTTTAAAACCAGCAGTAAGATGAGCAGCTTTCTGAGTTTTCTTTGTTTACAAAACCAAGTAATGTTGCCTGACCACAATCTTGAGGCTTTCGAAACACTGTTCGCTCAAACTGTTTTTGATGCTGTTTATTTCAGAGTGAAGATTCTACTGTGTTCTTCTTCGGAATACACAAGAAGTACAAGCCGATAGGATTTATTGAAACCGCTGCACCGGTTGTTTCATTAGACTGGTCATCAGCGCAGAAGGTAAGATATTCTTTCTGCTTATCATATTTAGAGCTAATGTTTGACAATACTTCCTATATTATTGCACGAAAATTTCAATTTTTTCTATCGTAGGTTTTAGAATAAGATTCTAATCAAATTGGCTAGGCATTTAAATTTTGGATTTTGACATCTTTGACTATAGTGTTTAGGAATTTATCAAATTTGGTATTTTTGAGAAGCATAGGTAATGACAATTAGGAATCTGTAAGGGAAAAGATACTAAATCTTAAAGCTAGTTTCATGTATAGATGTAATCACCTTGATATTCTTCTCATTGTAAGCCGTTTTCATTCCTACAGAACAATCTTCTGATATGTTGTAAAGATGGCTGTGTGCTTGAAGTGTCTTGTCCAAATGATGGTGACTATGATACAAGCAAAACGTTTTTGATACCTCTCACTGGTTTGAAGAGAACTGAATTCAAGTTCAAAAGTATCAAAGACAAATTAGTTGTGAGTCAATCAATATTCATTTCTGTTTTTGGTAACTCGTTGTTAAGCCTAGAAATATTATGCTGTTTTTCTTGAAGCCATTTTGTTGAAATTAAAGTTTTGATTGACTTGTTTTTATTCAAATAAGATTTAAAAACGCTTTGAAACATAGTTGGTAATATATGCTTAGGCTAGTTCAAAACCATTTATATCATTTGTGTAGTATTTATGCGCATTGTCACATCGCCATCTTAGAAAGCTGAAGAGGACCTTCGAAAAGCTAAAGAGGAAGAGGAACGCCGAAAACAGCAAGAGGAAGAGAAAAGAAAAAGAAAGGCAAGAGGGATTGAAGATGATGAAGAAGAAGGGGAGGAAGATAAGGAAAACGAAGAGGAGAATGAGGCAAGGGAGGACACACCCGCAGAGGAAATAATTCACGAACCAGGTCAAATTGTGAATGGTTTTTACAAAGGAGATGATGGAAATTTTTGGTTATTGTTGGTAAGTTTATTTATTCGAACTCATTTCGTTTTCAAAGAGAAATTCGCATTGTCCGTCACATTTAAAGTACTTGAACTACTTCAACGGGTAGTCCTTTGACGAGGATTCCTTGACACCAAAAACAGAAATCTGAACATAGATTCCAACTTTGTCTCTAAATTGGTTTTTAGCCTTGCATACTTGTCCGCTTAGATATTTAATGGTAAATTGACAATTTTTGCACTATCATTTCAAATGTAATATTATAGAATATTGCTTTATAATCCTCTTTTTTCGGTAATTTCCAATCACTGTCTCGAAACTAAGATACTGCTGAAATGCGCCTTTGTCATGTTGGTGATTTTTGCTGATTTTCCAATGATTGCTATCTTGATTGCCTGTCTAACCATGCTTTTCTTGTTAACCTATGATCTGTCATTGATCTTCCAAGGGTTCTGAGAATCTTTACCTGTGAGTATTTAAATAGAACTGAATTGAACAGTATTCGTGATCTTCTTTAGGACGGATGGGATGCTGGCTATGTCTACGAATGCGCTTTCCCAGAATCGCAAGATGAAGATGTAGTCAAAGAGCCACTGAAAGCGAGTAAATTTAAAGATATTGACGATGTTCCAGTGAGATCTCATTGTTTCAGGTAAAGCTAATCACAATATAATCAGATTTTTAATTTATTGTCAATGAAGCTTGGATCCAGGTGCGAGTAATGGTGCGAGTCAAGTTTATCTCTTTAGAAGTCTGGGTTATAATCGTAGTCGTTCATCATTGGAACTGCGAAGGAAACCTCTCTGATAAAGAGAACTGCGAAGGAAACCTCAGAATGTCGTTTTGAGCTTTGCAGTTGAGCAACTGTTTCTTATCATGGCCTCCCCTTCAGCCACGCCATGTCCTTCAATTTTGATTTCATGGCGTACTTTGCAAAATTCGAAGCTGAAATCTTGTTTATCGCACTGCGAAGTTTCTCACAAAACTCGTATCGAAAGCGACAAAACGAACCAAGTTTCGTTGGTGATTCCCGTTGCAGCCGCGTGCGGTAATAGCGCAGTGGTAGAATTCCTACTTGCACTATAATTTATTGGCGTGTTTACGTAACTAAACGTACGTAAAAGATGTAATTCTCATTTAATTTATTGTTGTGACAAGGGAATTATCTTAAAAATTCAAGGGGCGTTTCAAGTAAATCATCAGCAACGCCTATGCTTTGTTTTTGAAGCTCTAAATCTTTTGGTTTATTGCTCACGAAAACCCGCGAAAAAAGCCAATACTTTTTTTATTTTTCGATTGTTAATTAGCGGTGAATTAATTTCTTAACTTTGTAAATGTTATCCTGTTAAGAATCGGGAGATTTCTATTGATGAATCCTCAATACGTTATTCATAATATGCAATTTTATAAGATCAATTGGATTATTTCTTATTTGAACAGAACATGAATGTGAATGGTGACCTAGAATAAGTCTTTCATATAGAAATAACTAGACTTTGTCAATACTGTGCGTGAGTTATCCTGATTTTCTACATTCATAAACGTTTGAATGAAGGGTTACTGTTGTCGATTGTGTATGTGCAGTCTCTGTATCATTGCAATCTCGTTTCGGTGCCTTCGATATCAACACAATCATATCGACAATCACTACACAAAGACAAGAACCAGTGTCATTGTTAACCCAAAGGCACCCAATCGAGGCAGCCTTTATACATAACTGAATATTCATTAACGACAAATGCCCTTCGACATCTTTGCGTGCTGTTTTGATTTTGACATTGATTGCTCTTTTCTAGCAAAACTGGAAATTCTTTAGCTCTTGGCCTGGACAATGGAGCTGTGCGGGTACAAGTGATCGAGTCACGTGATATGGAAAAGCTTGACAGCTATTGGAGTTTGAATATGCACGACAATAGTCGCGGAGCAGTGACCGACATAACGATGAGCTTTGACGAGAAATTCCTGTTATCTGCTGGAAACGATGGGAATTTTTTCATTTATTCTTTCATGGACGAGGAAAAATTAAAGAAAATCATCGGAAAGCAAAAGGCTGAAATTTTGAAAAAGGTATCTTTAAAAATTATCGGTTAGATATTAACAGGGTAAATATCTTTTGGTTCATCAAGTTTGTTTTGAATAAAAAATATATTAACTGGATTTATGATGTTTTATAAAAATTTTTCTTAGTGAATTCAATATGGAATACACTGAATTTAAACATGTTTTTAGTAAAACTGGATTTATTTTTTAGCTTGAGAGCTCGAAGATCGCTAGGATAGATGATATTGAGGACCCAAATCATTACAGGTAAGAGTAAGCCAGGCTTGCGTTACTGCATTTCATTGATTTTTGATCACTCAGGGGGAATTATGGCAGTGAAAAACTCTGCAAACATAGTTGCTTGTATGTTTCAATAATGTGGTTTTGTAGCCTATATGGCAGCATAAAAAATGCGATCCCCGTCTCTAGAAATGTCTCCTGAGAGGGTATCGAACACCTGTTTGATTTATATAAAAATTTGGTTGGAGCACTGATTTTGCTTAGCAAATGTTAAAATAGAAACACATCGATGACAAGTTGCCAATGCTATGAATTAGCCAAGTTGATAAAAAAGTGTCATTCTCTAACGGTAGTGCTGCTGTTTTGAATCATCCCTTTATTGAGGAGCTTCTTTGTTAATGAAAAACTCTTTTCACAGCATTGAACTTGAGAAGCAAAAAGCAGAACACGACCGAATGGTGAGACTTGCGGAGGAGAAGAAGCAGCAAGCGAGGCAGACAATCAGTTTACTACGCAGGGAATTCAAACGTCTTGTTTCAAGGAACCAAGAAATGCCGTCCTATTTACAGTTGCCGCCCGTGGTATGAATTTCTCTCCTAGGCTTTGTACCCTATATACATATTGCATAAAATAGACCATTAACAGACAATTGTTTATTAGAGACCCTTCTCAATAATGAACACCTCTCAAAAACAGACAATTCTCAGTAGCGATTACATCCAGTTACAGAATCCTCTCAGTAACAGAAACGTCTCAATAACGAACGAACACTTCTTAAGTAACAGAAACTCCCTAATAAAAGAAACCTCCTGGCAACAGACAAGTTCTTTTATCTTCAGATCTCTATAAAATGAACATAAATTTAGTTCCACGAGTATCCGCTTTATCAAATTCTCACTTAATTTGTTTATATTTGTTATTTAATTGGTTAGTGTGGAAGCTACTTCTGATAAACTACATTTTTCATACAATGTCATGTCCGTTTCTAATGTGATGAGACGATATCCTGCCATATCTTATGCCTTTAGAAAGAGCTGCCAGCACTCTTACTCTATTTAAAAGTTTAGTCAGATCATGTAATTCTGAAAGCAGAAGCTGCAATCTGAATGTACTCACCCTTTGCCTATTTACATTAACAATTTTCCATTGAATTCCGTTGTTAGCAGAGTTGTGAAAATCCTCCAAAAAATCTTCAAGGAAGGTTGGCTTTTCAGATTTATTTTTCCTTGAAAAATTACGGTCTTCATCCAAATCTTCACTTAGGATTCAAACCGAACGTTTAGACACAAACGATATCGTTAGGTCACAAGCTCTGCGAATACCGTAGACTATATATTAACATATACTTCGTTTTGCTTGCAGGAGTTCATTATCGACCCAAATATGAAAAGTGACATAGAGGCCGAAACGAAAAAGAGGCTCGAGTTGGTGGAGCGAGAAATGGCATGGGAATCAGAGAAATTTTCATTGTCAGTTCGAAAACTAGAGATGAGGCAAGTATAAGCTCAATAACATATGAAGATTACTTTGCAAAAGTTTGTAGTATCGGGTGTACAGGAAATGATTTGTAGACCACCGTACTACCCACTTTAACTTGTCATTATTGCCTTTATGTCGCGTAGTAAAAGTCCAAGTTGTTGTCTCTTTATCTGTCATCATTATGATGACATCATTAATTTTCAAATTGAGTTAGAGGCTAATCATTGAAAAGGTGTGAGTTTTCTGCAAATCTTAGACATTACAAGGAATTCAACTTCAGTAACGTTTTCGAGCATTTCTAGCATTTGTATCTCAAATTTCCGTTATTTAGATTCAAAGATATGATTGAGTGTGAAATGTTCCGCTTGCATGCATTTCGGACACCGCATACCGTATCATCGTACCGTGCCACAATACTTCCCCCTGAATTTAATGAAGTAATGGAACAGAACATGAACAAGGTCAAAACTGCTGAGGCAGAGGCAGGAATGCCATTTTTTGGCAAGCGGTTTTCATCTCTCGCGAAGAAAATCAAGGAAACAAGCAAGGAAGAGACTTCTGCGGAGGACAAGGAAGCACTGCACGCAAAGAAATCGAAACCCTTGCAAAGTTTTGATGGAAAAGTTGCAAAGGCGATCGAAAAGGCGGAACAGAAGAAGAAGCGAAGGCTGGAGAGGAAAGCCAAGGTTAGCGAAGAGCTTTGTTGCGTAATAAGTGATTAGCGATACCGATCAATGATTAATGACCAGTGATTTGTGATCAATATTTTTATACTTTGGTTACTTGTTATTTTGTGAGTACTTTCAGATTTTAAAACAATCAATAAGCGATTTTTAACATTTTAATTGAAATTATTGTATTATTACCTTATTAAATTCATTTTTCTGTTTTTCAAATGTAGGCTGTTTAAGAGGTTTAACGTGATTTTATCCGGTTATAACGATGTTAGGCTTTTCAACCCACTTGTGAGGGAGGCAATTGCCCGCCATCTTTAACTTGGAGACTTTTTAGTTTTGCTGTGTTTAAAGGATGTCTTGCATGGGTTTCTATTTAAATTGCATAATTATTCATTATTAAGTAATGAAAGTGCATATTTGTACAGGATACGATTAAGTCTTTTCAATACGAATAAAGTCATGTATCGATAAAGAAACTGTTGCAATGTCTGTTACCTTTTCGATTTTTTCGTTTTTAGTGGGATGAGCTGTATCGATCAAGGCCAGACTTAGACTATGAGGATCCAGCTATTCTTGCTACGATAAAAGAGGCTCAAGAAAATATGGGTGACTTTAAACTGAAATCCGCAAAGGATTACATCGTGCCGGAGAAAGAAAGAGTGAACGCAGATAAAAAGAGAATCCAACTCATGCAACTAAAAGAGCAGGCATGTTTAGTTAATTTGTTTGACTGCAATTAGGTTGATATGACTGAGTGGTTTTATAGTGCTAACAGTATCAAAGCTGGTTGGGAAAGACATTTCCAATACCTTTCAATGCTTTCTTTTGATTAGACGAAATTACTTTTGTCCTTATTACTGTAAGAAGGTTGAAGACCATTAAATCTATAATATTTTGAGGGTAGGAGAGTACCAATGAAAAATTTTGCGTAGACTGCTAAAAATCCTAAAAGGAACACGTTGGATAATTGTGATAATTGTGATTTTACATTTAATTCATGTTTGGTTTTGTTTTTTAGATATACCAGTGTAAAAGGCATTTCAATGAAAAGCTTCTGATGCTTCGTGATAAAAAGATTGCCGTAATTGCCGAGGTATTTCTTCGATCTATTTCAAATATGCTCACTTTTTCTATTCTTTCATAAACTTGTAGTCTGTCTATATAGTTCTTCAGATGTTTTTTATTGTTTTCAGTAACGCTCCTCACCGTTATCAATCTTGCTAGCACCAAGGGAGATCGAGCAACTAAGAATGCAAAAGGTTGAAGTCGTGTTTTCAATATTTGTACGATTTGTTCTTTTGTCTAGGTGAGAGCATTGGCAGATGAGCTCGACAGTGTACAAAATGAATTACCGCTCTCAATGCATATCTCGTTGCCTCCCGTGCCAGTGATGCTGCCTGACGAACAGCCGGAAAAGTAAGTTTCACTTCTTGTTTTTTCAAGGATTAGGCCCTCAAAAATTAACAGATGGACAAGCATTCTAATATTCATCTTTGGTTACGAATCACTCGAATTACAAGTTAATATAAATGTGGTAATCAATCGATCGTCTTTGAATCGCAGTACACGTTGCTTTCTAGGAATCATTTGTCATACCTTATTTTTCTCCACGCAGGCTTTTTGAATACACCGCAGAATCTCTCGAAAAATTCAAGAAGGAAATGGAACATCAGGGTGAGAGTTTGAAGACAGAAAACACCGGGGGCTTTGGAGGAGGATTTGGAGGTTTCGGTGCCAGTGAGGTATCATCCTCAGAAAGTTTCTTAATACCTCATTAACTTATTGAAGGATAAGTTAACTTTAGAATCAAGTTGATCATACAAAAATTAAAGTGCTTTGACGAGGAAAGAGCATGTGCTTATTTCACCATATCCCAGCCAATTTGAAAAACATTTAACTGATTTTTAGCTATCAGAGGTATTTTATAACACTCTTCCCCGATATACGGTCAAATTAGAACATTTTATGAGGTCTTTATTTTGCCACTGTAATGTGTCTCCTGAAAAACTTTGATCCTGGAATTTCGTTTGCAGCAGGCACAGCAGTCATCAACCAAAGTTGCATCGCAGTTGGCAACGACACGAACTGGGACAGACCAAAGAGGCCGGTCAACCTCGATACTGTCAACATTATCAAGCCAGCCTCGTTCAGCATCAAGTGTTGTTATTGATCACGGTTCGCCAGAAACGATCAGTGAAGAAACAATGATTGATGATGAGCCGTCTGACATGGAACTGAGAGTGAGAGACGAAAAGAAAGTCAGGTATTCTATCAGAAAGAGCTGTGTTGCACAACACGTGTCTTATCAATCAAACTTTCAAGACTTGGTCGCTTATCTTGAAGGCTGTTATAACTCAATGTGTATTTAAAATGTAACGTTCATCCTCTTTCTAGGACTATTTACCGACGAGATATGCTTCTCCGCAAAATCAAGGAATTACTGGTGACGTTTGATGCCGAGTTGCGTACGTTGCGTCACGAAAAGGTTCATTTGGACGTCGACTTGAAGAACGCTGATCTTCGGTATGTGCGAATCTGCACTTTGTACAGCTGAAACTTTGAGCTCTAGATACATTTGATACTTGTAATGTTTCATCACCTTTTCAGCTTTTCTTTGCATAGGATTCAAATCTTGATTGACTCGGTGCTTGCGCTTAATCACGCGGCATCTCGCGGCGTTGAGCCAATCAGAGCCCCAGAAAATGTACACAAACTTAGGCCACGTGAATAAGCACAAGCTCTAAGCCAATCAAGATTCGAGCCCTGTGCTGCTTTTCTTATCTTCTTGTTGTTACTGCGCAAACCAATAATATTTTCAAGCTGGCCAGCCTACTTATATTTCCACTTTCTACTGTAGGATGATAACACTATTTGAGGAGTTAATTCTTCTCAAAGAATTCGAAAAACGAGAGAACGTCTTAATGGGAAAAGTGGAACTTAAAATGCAAGAAAAAGCAGACATGGAAGATAAGGTATAGTTTGTTTCTATGTTTGTTTCAGCTTAACTTGAATTGGTTCTCTAAACATGCTGTCAAATATTGAATACTGTTTGCTTGGTTGTTGGGTGAAAATTGATTGCTCGTACTTTGTTTAGCTCTCTGACAACGAATTTCCTCTTAACAGCTGAGCACGTATACTCATTTATCATTTGTTTTAATTCATTTTCTAGCTAGGGCCTATCAAGATATTCTATTTAGGCGCAAGCAGTTTTTATCAGTTGGAGTATTTTGAATCGTGATATTATATCCTTCATTAGATGTTTTCAAATTGCCTTGTATTGAATTCGAAGTTCAAATCGTTTCTACTTCCCAATGTTTACATCATCCTCATGCTGGTCTTCATATGAGTGGGTAATTGCAACGCATGATGTGTAGGTTGGCACTTTACGGTGTTAGATGTTTGCCATTTTAAGTATGAATATATATATATGGATTTGGCTGTTTATAGAAAGTTGTTAGAGTCTTTCTCTAGTGATTTGAAGTTTTCTTTGATCATCGGCATTTTAGGTCGAGGACTGTCAGATGAAGTTGCAATCAAAAAAGGAAGAGATTGAAAAGTTACAGGAAAAGGAGAAATCCCTCAACACAATGTTTAGCAATCTGTTTATTGAGAGCAACAAATTTGAAGCATTCTTGACGAAGGTATTCAAGAAAAAAATTAAACGCGCGAAGAAAACAGAGCAAGATGCTGGCTCTGACGAAGATAGTGACGAAGATCTGAGCGATGAAGATTACGACAGTGACGAAGATGAAGACTCTGATGCGGAAGATCTGGATGACAGCGTTTGCCCGCCGGGTTGCGACCAGGTGCGACTTGAATTCGTTATTGGCTTCAAAACTTGAAGCTTTAAACTTTTTTAAACTTTTTTTAAACATTTCTCCGTTAAATATTATCAATCTGTGATTCAACGAAGTGTTTGAAGACTTTTCGACAAATTATGAAGAACAAGTTTGCTAACAATGCTTACAGTGCTGAAATAGCCAGATGTTTCAATATTGTGTGAAATTTGATACCCTGGGTACCAGAGTCTCCATTATTGAGTCTCAGAAATATATTTAGAAACAAGTTACAGAAAAAGTTTTTTTGAGCTGCCACCGCAGTTGTGTACATATGTCCCCAGATTTATGAGGCTCTGGTTTCCAGGGTAGAAATTTGAATGTTTTGTTGCTTCACACTTATAAAGAAGCAAGTTGAAGTTACGAGTTGGTCAAAATAAAAAAGTGCAATTAATACGATACGCAGTCATCATTTTTACAGAGTCTCCCAGTCGATTGTATCATTGATTTTTCAAGTGCTCGTTTTATTCTGTTGATATATATTCGTCAAAGAATGTCAGAGAACCTTTATATCCATCAATAGAGACCTGGCTATCGTGCATATATAGAATTAGTAATTGTTTTTAATGTTATGGTAGTTAGTAGTTGAGACTGTTATGGTGGGTTCCTTTGATATCTACAGGCCCTGTTTGATCAAGTTTGTCAACTTCGCGAGAAAAGGCTCGACTTGGAAGAGGCAACAACTGAAGAGAAGAAGGCAGCCGAAACATTGAAGAAAGAGCTTGATGCGTTGAAGAAGAAAAGCAAGATTATTGAAAATGCACTGCAAACAGCCGAAGCTGACCTCGAGGCATTTCAGGTATGAGTTGATTAACAGAAAATGGCATTAGAAAGCTCTTTTTCCTGACTGTTTGTCGAGAAGATTATTCGTCGAACTCTTGTTATAGAGATATTTCATAGACTTTATTTCAAAGTGCTAATTTTGATGATATTGCAGATCAATTAAACTACAACTGAACCGCTCTAATCTATTTTCACAAGCCACCAGCCTCTATCTATTAGGTATATTCTATTTATTTCATAGACCAGTGCTTTTAAGGGCAGCACTACAAATAATTAAGTCACAATGCATACTGTAGTTATCTGAAGATAATTCTGGTTTTTCATTCTGCAGCGAGAGAAGCAACAAAAACTGAACGAGCTGGACATCGTTGTGACATTGAAGCTGAGCCAGCTGCAATATCTGAACAACAATGCCCTTCCTCAGGACTTATCCCAGTGTCTTGTATTCACGAGTACGTCGCTGGATGGACTGCAAACGAGGATAACTGAGCTTGAGAAGGAAAAGGCCGAGCAAAAGAAATTGTATTGGTCAGTACATTGCTTGGCTGTAGGCCTTATTCACATTACAAATAGATAGCAAATAGATAGCTAATCTGCTTTAATACAAAGCTTTCAAAAACAAGATAGCAAAACTGTGTCACATACGGTGTAACTGAAAACTTCATCGTCTCTAATTGTTTAAAAAAAATTCGCATTCTTTCTATGGACAGTGGTATGCAAGCGTGAAAGTGATTTCGTTGAGTCTTGATCATAGCTTGTCATTTGATTGGTCCCTAGCTGGTTGAAGGTTGAATTTTGACCAATGCTAGATGGAGACACTATAAAACAATGAGAGCTGTCACGTTGTGGAACGTGGAAAACCCCAAAAGTGCTTGGATATTGCATTCTTCTTTTGGCCTTATGTGATTCAGTCATAGCTTTACACGTGCCTGTTATTGATCGATCAAATCTCGTCAGAAGATAACCGTATTGTTTAACATGTCAATCACTCTATACCAAACATCTCTATGCAGGTTACAAGTTTTTTACAAGGGTGTTTTGCGTTACTTGAAGTACGACTGGAGTTGTATTTTTCGGTGAACATCGACCCTAAGAACAAACATGTTCTTAAATGAACATAAATAAATGAATTTAATTGACATCGTAGTCTGCTCAAGACACTGTCTTAAGCATGACTGAGCATTTCAAATATTAAGAATAATCGCTTCTATCTTGCGTTTTTTTCATTTACGAAGAATATATATTCTTATTGTTAATACACGTACGTATTTTACAGGAAATTACGTCAGCAACATGTGACACTAATACGAGACAAGAAAAGCATGGAAGAGAAGGTATGCCATTCTTTTTGCTTCGATTCGTCGATTAAATGCTGAAAGGTTTCGCGAAGCAATATTGAAAAAAATTTGTTTTTTTCCTTAGTACCTTATATATACAATTTTGTTGGCAAAAAGGCTTAGCAAATCTAAATCTAAACCTACTTTGAAAATAGTGTCTTTTTTACTTACTTTAGATATCTCAACTGGAAGAAAAGGTGCAGCAAATGCAGCTTCTTAAATTTGGCAAGCTCGTGGATTTAGAAAAACTTGAGACCGTGTCAGTAAACAGAGCAGCAGAGGAGCTAAAGGAGCAACTGAGAACACAGGAATTTGGGAATGCAAAAGAAGTTGCAGCTTGGGAGGTAAGGGTTATCGGTCTTGGAGTAGAAGAAAGTTTGATTATAGGGTAGACTGACGTAGTTACCATATTCAGCTAACTCATGAACGGTTAATTTCATTTCCTCAACATAGCTGAACAGCACTTTGATTGGCTGAAGTGCTACCATTTTGAATTTTGCCGCTATTTCGTCTTTTGCAAAGAATTTACCGATATTTCAAATAAAAGCGTTAATTTTTGGCTCAACATTATTCTCAATCTAAGCTAGAATCGCATCACGATTTCGAAATAAGTGAGGCAGAGTCCAGAAAAGTTGTTAACCATTCTCCAGACAAAAACATCCCAGAAGGCAAACCTTCCTGACAAAACAATAGAAAGTGGGCGTGGCTTGGGTGTGTCATAGGAGTTTCTATTGTTTTTGTTGGACCTTCCTCCGGTCAGTGGCCATGCGACCGTAATGTTTTCCTGACTCTGAAGTGAGGTTTTTTCTTTATCAAGATAGCGAATTTCTCTAATCGGAACAATTCGATAGACACTGAAAGCAGCAATTTTGATATCCTACAACCAAAGCTTTTCTCATGACATGCGTGTATTGATTTCAAACTACTTTGCGAGCCTGTTGATGGATGATTTTTGCTCGAGTGGAACTGTGGAGCATTTTGGGAATTATAAGAGGGCCAAGGCCTTAGCCTCCCCTGCTCCTGCTTACAAGATGCTTGCAACGAACACCATATGACGTAGGACAACTGCCTCTCTCACGTATTTCGTAGCTAACCAGCTTGATTTTTTGTAGAAACGCATTGACGATGCTAAAGCGAGGCTTACGCAGGTCACACGCGAGAACACGCAGAGACTTGACACATTCACTGTGTTGTTACAAGAAAAGAAAGAATTGGAGCACCAGTTAGATTCTCGCCAGAAAAACTTGGTATGAACCCGTTTTCAGCAAGATTTTTAGTCTACATTTAAAACTCTCCCTCTAAAGTCCCTTGTTTATTTTGAATGATTTACTTTTTCCTATCGTTATTTCCCTGATAATACTTTTCCTACTCTCCAGATGTTCTTGAAAATTATTTGACCAATGTTCGTATTGAATCAAGCGTCCACTTTAACCATTTTGGTATATACATTTCGGCAGTAATGATCAGAAAAATGGCGAATTGAAAGTGCTTATCCCGGAAAGGACCTAAAAAGGAAGACATTACGCATTTGATTGGTTCCTTGCTTAACCAATCAGCCACTGCTAACCCCTCGGAGAGTTCACCCTTCTTCATTTAACCCTTTCTAGACAAAATCTGTGCAATGCTGCCACTTTTTAATATGATATTCTTGATGCTACAGGGTGGTGAATTTCAAGGCAACAGAAAAGCAGATTTCCAAGAGCGGCAAAGACTTATCCAGCTCGTGCAACTGCAATCTCAAGAGATTGACGCCCTCAAGGAAGAAATAGGACTGCTTTCTAGAAAGGGGGGTCACATTCTACCTCCGTCACAGGCACCTGTTCCAACTGCCCCTGCATCTACTCGATAATCTTTTGCTTCGACTTTTTTGTAAATAACATTTAACGGATTCTTAATACATTTAAACACTTTCTTGTAAAGTTTGCTGGCAATTGACTACAATATTATTCAAGAGTCAGTTTTGAATGATAATTAATGCAGATTTCAACATATACTTGCTACTTTCTGTTTTTACTCTGCTTTCGATGTACACGTTGCTGGAAAAATTGGCTCCAGGCTTTTATTATATCTACACTCTCAAGATGCACCAGTGATAAACAATTTATCAATTGAATAGGCGAAAACAACAAGCTCCGATCAAGTGACTCAACCAATGAATAAAGTCCTCGCAACATCAGACAACCACAAGAGATGTGATTCAAATAACGCATAACTACTAAAGAACCATCAATTTCCAGTGAGGAAGTTTCTTTGTTCACCCTAATTGCGCATAGCTGAGAAAGCTTGATTTTTCTATCAGGAAGCAGACGTACCTGCTACCACAATTGCATCCAATTTTCTAATATAATTATAAACATATATTAGAAAACTGGATGCAATTGTGGTAGCGGGTTCTTATATTATATTTATATAACATATTCAAGCAAATATATTTAAGATAATTTTACAGTTGACCTTTTCCAAACAAGATAGGAATCATCTGCAGTAATTCAAATTAGAACTAACTTGACAGTAATTACAAGAACTGGGTAAGATTCAAAACATATACAGATATTTACAAAAGGATCATTAATTACCGTGATAAGAGAATATTTGTTGCCCTCTCAACATTATGGTTTGATTCTTCCAGAGCACCAACAACAGCATCGTGTGTAAAGCCCATCTCAACAAGACGCTCTATCTGCAGTTAAAAAAGCTTAACTTTAATAGTCAAAAGGTGTTTATTTAAAAAGGCGAAATTTTTGTTGAATTTCAGCAAAACACTTAACAGCCACTAAATGTCAATGAAGCTCAGCTTGTTTTGCATTGAATAAAATAAATACAAATTAAATGAAATAAAATGAGATAAATAAAATGAAATTGAATGAAATAAAAAAGCGACTTTGTAATTAAGGTTTGGGCCTAACTATTTATCCGGTGGAGAAGAGGCTCAACACAGGGATGAAGAGTTCTATCAAAGACGTTTTTACCAATTTAAATTTTCAAAGGACAAAGACACCTTTTGAATATGTCAATTTATATTTATCTTCTATAGCCATATTTTGCTGAATGTTTTGCTACAGGGTGTATCTTTAAGTTCATAAAAGGAAAGGTCCTGCACTCTGTGGTGCTTTTCACTGCCACTTTCAACACAACATGCCTCTACACGGAAATTGGCAAATTCTGTGTAGAAAGATGTTCAAACCTTTTCATTTTCACTCTCTTGGTCTGTTTCTAGCTGCCTTCTCCTTATCTGATTTGCTTGGGAGTCAGAAGTTGTGTCACCCTGTTCCCACTGATTGACTGTATGACCATTTGGGGATGCACCCAAATTATCCAAAAACTCTTGCAACGAGGTTCCACGGGGTTGGAGATTATCCATGTAGCCCTGTCCAACTTGTGGCCTCGGCCCCTAAAAATTTCAAAAGGCAAGGGCTCTGGTAAAATGGCATTTGAAGATTACTAAAACAAAGTGAAAAGCAATTAAAAAAAATAAAACATCACTAAACTTTGCAATTCAAATGCTCAAAGAATTCAATAATAGTCAAGTTAGGTCACTACAGTCAAGTATTATGACTTGAAAAGCAATCTGAACAGTAATCAAGAGCGGGAATCTTGATCTTCAGCAAAGGAGTTCATAAAACAACAATTTTGACCAACAAGAGGCTGCTTTCTAAATAAAACCATTTATTTATTTTTTCTCATCAATGATTCAACATTTGGCGCTGTTTATATACCGAAAGGCCGCCCGTTCAGACAGGTTTAGAACAAAACTTGAAAAACTTCAATCTTATTTTTTTCCCTAACAATTTTAACTAATCAATCCGGGATATTGTTTCTACAATTTCTATGTGGTTATGAACTTTTGTTTGCCTATTTCTGGAACCACGTATGCACATAATGGCACTTCGAAGTAGTGCAAATGACAGCTTGGTACAAATCCAATTAGTCACCAGTGAAATTGGATGACTAATTTATTGCTTGGCTTTCCTTTATAATCTTACTCAAATATATATGCGAATGAAGACTATGTATTGCCTTCTAGCAAAAATCAGATTGAGAATGGTTGAGAAAGCAGAACTGAACACAACAGTGTTTTCTAAATCCTTACCGATTCAAATCCTCCTTGTGACATCTGCCATCTTGACAAGTAATCATACACCATATCATCATGAATTTCTGCTGTTGCCCCATAAAAACTTTTACAGTGGTTTGATTTCTTATCAGACCCTACTTGAAACCAGTCATAAACAGCTTGGGTGAGCTGTGATATTCTCGTTGGGATACACAACCATTTTGAAACATACACAAAATTGAGTCTATACAGTACTCCAGACAGCTATAGAAAAGAAAATAAATTTTTACAGATCCGGAAGATAGACATAAATTCTGCAGAAGGTCATCTCTACAGCAAAATTGGGACTATTATTATTTGTGCATTCATATTCAAAGAAATTCTTTTGTTAATAAACCAGTTTATGTTGTGAGGAAAGGATGCCCCCTCTAGACATGACAAAATAAATTATAAGAGCTTGGCTTGTTTGAAGCAAAAGCTCTTTAATATCAAAGGACCTTTTTTCAATTCACTTTTAACACAAATTGTTAAGAACAACTACATTGATTTCAGTTAATAATGGATTTATTCTTTATTTTTGTTTTTAAAACTTGAAACCGTTTTTTAAGAGATATAAGCACTCCAGCAGGGCACATGGCTTGATAGCTTGCCACAATTTTTTCCATGTGTTTATCAGAGATTGATTCTTTTTTCCATGTGTTGGGCAGAAAAGAGATTAAAAATCTTTCCTTCATTGGGGCATAGTTTTGTCACAACTTGTACAATTAAGGAGCAACATTTAACATTTCCACCTTTCACTGTTTGAAAAATTTTTTGAAAAGAATACTACTTACAAATAAAACAACTAAATTGTGAGCAACATCTTGACAGAAACTGAATGATACAGAAGGTGTGCTCCTGGGAGCAGTAGGCGTGTGTGGAGATGTGGGCATTTGGTCACCTTCCTTTCATGGCCAGGCTTGTTGGAAAGGCAGCAAATTCTTGTAAGTCACTTTTTAAAATAAACTTTATTCAGATGTCCGTATTTCTTTACTTTTAGCCAGCAAATCTCTTTCCACACTCCAGTAGAAAATTGATACCACAGAAAACTTAAGGAATGATAAGAACAAACACAATAAACAACTAAACAAAAAAACTTACCAAACCAAGAATGCTTGCCACCAAGGAGCTTTTGTTCAAGAGCATCATCTAAAAAGAGATTGTTGCAAAATGTTTTAATATAATCTAGAAAAATATCTTTTGCATTAAATCCAAAAATATTTTGCATTAAATTCAAACTGTTCTGTGAATAGAACAAAAATAGTTTAAAACAATGTATTTGCCAACCTGATGTGCATAGCTTGAATTTAAAGAGCCAAATTATTAAACTAATTTGTTTATTACCAGTTAGTTAATTCTTTTAATGCTTATCATCTCAATTCGCAATCAAACATGAAATTTATATCTTATGTTAGGGAGCTAGAACAAAGAAAATTACGATCTTTGCAAAAAATTGAAATCTTTGCTGCTAGACATAATGGTCTTTCATCTTTGTTATCCGAGATGTTAGAAGCTCAAAGAAAAGCATGCAAGTATGGGGGGAGGTAATAATGAAACAACAGAAAAAAATAAATCTTTTGATATATCTAGATGAAGTAATATATGAGAGGGAAGAAAAAAGGCTGTTAGCTTGCAAAAAAATGGTCTGGTATGTTTTTCCTCCTTTTTTCTTACCTTCATGGCTATTAAATAGCTCAACAATTTGCTGCCCATTGAAATATTGTTATGTCTTGGCAGTACAGATCCACAATAAACATCTTTAGCATAATAAAACATCAAAGCAAATATTGGTCCATATCTTAAAGGAAAATTCAGTTAAGGCTTTGTAGCTCTCCATATTTTACTTAATTAAAAAAAAAATTGGTATTCTGAGATTATTGATATCATCGTTTCTAAAAGACTGAACACTCCAAGAACAGGCTGAACACCCCAAGAACACCCCAAGAACACCCTAAGAACAAGCCATTAAGCCGCTGAACACCCTTTAAAACATATCAAAATCGGCATATCATTCGAAAAATAATTTGATCAATCAATCAAAATTAATTTTGGGGCGGGAAAGGACCTGATAAGTCTAATGCTGTTGGTGTTGTTACAACCAACTGATGTTTTGCGCGCCAGAAGTGTGAACGGGGGTTTGTACACGCGGAGCAAATTCGAGTTTGACTCCCTTTGTGCATTCAAGCAAATTCCCGTTGTTTTGAAAATCTTTCACATCCTGTGACAATGTAAAAATACGACATGTCACTTGACTACCTATTGTCTTCCAAACAATTGTTCTTCCCATCCGCTAATTTGCCCAAATGGTCAAGGCATAGAATAGAAATGAACTGGTCACGGTATTTTAGTAGTAATTTTTTATGCGCATTTAATCAATTATTACCAAAAGTATGAATTTTTGCGGTACTTAAGAAAAAGCGCCAAAGGCAACCTTAGATGGCAAAAACCAGCAAACTGAGGGGTCCGATTCGAGCATTAACGGCAGCAGTGGGGGCTTATTAATAATTTGTAGTTCTAGGGTGGGGGCCAATTCAAGGATTCAGTGAGATTATCATGACCCCATTCGAGCACGGGCCCCAAAAATGTGCCCCTCCTAAGCCCTCTTTTAAGTCGCAAACTGTGGTCCTGCTGCTACCCTCTAACAAGTCCAACACTGTGCATTTTCTGTTTCATTTGTCAAAAAATTCCTTATAAAAAACCTCCCCAGCCTGCGAGTGCACCCGCTGGAGACGTCAAGAGAGGAGCTGTGTCTCGTTCTGCTTGCACTGGTAAACTAGTAACTAGCTAGCGTGCACTAGCATAGCGTGACCATTTGGGCAAATTAGCGGACGGGAAGAACAATTGTTTGGAAGACAATAGGTAGTCAAGTGACATGTCGTATTTTTACATTGTCACAGGATGTGAAAGATTTTCAAAACAACGGGAATTTGCTTGAATGCACAAAGGGAGTCAAACTCGAATTTGCTCCGCGTGTACAAACCCCCGTTCACACTTCTGGCGCGCAAAACATCAGTTGGTTGTAACAACACCAACAGCATTAGACTTATCAGGTCCTTTCCCGCCCCAAAATTAATTTTGATTGATTGATCAAATTATTTTTCGAATGACATGCCGATTTTGATATGTTTTAAAGGGTGTTCAGCGGCTTAATGGCTTGTTCTTAGGGTGTTCTTGGGGTGTTCTTGGGGTGTTCAGCCTGTTCTTGGAGTGTTCAGTCTTTTAGAAACGACGTTATTGATATAGTTTTTTGTTTGCAAACTACAATACCTTACACTTTAATGAGGGACTAAAAGCAAACATTATTGCGTATAGCACCATTTTTAAATATTATAGAAGTGGGGTGTGTGCATAATAAACACAAGTTCATCTAAAAAATGAAAAGAGAAAATGGGAATGGGAAAATATTGAAAAGATACAATCCACCAGCCAAAGTTTTTGAAACTGGAACATAGGAGGAGATCCACTCAAAATAGTTTGCCAAGAAGTGTGATCCAATTGTGATTGAAGAACTGGCAAAAATGAAGGACTGAAAAATACAAGGTTGTGTTACAGTGGATAATGTGTTTTCAGGGGATATTAAACAACTCTTGCAAGTAAATTATTAAAATCAAGTCTTTCTAATGAGCATTTAATCTGGCCTTTCAAACTCTCAATGATTTACAAGTCCCAAAGATATCTGTGTTTGACATGCTAAAGCTATGGAATACCATAGAAAGAGAAAATAATATTAATAATAATTTTAAAAGTTTTATTCCAATCATGGTAGTTCATTTAAGAGAAATCTATGTTCAAGTTATCAACCAAAAATGTTCAATTTCAAATGTGATTAGCAGCAAGCCAAAAGAAAAGGCTCAAGTCTATGACTTTAGCTCTATTTCTATAACTGCAAACAAAACTCCATAAATGTGAATAACAAAGACTGGGGAAAAAGGTGTCTTAGCTGTGGGTGTCTATGTGCACAGTAAGAAATAAAATAAAATATGTGTTGGCAGGAAACAGTAGGTAGTGAAAGAAAAATTGAGTTCATGTGAGACCACTAAACGTTAATTCATGCTAACCTATTCATGTCTCGTTTTACATGGATGTATCCTTCGATAATCTTTGTGCCTCAATCAGGCCTTGCTCTAAGCAAAAATTTGTTAAAATTCTATTTAAGATAAAAAGTTTAAACTACATTTTCATAAAAAGAGAGACTTTCTTTTATGACAAAAGCAAAAAGACTTCATCTTACTGCAAATTTTCTTGTACCCCACTGCCTCTCCAGAATTCTAAGATTGTACATTAATGCAGAACCACACAAGAGCTCAAAAGTGCTTTCATATGCAAATTGGCTGGTTATCAACCTCCAGACCTTTTTGAAAAGCAAAAACATAATCAAAGTGAAGCAGAAATATCCATAACAAAAAATTCAAACAAGCAAATACGTTTATTTTTGTATCTCTAGACCTTCTGTCTTTGCTTGACATCATTCTCAAAAAGAGGTTAACAGCACTTCATATATGGCTATTTGATTATACTCTTCACAAAAAAGATTGTAATTTCCTATTCAGTAATAAACTTTCTTGATGAAACTAGTAGGGGACTTTGTAAACATGGCAAGCAAGTACTCCTATTGGCTGCTAATCACATATGCTTTTAAGACAACATAAGGTAAGAAGCCAGCCGTCAGCACATCAGAAACTTGAATTTTTTTATCATCCTGATGATCTACTTCTTAGTAAAACATTTTCATACATACATCAATTCATGATGAAAAAAAGCCATATACACATGGATGTCATCAAATTAAATTTATTGGAAAATTAAGCATGAGCAATCAGAAAAAAAAATTCTCATAAGTACAAAATTTTGCATATTAGAAAAATACCATAATGTTAAACTTGCATGTCAAAACTGAACACCAGTTACAACTTGATGATAATGTATTAAGATGATATGTAATATCTGAGTCTAATAGTAGAATATAATGCATTTTGGTGCAGTATAATAAATCACTGACTGCAAAATTGACATGTTACAGAGAAATCAGGGATAGCCCACTTGTCAGGAATAACCCAGCATAATCCCTTACCTGCATTCAAAAGTTATAAAATGAATACTAACCTCTTTGCTCACGGTAACAAGAGGCCAATGGAGGTGAAGCAATGTAGAGTATTCCTTGGGCATAAGCAGATAGTTTACAGTTACTGCTCCACTGGCCAATACAAGCAGCTTACTCAGAGGGGCATTTTCTATATTAAAAAGAGAGATATAATGGAAATCATTAACTGACAGATTTTGTTGCATCTTTACTTAACACTTATTCAATTAATCAAATAAAAACAACATGAATGTGAAAATCATAATCTTGATACCTGCATGCCCATGTTATTTGTTAATTTTGTAATTTATGTCAGCTACTTACATTATAAAAAACTCTGTGCGTAATGCCGACAAGTTGGCTCTGTGTAGTACATTGATAGGTAGATACTGTGTGTACCTGGGGCCACATTATTTTCTAATAAAGATGACCTTATTGTTGGATCTTAACAGGTGAACCCGTCAGGATGGTGTGAAAAGTTACAACAACGCAAGTGGGTGCTTTATTTTGTGTCAGAGCCAAAGTTGTTTTTCAAAACTACATTGTTTTATCAAAGGTGGTCAAATACAGTTATACATTGTACATTCAACAATTGAAGAACATAAACGTTATTAATCCAAGGACGCACAGTGTTCACAGGCAGGTCAAAGGACTGCCTTTAACTGTATTTTAGATTTAATTTCCTTTCTATTTTAACTTGTAACTTTAATCGTTAATTTTCACCTGCATTAATTCGTAGATGCCACTGACCATTCCATTACCATAATACCCTCTCAATGTCCCCTTTAATTTTCAGTCCCTTTTTGATTTGGTCTTGACGACAAACAAAATTACAGTTTCTCATTTGACATGTATATGTTCAATCAATCTAATCATTGATCAGTGGCATCTTCTAGCACGTTTTATCCATTAAACTTTTATTTCATTATTTCTTGCACTCTGAGCATTATACCGATACTCGGTCCTGCTCAGTATCGATGTAGATGTAGATGTAGATTCTTACCAAACCCATATCTTGAAAAGTTGTCTGGCTTTGAACCAAAACTCATGACTTCAGGTCAATCTTGCAATTTTTTGAAGTAGAAGCAGCTGTAAAGTTTTATGAAGAAAGAAACCGATAATTTATTCCATGTATAGCGAGTTATAGCATTTTCCTTCTGGTACTTCAATGAAACTTTAAATGCATGTCTTGCTGTCTTTAGACTTCTTATCATGTCTGATTTCTTTCGATTTAAGAGTTCTTCAAACGAGGCTGAAGAAGTGGACGGGAAGGGAAGTCCGGATTGGACAAAATAGGAGGTGGAGGGGGGGGGGGAGATCTCAAGAAAGTGTAAAAATCGGTTTGTAAAAATCTAATTTTTTTTGCAAGAAATGCTTGATTCCATTCCTTGTCCCAAAAATGTCAGAACCATATTTCCATCCGCATATTGCTGTTAATCAGGGGCGGATCTAGACGTTCGCACCGTTCGCACATGCGACAGTCAAACTTTTAAAATTATACTAAGAATCTGTCTCGAGAGAGGTTTTTGCTGAACAACAACTTTTTCGCTTATTGGCAAATTTCTCATTTGTGTTTTGATTCTATTTACTCGGGAATTATGCTTCAGTTACATTTGACAACTGAACACTGTGCAGGAGCAGGAAGATCCAAGGTCTGAATCATGCATGATTTAAACCTGGCCATAAACAGAAGCAAAATCTTAAACACAATCTCTAATTCTATCTCGATCTTGATTCAATCTGATTCAAATCTCAAAGCATCCTGACTAAAAAACAACAGGGTACCAATATAGTTAGATTAGGGTATTTCGGTGCACAGTATGATTAGTAGCACGTTCGCACCGATTCGCACAGCTTTTGTTTTAAAATATTTAGCCAATCAAATTGCTAGATAGTGCGAACTTCGGTGCACAGAATGTAACAGAGTAACATTCGACACGGGATGTTTTCAAGTTTCGATGTTCATTACCTCCTCCATGGATCGAGGGCCTACTAATGTCAATAAATGCACTGGACTGGGGTGATAATCAGTGGGCGATACCTGCGATTTGGCTCTGGCGAAGAAATAATGTTCAGGACGTTGGCAGAGAAAAATTTTCACTTAGACAAAACTTTCAAAGTGAATCTTTTCAATGTGGATTTTCAGTTCTTTATCAGCTTTCAGATATTTCCGGGTAATGTTTACTTGTTTGGGTATTCCCCTGAATTCGAAGGGGTTTCTTCGGAGTAAAATACATGTTTACACGCTGATTTGGTTTAACCAATAAATAATATTAGTTATCAATGCAGGTTTTATGAATATTTGTGAAAATTTGTTCTATTTGGTTAGTTCTGAAAATTCATTGCAATGATGTTTTTTTATTTTTTCGCGTGGCCTGGTTTGTCATCGTATACCATAAACAAATCGAAAAAGACGACTCGAATTTTTGCCTGATTATGAAAGGAAAACCGTCAATACGCTTTCTTGCTTTACGCTTGGCTAAGAAACAACACAAATGATTCTGTAGTATCAATTGAAAACTCAGATAAGGAATAAACAACAGTTTGGCCACGTTCTAAATAAAAGCCAATTTAATGTGCGTGTCGACTGCTCAAATGAGAAGGGGGCGAATATCCTTAAAAACCAAGGGGTGTGGTCACGAATGATATTTCCGACCACACCCTTGTGTGCGACAGTCAGAATATTTTCTAGATCCGCCCCTGGGCTGTTAATTAGACAGGAAATTCACATATTCCAAACTTTATAATATTGCAAGACTCACAACATTTTTCTCAACATAGGCAAGTTAATTGAAATATGCTGAAATATGACTATGAACATATTTCATTGTAATACAGCTATGAGAAACTTAATTCATTAACGTAACACAGCATAAAACTTCATGGATACATGGAAAGTCGGCAGGATACATGGAAAAACTAAAAAATGGTGTGTTTGCGATTTTACATGCTACTAAGATTTATTTTGAATATTAAACTGTAATAAATGACTGATTTACTAAAAAATCTTAATTTCAAGATAACAGGAGAAACAAACTTTAAACTTTCACGTTATAGGGACACCCTAGCATGAGCCCTAGCCAATTAGCTGCCAAATGAGGACATTTTACAAATAAAACCCCAACAATACTAAAGGCGGAGACTGTATAAGAATCCACGATAAATCGCTTCGAGAAAACAAGAATCACCTTAACTACTTATTTTTATTACTAATTTTGATGCATTTCACGGGGGTACCAGGTATCCATGCTGAATCATGCAATCACGCGTAAAATAATTGCAAATCACGCTTTCACGGTATTGAAAATTTAAATTCACGATCACAACCCCTAAAAGCTCTCAGAATTTTTTAATAGCTATCTAATAGTAGAAATTTCTTGTTGGCAGAGCCATCGGCATTGGTATCTCTGAATGATTGAGACATTTACCTGGTCTGGTACCGGAAACTAAGACTTTCTGCTTGTAAAAGCGAAAGCACTCCATTTCGAAATTCGCTTGCAGCACTCGTTTTCACGCAATACCGCGTTTGTAATGTTGATTCGCAGGTCACGCGCCAATGTCTATTCACGCATTCACGCATAATAAAAATTTGTTTCACCAAATCACACATCGAAAATACGCCAATCACGCAATCACGCAAAAATATTTGGTACCCTTAACAACGATCCTCAAACACCATCCCAAAATCTCATATACTCTCGGTATTAGACTCAAACAAAATCTCAATGATTTTTGTACAAGTAGATACCATGAGCGTACCAGGTAGGGTTTTGGGGTGTTATAAGGAACCCGTCAAAATTCTTTGGCTTGGCGTTAAAAATTTAGATTAGGCACCATTTCATAAAATTATCAAAGTGCAATCGGGTGCAAAGAGTTTTGATTTACTCATATGAAAAAAATGCTAGGAAGAAAAAGCTGAGAAATTATATCCCAACCTGAAGAAAATTGTGTTGCAAAATCGATTAAAACCACCAAATGCTTTATTGGACGAGTGCTTCAAAATGTGCATTTTGCAGCAAAATGGAAAGATCAAATTTCAAAAGTTTTTCCCTGTCGGCAGTAATCATGGTGCCGCCTCGGATAGTGTATCCTGGGCTTCTTCCGATGTAAATTGATGCTGTGAATCGACACATTGTATTGCGCCCCCCCCCCCATTGTGGTTGTGATTCACGCATTCACGCACAATTTTTTGACTTTTCACGCATTCACGCACTGCAAAATTGGATTTTCACGCTCATGCAAACAATAAATGTATTTATCATTTAAAATTTCATTCACGAATTCACGGATAGTTCTAGCCTTTTCACGACATGACACAAGGAAAACTCATGTTTCACGCTTCACTTAGGAATCTTAATTCACAAAATCACGCATAAAAATTGAAAATTCACGATTTCACGCACAAAAATATGGTCAATAACGCATCACGCCAAAGTATGGGAGGTGGCCCTATTGCGGAGGATGGTTTTCAATCCGGCAAAGTCTTAACAGACCAAATAAAGGCCTGCCTCGCAAAATTTTGGCCATATTTGGGCTATATTTTGAAAAAAGCACATAAGTATTGTCCAGGATTTTCCATGAGTCTATAGCGATGTTGTCAATATTTGGATGCATTTTCCGAACGTACTCTTTGCAATTTTTGCCGTCAACGATGGCGACCGCCTTCACTAGACTTCTGAACGATCTTCCGCGCCCTTTCTACCTTCAACCTTCTTCGATAGTGACGTTCCTGATTATCATTGTTGTACAGTTTGATGATACAGCCGCTACAACGATACTCAAAAATACTGTTAGGTTTAACAAATAATAACACTCTATTTGAAAATTCTCTATCAAATCCTGTCAATAATTGACTATCCCCTCTCCCATAATTGGAAGGTCTTACAGTACCACATAAATAGATAGCTTTATATCAGCGTGCTTCCAAACTTTTGTACTTTTCTGCACATTTCAAATACTTTGAAGGAAGATTGGAAGATTAAAGAAGTTGCTGTTAGAAAGTTGCTGCTGTTTATTTCCTTGTTGCCCCTGTCGTTTATTGCCGTTTCAAAGCCCAGAGAGAGAAAAGACATAGTATTTTTGTATGTCGATCGGTTAAAGAACTCACGCACGTTAATCCACACAATTTAGACCTTAAGACATTAAGTAAGTTTGGTTTAACACGGGTGTAAAAGACAAAATTGATCATAAGCTCTGAAATGCTCTACCTTGTTGACTGACCGAGGAGCTAGCAAGCACAAAATATATCTTCATATGTAAGTATAAATTAAGTTATAGATATAAAACAGTATAGTGTGTCTGTACAGCAGGGACGAAAACAAGTTGCTAATTTTGGAGGGACATGGAAGGATGAAAATTCCAACTTTAAGTGAGAAATTTTTCATTCGACCAGTAAATCTACTGTACCTACCGAATTGATATTTGTAAATAGCCCGAACACCATAGTTCTATTTTCTTTAGAATTACCAAATCTTTACTCAATAATTAGCCTAAAGCATAAAAGCCTAAATTTCTCAATTTTGATTACAGTGAAACAAACATTAAACTTACTGTGAGAAGTAAAGCAACATTTAAGCAAAACCGGTATTAGATATACTTAATGATTAGTAGTATTCTTTGAGATCAATTGACCAATTTCATCTAAAATACATTTTTTTCACGATATAAAAGCACCAAGAATTTGAGCCTTTAATTTTTGTTCTTGATCGAAGAAAACTACCAAACAATTTTCAGAGGGCCAAATGCCTTTTCGTTCTTTACAATTTAAATGATGATTTGAGAGCAAACTTGTGCATATGCCTGATTCGAAAGATGAAACACTCTTCTTTCATCAAATACTTCTACTGCAGTTTTTGCAATGTGTTCTTGCTTCATCGCAGTTTTATCATAGGAATTTATGATAAGGAGTCAAGGACGTTAAAAAAATAACAGGGGGAGTTTAGCATAAACTCGTTTTTATAAGAAGCGTTGAGAATTTTTAGTATTCTTATTCTTTTATTGAATTAACTACTCGTAGTTTCTTAAAAAACTCCCACTCTAATATTTTGTGATCAATGCGGGCATTATTATTTCAAACTGTCAAGTTTCAAGTTTCTTATCCGGAAATTCACCTTGCCTGTTCGTAATTTGATCCAACTCCCGTCAGAAAGAAAGCAAACGGGGCAATTGTGCAATTTGGATCCAGTGCAGACGGGATTCACAATAGAAAACGATCGGATCGGATAGGTCAG